CGCGACGCGTTGAAGAATTTTGGTGTCGCTCTGAGATATGTCGCGCAGAGCGAGCGGAAACGATCGGGACGACGGGGACGCGCTCGACCGTCAGTCGTTCGCGGACACGGACGGGGATTCCGTGCGCGAGCGATCGTGGTCTCGAGAGGACGGGAGGGAGTAGCTCGCAGACGCTGACGAACGCCGACGGTACGGAGCGCTCGAAGGGGGGGACGGGACGTCAGGCGAAGGCGCGGGATCCTGAGAAGCAAACGAAGCGACGGAAGTTGAATGGTAAGGGTGAGTTGAGACCTTGGTACTGCGCGTCGTGCAAGCAGACGCTGAAACCGGAGGACTTTGATACGGGACTGGAGACGTGTCGAGTGTGCCTGGCGAAGCGCAGAGCGAAAGATCGGGCGAAGAAGCGCCTTCGAGGGCTGCAGTTGAAGCACCATCTCTTGAGCGCGGATGAGAAGGACGTGGCGGCGTTCTTACTTGGGGTGTATCACCCATCGACCGGGCGCGGCGCGCCGCCGGGGGATACGCCGAGCGGAGAGCGTAACCCGCCGTGGCGAACGACGCAGATGCATTTCCAGGTAACAACGGAGGTGAACGCGTTTGTTGAAGACTTTCAAAGCCTGCTCGCCGGACAGCCTGAGGTTGAAGCCGTGCAGTTGATCCGCACGTTCTTTGGAGTTGATGAACGCGGACAAAAAGTACATCCGTGCGATAAAGACGTGATGACGGCAACGAAAACGAAGACTTTGAGCAAGAATAAGTTGAAGTACGCGTACGGGAGAGACGTCCCTCACGAGACGCGGACGGAAATGGAGTTGAGACTGGACCCCATTTACAAAAGGTACAGCGGGATGCTTTCGCGTGTGGATGATCAGACTTGGGTTCGCTTTGCCGCTGAAGATGAGCAACATCAAGCGGGTCGAAAAGCGAAGATGATCGCTGGTACGAAGGTTACTGCCAAGGAGACAATTGTCAAACCGGAAGTGAAATATTCTGAGCCCATACACTTGGAAGAACAACGTGGCATGTGGGACGAAAGTGGCCTGGTGCCAGAGGCTCTGAAAGATTTCGATATTTACAGCTCCATGAACTCGGCGGATCCAACCGTCAATCACTTTTTGTATGAGTTCTTGTTCTCCGCCGAGGCTGCGCCGACGCAGTTACCTACGTCGATGCCATTGTCTGACGAGATGTTGACAGAGCGCGTTGATGAAGCGACTCAGTTGGATGAAAATAGTGAAGAACAACTCAACGGTGACGCGTACGTTTTCGAGGGTTCTATTGTCATGGGTTGGATTGGTCGCGCGCGCGGTGAGAACCGCAAGCTTTTGAAGTCAGAGAACGGTATCCTTCCAAACGGATTCGCTCCACAGGCTATTTCTCGCGCCGGGCAACTATTCGATGCTCGAAACCCTGAAAATCTGCTCCCGCTGGAAGAGACGGCCAATTTACACGGATTCTCGAATGACCTCGAGGTCTTTTCAGTTCTTGATTCATCTTCTACGGATCCGCTGCGTGTCAGACTTCCCGCCGGAGCGTTCAGTGATGAGCTTGGTGTGCGTGCCCTTCACGGCGGACACTACATTGAATGCGACGTTAAACAAGGACGATCTGGGGAGTGTGAGGTCATGCTCTATACGAACGGTAAAGACGGGCGGAACCCCAATAAAGTGGTGATTCTCGGTGCGGTGTATTTGCAGTGTTTCGTTCAGTCCGGAACTGCGAAGATGCTTCCGATAGGAAGCAACATCCCAGTGCTCATGATTCCAAGTCCCTCTCACGTCACGGAGATCAGGCGAGGCATTGACGAAATTTTGACGGCGAAGGGAACGCTCGAGGCACGTCAGTTCATCCTATCGCTCGCACACGTTCTTCAGCATGGGGATCCGTCGAGCACACGATTCAACTTCGTCCTGGAAATGGCTCACATGCTCCGGCTCAACAAAACATTGAACTTGCTCGAACGCTTGGCCACGCTGGCCAAGTGTCAGGAAGATCAGGAAACTTTGGGCAACGAGAGTGCGCAAGGCTCCCAAGACAGAGAGGAGTTACAAGCGCTGGCGATCGCTGAACGATTCATGAACGCCGTGGGAAGACCTATTTTGTGTCTCGCTGCTGGGTTGCTCAAGATAGACGCGTACGCGCTCGTCTCAACCGGGCGCTTTCAGGTAAGATCCGTGTTCCTCTTGTTGCTCACCATGGCTGCCATGCTGCCTACAATCGGTTCGAACATGCACGATGACCTGAAAACGTTCGTTTTCGTCTCGTTGTTCGCACTGGCTCACTTTTTGGACATGCAAACAAGTATTGTTCGCAACCCACACATGGGCCAAGTTCCGGTGTACATCGTAGGCTTGATCCTGACGTATGCCCTGCACATCCTGCACGCCCCGCACTCCCGCGTGAGCACAACATTGAGCGTCGTCGTCCCGCACTTAATGTTCGCCCCCATCGGCTTCACTGCTCAAACCGTCTTCAAGGTAATGATGCGATCGTTACCGCAAAATATCGATTCCACCACCGCCTGGATGCTGCGCCTGCACTCGCACGTCGTGCACGTCGCGCTCACCGTCGCGACGCCGCTTTTCCTACCGCACTTCATCAAGCACGGCATCTCTCGCATGTTTCAAGGCACGAACAAGAACGTGACATGAGCCGTAGCCGGCTATTTGTAACGTGAGAGTTCTCGAAGTGCGCTCCTCGACTTTCTCGCGTCGCGCCTCCTCACTCGCGAGCGCTCGGACATGCACCGCGCGTGCGCCCGAGTCGCCATGTCATCCGCCCCCGGTCGACGCCAACGAACGGGGACGTCACAAAATTCCTTCGTCGCGCGCGTGCGACGCTTCGTCGGCGGTGCGTCCGTCAAAGCGGCTCGAGCGACGCGCGCGCACTCGAACGACGCCGACGACGCATCGGATGCCGGAGGATACCGACGACCGCCCGACGATCTGACGCAGTTCACGGAGCGACCGGCGAGCCCGAACGTGACGCTCTCGCCCGACCGCTCGCGATTGCTGTTTCTGCATAAACCGCCGCCGCTGCCGCCGGTGTCGACGCTGGCGCTGGAGGAGGTCAAACTCGGCGGCGTGCGGGTGGACCCGGCGCAGAATTCCTCGTCGAGGATGGGACATCAGACCAAGCTGAGCATGGGAGCGATGCCGACGAAGGATGAAGAGATCGGTGTGAGCGAGGAGTTTAAGGGGATACCGGAGAATGCTTTGTTGAATTACGTGAGTTGGTCGCCGGGTGGAACAAAAATCGCGTTCACGACGCGCTCGAGTGGAGAGCCGGGTGAACCCGAGCGCGGGCCGCTCAAGCTGTGGATCGCGGACGCAAACACGTTGGAGTGCAAGGTCTTGCTCCCCGATCGCGGGTTGAACACGGTTTTCGAGTCGTACAGTTGGTTGGATGACGACACCATCGTTGCGTGTTGCATTCCGAAAAATCGTCCAAACGATGCGCCCAAGCGACCTCAAACCCCGTTCGGTCCGAGAATCCAGAGTAATCGCGGTGGTAACGTCGCACAGGCGCGAACGTACGCGGACTTACTGAAGGATACGCACGATGAGTCTCTGTTCGATTACTATTGCACGTCTGAACTCGTGGCGGTAGACACACGAAATGGATCGACGAAACCTTGGGGAGATGGGAAACCGAGAATTTACACGCGAGTCGATCCGTCTCCAGACGGTAAATTCGCCATTGTGCAGACCATGAATCGTCCGTATTCGTACGCTGTCCCGTGCGGACGATTCCCGCAGAAAGTTTGGGTCGCGGACGCGACAGGGAACGTCGTGCGAGAAGTTGCCGATTTGCCTTTGGCAGACAAAGTTCCCATCGTTCACAACGCCACGCGCGAGGGACCTCGTGCGGTGAATTGGCGCTCGGATAAACCCGCGTCGCTTTATTGGACGGAGGCGCAGGACAAGGGTGATCCGAGAATCGATGTGTCACCACGTGACGTGACATACTCTGTTGATATCTCTGTGGATCCCGCGGCGGCTCCAAAAGTGATGTTCAAGACGGATTTCCGCTATGGTGGCGTCGCCTGGGGTGGCGATGACTTATCCATCTTATACGAAAGCTGGTACAAGACGAGGACGTCGCGAGTATGGGCGACGGCTCCCGGCGACGTCGACCCGGACGCCACAAAAAGTATGTTATGGGAGCGTGACTACGAAGACAGTTACAATGCCCCTGGTTCATTCTGCACCCGTCGCACCGATGATGGGTCGTATATCTTGGCGCGCGTCATCGGACCCACGCCATTGGGTGAGGGCAAGGCGACCGGCCCTGGTGTTAAGCTTTTGTTAGAGGGTGAAGGGGCGAACCCGCAGGGCGACAAACCTTTCATCGATTTATTTGACGTCGACACCGGTGCGAAACATCGTCTTTGGGAGAGTAAACCGCCGTTTTTGGAGCACCCAGGAAGTTTGGTGAGCGATTTCGGCGGCCCGGAAAAGGCTCCGATTACGATGGAGACTATGCGTATCCTGTTCTCTCGCGAGAGCCCATCAGAGAATTCACAGTACTACACGCTTCAGATGAACGCGGACGGATCCGCAGGTAAAGAGACGAGAATCACGAATTTCCCGCATCCGCATCCGAATCTCAAAGAGTTACCCAAGGAGATCATCAAATATACGCGTTCGGATGGGGTTGAGCTCAATGGGACTTTGTACACGCCTCCCGGGTACAACGCCGAGCGCGACGGTCCCCTTCCTTTACTCATGTGGGCGTACCCTCGCGAGTTCAAGACGAAGGAGTCCGCGTCACAGCTCAGAGACTCTCCTTATCGCTTCACCGGTATCGGCCCTTCGAGCGCGTTGGTCTGGCTCGCCCGCGGGTACGCTGTTCTCGACGGCCCGGCTTTGCCAATCATCGGTGAGGGCGAGGGCGTTGAACCGAACGATACCTACGTCGAACAACTCGTCGCCGGCGCTCGAGCGGCTGTCAATGAAGTTGTTCGACGAGGAGTGGGTGATCCCGATAGGATTGCCGTGGGTGGTCACTCTTACGGGGCCTTCATGGCGGCCAACTTGCTCGCGCACGCACCTGACTTATTCGCTTGCGCCATCGCTCGTAGTGGCGCATACAATCGCACACTGACACCGTTCGGATTCCAGGCCGAGGAGCGCACGCTTTGGGAAGCTCCCGAAACGTACGAGGCGATGAGTCCGTTCATGAATGCGCACAAAATTAAGAAGCCAATCCTCCTCATTCATGGCGAAGAGGATACGAATAGCGGAACACACCTCATGCAGTCTGAACGGTTCTTCGCCGCGCTCAAGGGTAACGGTGCCGAGGTCAAGCTCGTTATTCTACCGCATGAGTCGCATGGTTATCGTGCGAAAGAAAGCATCAACCACATGCTCGCAGAAACGAGTGATTGGCTCGATACGCACTGTGCTCCTGGGGCAAAGAAATCTGCCGAAGAGCGTGTGGCGCTGGCGGCGGCTGAAGAAGAGTCAAAGACCAAAGAGGCGGTACCTCGTTAAATTAATTAGTACCAGACGGTACCCGCCTAGTGTATCCTTCGCTATGTCACATTACCAACGCTAGTCTAATGATGCCAGACGTCCCCAAAATCGTCGTCGTCGCTTCCATACGACTCGTCGCCGTCGCGGTATCCTCTTGGCAAGAAACCTCCATCAGATTCGCCCGACTCTGTGTCCGGGTAATCTACACCGAAATAGTCCTCCGCGTTGCTATCGTCATCGTCGCCGAAATCACTCTCAAAGTCGTCTTCACCGACGTAATCGTGAAAATCGCGAATGCGAATCACTGGCAGGTAGCCTTCATCGCCTTCGTCGGCGCCCTCGACGTCGTTCGTTACACCGTCCTCTTCCATGACGTACACGTCGTACACCCACTCCGCGCTGTCTTCAGATCCCGAAGGTTTCGTCACCTCGCCCTCGAATGCGGGCACGTCCGACGCCGAACCCTTTCCGCTTCGCTCAAGATACTCCCGAACCATCGGTGCGTAGTTGCACATCAACGTCGACTCCGCTTCCACGTCATCGCCACCGCGTCTCGCCTCCGCTACGACGTCCAAGAATCGACACTCCGCCGAACCTTTCATTTCCGAAATCAGACCGCCACGCCGCACCTCTGAATCCCTCGACGCATCGTTCCCTTGGTTGCGCCACGCGTCGTTCGTCATCGCGGCCGCTTCGTCTACGCCCTGCGCCACGCGCGCGCACGTCCGTCGCCTCTTCGCCGACCTTACCGCTCCTCGCGCGACACCCACGTCCACGTGAGACCGGTCGATGTCCCCGTACGGCGTCGCCGCGCTCCCGCCCTCGAGCACGGCGTCCAGCGTCGCCGCGAGCTCGGCTGCCCGTCGTCGCATCTTCATCTTTTCATTACTTTCTCCATCATTTCCGTCGCTCTCGAGCGCTATGACGGGCGCAGAGGCGTCTTCTCGACGGCGCTTTACGCGCACGATCGTTCGCACCATCGTTCGCTCGCGCGTGACGACACGCGTCGGCGTGTAAGGCACTCGTGAGCGCCGCCACTTGATGTTCTCAGCTCTTCACTCTCTGAAAACCGCATCGAACGACGCGTCATGAGCGACCGAGGGAAAGTTTTGGCTTCGACCGCGTGCGCGGTGATCGCGACGTGCGGAATCACGCTCGCGATCGCTCGTAAGACGGCGCGCGGGCGGATGTTCGCGATCAAAGATGATGACTCTGTGTCCACAAAAATCCAAAATGAAGACGTTTCAGACGACGCGCGCGCGCGACCGATCGCGTTGGTGCTCACGTCACATCCGGACGATGAATCGTACTTCTTCGCGCCGACGATTCAGTTCTTGAGGCGTTCGGGGCGTTCGGTACACCTGGTGTGCTTGAGCGACGGCGCGGCTGGCGGAGACGGCGAAGAGAGGAAACGAGAGTTGCTCAAGGCGAAGGAGGCGCTCGAGATCGAGGCTCTGTGCGTGGTCGAGACGGAGGATTTGAGAGACGGGATGGATCGCGATTGGCCCAGAGAGACGGTGATGGCTGTGTTGGACGCGTACGAGGAGGGGGCTCCAGGGGCGATCGAGTCTGTGGTGACATTCGACGGTCGAGGCGTGAGCGGACACATCAATCACGTAGCGACGCACGAGGGGGCGAAGATGTGGATCGAACGGAAGAAGGATGTGTTGGCAGCGAATGGGGGCGACGGATCGGTGCCGCGAGTGTGGGTATTGGAGACGACGAATATTGCGCGCAAGTATTCCGGAGCGCTGGACGCGGCGACGTCGTATTTGACTACGTTGGTCGATTCGAGGCGCGCATTCATTCCTTGCTTGTCCTTAGCCGAGAGCTTCAGAGCCGTTCGTGCGCATAAGTCGCAGTTCGTGTGGTATCGTAAGCTCTTCTTCGCGTTCTCTAGGTACACGTATTTGAACACGCTGCGCCGCATCGATTAATGCAACTTCTTCTCTTCGCACGTCGAAAACGATTGCTCGTAAAATTCTTTGACCAGATGCTACACAATGACTAATGCGGCGAGCGTTGCCCGACCCAACCGAGCGCGTGCGATCGACTCGGAGGCCAGTCTCTTGGGTCGGAGATAGGAAGCCTCCAAAATCCTATGGATCCATCATAGGAGCCGCTAAAAACAGTCGCTGCATTGCGGCCGGCGCTCGTCAACACGCGAACGGCGTCGTTGTGCGCGTGAAAAACGCCGACGCACTCGAACTCGGTCTCGGATTGCACGCCCCACAGCCTCACGGTTGTGTCGTATGAGCCCGAAACTAAGTGACCGCCCATGACGCACAACGCTAAGACGGCCTCAGTGTGGCCATTGATGATATGCTTGCAGCTGAAGGTTTCTAGATCCCACACGCGAATCGTCTTGTCCCATGATCCACTGTACAAGTATCTATCGTCCACGGTCAAAACGCGCACGTTGTCGGTGTGCCCCTTGAGTTCCTGGATGCACTCAAATGTCCCGGCGTTCCACACGCGAACGTTTGAGTCATCTGAGCCACTAAATACGTAAGGTCCGATGGCGCGGTTGCTCGATGTCGCCTGCCGACGCGGAAAGCACGCGAGCGCACGAACGGCGTCTTTGTGCCCCTTTAAAGTTTTCACCAAATCGGTGCCCGCGGACGGACCGATGTCCTCCGAGTATGCCGGCCACACTCTCACAGTGCGATCATATGAGCCGCTAAAAACATAGTCGTTCACCGTCACCAACGTGCGAACGGGACCGTTATGCCCGCGAAGTACTTTAAGGAGTTCAAGTGACTCGATGTCATACGCTCGTATGGTGTGGTCGTAAGACGCGGTGTATAGCGTAGTGTCGTTGTACACTTGAAGCGCGCGCACAGCATCGGTGTGCCCCGGCAGGTACGTTATGCGACGGTACGTGCTCAGATTCCATACGCGAACGGTGCAGTCATAAGAACCACTGAACAGTTTGTCGTGCTTCACGCAAACCGCGAGGCACAAGACCGGTCGAGTGTGTTCTTCCAACACTTGAACGCAGCGTCGACTGCTGATGTCCCACGCTCGAATCGTCTTGTCTGCGGACGCGCTGAACAACGTTGTTGGCGTGGTGTCCACGCCCCAAACGATTTCATCGTGCCCTTCGGCAATGGTATACACCGGATGTTGATCGTCGCTCGCGTCGGCATTCGCAGCAGGCGCAACGACCGCGGCGCCGGCACCGAGGGCGTCTCGCAAGCCGATGATATCGCTGTTCTGTCTATGGATGTCCACCACCGCCTTGTCGTGCAGCGGCGCGAGTGGTCGGAGCGCGGATAGCTCCGCGGGCGCCCAAGACTGAATCGCGGTGCGAATTGCATGATTCGGAATGAGTTCCAGGTGACGCAGGCGCACGCCCGTGACCGGACACGTCCGGTGTCCCTGATCTAACCATCGCTGAATCGCCGGTCTGTCGTATGTGTGCCCCGTCGCGATCATCACCGGATCTTGCATCAGCTCCATCGTTATCGGGCACTGAAAGTGCGCAGGTATCTCCAACGCTATTCCACTCGCGATCATCCCGCCGGGCTCTCCTTCCTTCTTCTCCATCTCGATGTCTTCCTTCGCCGCTATCGGTGTCAACTCCTCCCGTGCGTCGCTCTCCATTCCGCTCAACATCCCTTCCCTAATCTCCGTCGTCGTCCCGTCGTAATCCATCTCGCAATTGTCCTCGTCATCGTTACGGTTCTGTCCGCTGAATTCGCTGTCGGCGTCTCGGAATCCGTCGTCATTCGCGTCCACGTACGCCGCGCGACTACCGCCCGAATCCGAATCTTCGCGTCGGTTTTCCCTCGCATTCGTCGTCATCGGTTCTTGAACGTCCGGTACCACCTCCGATGGGTCCGACATCTCGCGCGTCACTCGTTCGCGACGTCCACGCGTCGTTCGCGCTCTGCGTACACGAAAACCGAGCGAGACTTGCAGCGAAATCGATCAAAATCAGATCTGACGAAACCGTTTATCCCGCGTTCCGTCGTCTTCACCGCTCGCCGGCCCGCGAGCCCACGAGCGCGTCGGCGGAAGCGAACGAATCGCACGGACGTCGATCGCGCGCGCGCGCCGACCGAGCGATCGACGCGGACGCGCGAGCGGCAGTGGGACGTCGACGCGTCGGGTGCGCGCGCACCTGGATATCAAATGCGTTCGTGGTATGTAATATACGAGCACATTGTACGTATATACATGTATGTAAGGCGAGGTGGGTGGTTTAGATTGATTCTCGCGGAATGTCAATCGACGTTTCGTCACCCTCGAGACGCCTGGCGCCACACGGTGGGACGACTTCATGCGCGTCCGGCGACGGACGTGCGCTCGGCGCGGGGCGATGGGGATGACGATTTTAGTCGCGTCGATGTGCGTCGCGATTCGAGGATGGCTTCGAGGAGGACGCGGCGTGAGTCGAGCGCCGTTGCGCATGACGGATGTGTGTCTGTTCTCGCCGAGCACGCCGGGGCGCCTGCGAGCGGCGCTCCCGAGGATCGCGTCGACCTGGGGTGGGTCGATCTCCATAGCGGTCGTGGCGGACGTCGTTGGAGATCCGACGCGAACGGCCAGCGAGCTCGAGGGTTTGGTGTCGACGCTGGAGGGGGATGTGGCGCGGGTGTCCATCGCGGTGGTCGAGAAACTGGAAGAGTTTGGCGACGACGATCATGAGCCGCGATTTCCGGTCAACTTTTTGCGTAACATCGCGAGAGAGAAGTGCAGTGAGCTTGGAGCGACGTGGGTGCTCGCGCACGACGTGGATTTCGAGTGCTTCGCGCCGAACGCGTCCGCATTTCTAAACGACGTCTCGAGCGTGTTGCGACCGGGTCAGAGACACGCGCTCGTGGTTCCCGCGTTTGAGCTGCATGCGAGATGGAGTGCGAAGATGAATGCGAAGCGCGATGCGATCAGAAATCATCGAAAACGCCATACAGCGACCCTACCGGCGGTCACGGACGTCGGAACGTCCGATGGCAATGCGTTTCCTGCAGCATTCTTCGAGTCGCTCATCGAGAGAGATCGAGATCGAGTGATCGAGCGTGAGATGCGAACGCCGCTAAATTTGACGTTTCCTTACAGTGATCGCGAGCGATTACGCAAACTCGTCGATGAGAGACGTCTGAGCGCCGGATTTCAGGTTCGGTATTTTCCTAGAGCGCACGCGCCATCAAATTACAATCAGTGGTTTTCGAACGTGACATGCGAGCCATATCGAGTCGCCGCGCACAAACACCCTTGGTACTACGAGCCATATGTCATTCTTCGCGCTGACATGGCGCTGCCGTTCGATGAATCGTTCGTCACATACGGTTTTAACAAGGTACAGTACGCGCACGAGCTTGCCGCCGCTGGATTTGTTTTCTACGTGACCAAAAATGCCCACACGGTGCACACTAATGTTCACCTGACGCGAGCGATGGCGAACCTTCGTGGGAAGGATTTAGAGAAATGCCTGACGCATCCTGCTGGATCGAAGGATTACAGAATCGCGCGCATCGGTCACAGTTGCATTCCGGCGTTTTTTCGTCGCATGCAGTGCGCGTACGGCTTCACATTGTCATCGCTAGACTTTTCATTGGCAGATGACGATGTTCCGGTCCCGCAGGATTTACTCTTTCGTCTCCAGAGCGATGAGAACATCGTGTGCTACGCGGGGTGCGTTACGGATTTGGAGGAGAGCACTCGCACACCAGGCATCGCCACTTTTCGCGGCGGGCGCTGGACGAACGTCACGCCAAGATCCGACGCGCGTCGACGAAAACGGGGTCACTGTGAGCGTTTTGACGGCCACATTACTTAGCAGATAGATTTGAACTTACACAACGAGACAAAATGTACAACACCGCACCTAGAACGAGACTATACGCGGCGTTTGGCTAGGCGAGGAACTGAGATGGCGAAAACGGAACCGGAGCTACCGTGTCGTTACGTCTCGGTCTCGTCGGCGTCGTCATCCCAGCGAGAATTGGGACTTCTGTGACGTCAACACCACGCAAGAGTTCCTCCGCGCGGTCATACATGCTCGTGTTTGCGCTTTTAACTGTGCGCATCAAGTTCACTGCGTCGACGTTTTCAGCGACACCAGTGGAATCGTCGCTTGTCTTCGCCTGTTTACCGCTTCGGCGGAAGAGGTGAGACAAACGCATGTTGCGCCCTCGCTTCTTTCTATCGGGTGAAACGAACGCTTGCAAATCCTCGATCGAGTTGATGCCAGGCATCTTCGGCATTTGAACGTTCGACAAGTTGATGTTCGAGGCTTCCAGCGTGCGCGCATCTGGTATCTTCGCAACGTCCAGCCCCTCCACTGCGGCCATCGCGGCGCCCGATGGAAGCGCCAGCTTGTTCGGCGGAGTGATGCCGATACCGTGATACGCCCCTTGCGGTGTCGACGCCGTCTCAAAAACCGGCGACGTTGTCAATTGTTGAGGCGAGTCACTAGCGCTGGCAAATTCGTCGAGAATCTCACCAATCCTGAACGGGCTCCCCTCCACGGCGTTCGCGCGAATGTCTGAATACGGCGAGCCACCGACGCTCTGCGAGCCGTACGGAGAGGCAAAGATGTTGGCATTGATAATTCCTGGTGGATTTGAAGCCTCGCCGTCAGACACGTCAAACATGCTCCGGCGAATGCCACACTTGGTCGGCGACGCCGCGTACGAGGAGGCACGTCTACTCATGTCCACACCACCTCTGTACTGTAAACTCGACCCCGCGTTGGGTTGGTGCGATCGGTTCGCGTGTGCCGGATTCAACGCCAGCGCCTTGCGCGTCGCCGCGTGCTTCTTCACGGTCAAGCTCTTTCCCTTGGATCCGCCAGCGCTCGGTTCCGCCGCCGCGAGCGCCGATAAGCCTTGATTCAGCGCCTGATCAACCTTTCGTTTCAGCGTGGAGTTCCAGTGATTCTTGATCGCGTTATCGGTGCGTCCCTTGAACGACTTTGCGATCTCCGCCCACCTGTTGCCGTACTCTGCGTGTGCGAGTATGAGCTGGCGGTCCTCCTCTGAACTCCACTCCTCACGCTTAATCTCGGGATCTAGGTGATTGTACCACCGCTCTCGGCACTGTTTCCCGATTCTCCCCGGAAGTTCGCTCGCGATCTTGCTCCATCGCTTCGGACCGAGCTCAGTAACGAGCTGAATGATCTTCGAGTCCTCCTCCGTGGTCCACGGCCCCTTGACTAAATCCGGATTCAAAACTTTCTGCCACCTGTGCAAGCACTGTACGTCCGTGCGCGTGTCGCTAAAGTGCACCGCTACGATTGAAACCACGAACGAAATCATCTCGTCAGTCTTCGCTCTTGATCCGCTCGTCATTTGTCGTCTCATCTGAGCCGTCGCTCAGTCGGGTCACGCTTTTTCAAACGCCGTGCGCGTCCGTACCAATCTTCTTCCAATTCTTCCCGTTGTGCACAGCCACCGCTCTGCGAAGCAACTCGTCCTGTTATCGCGCGCACGCGTCATTGTCAATCGCTCAGCACGCCGAAACGCGTACTCTTCGAGCATCGAATCGAGAGTGACAATTTGAAATTCAAAATTTCAAAAAAACGCACCTCCTCGGGCGTCCACCCGCCCTTGGCGCTCCGTCTCGTCGGTCCCCCGATCTTCCTGACATCGCGCGAAAATAACTTGGTTAGAATTCACCGCACGAGTCAGCGCTCTAAATCACGACGCACCCGTCACCGTACGCGCTCATGTTGAAGAATCCACCGTCGCTCGCGCTCGCGTCTCGAACATCGCTCATCATCGCTCGCTTTTTATTCCTCTCTGTCGACGCGTTTCGTTTCCCGCTCCGCCGCTTGGTGGACTTGTTGGATGATTTTTTCTTCGTCGTTTGGCGGTTCTCCATCGACGGTGACAGCGTCACGCGCGCGCGGGCGACGCGACGAGAGCGCTCGGGCGGCATGTCGCGGCGTCCTCTGACGCGCCCGTGCGTCCGACTTTTTGTTTTTTTCATCTTTGGAGGTGTACGTGTTCGGTCCTCTATTTGATGGAGGATTTGGTTGTTTTATATTTGGAAGATGAACCATCGTTCTCGCCGGTGACTGCGCGCGCGCGCGTTGACCCGTGTGCGCGTGAGAGCGGGACGCGCGCGCGCGGGGAGTCGAGACGAAACTCGGCGAGTGACGAGCGAATCGATGTCGCGGGAGACGCGGGATGGTTCACGGCGCGATGAGAAATGGAACAAAGATGATGACACAGAAGATGAATCGGCCGTGACAGCGTTCGCGCACCGCGAGCTCGAGCGCTTCCGAGTGCGCGCGGCGTCGTTGGAGCTCGCGAATCGCGATTTAGTCGTCGCGAAACGTCGAGCGGAGGCTCAAGCGGAGGCTCGAGTGGAAAAGGAACGAAGAGGGTTGAAGGCGGAGCGAGACGCGTTGGAGGCGGAACGCGTAGAGTTGACCGAGCGAGAGCAGAGATTGAGAGCGTTCGCGAGCGATCGAGCGTCGTATGAGAACGAGTTAGCAATCGCGAGAGGAGAGTGCGAGCGCTTGACCGCGACGCTCGCGACGGAGCGGGCGGAGATGGAGCGATCGTTTGCGGCAAGGATGGGCGAGACGCGCGCCGAGTGCGATGCACGCGTACAGCGAACGAAAGAAACCGCCGAATCAACGATGACGGCGCGAATGGAGCGGTCGGTAAAGAGAATTTTGGCGCAAAATAGAAAAATGAGCGAAGAGCTCAGGGTTCAGGTGAGCGAGACGGACGCGCTACATCAAAGGTACGAGACAGCGAGCGACGAGGCGGAGAGCTTGCGGCGCCGCGTCGTCGTCATGGAGGACGTCGAACGCGAGCGCGCCGAGCTCGATGCGATGCGAGCGAAGGAGATGCGAAAGGCAGATGAGAAGATCGTCACGCTCGAACGCGGTATTCGCGAGCTCATGGAGGCATTCGAGACGCAAAAGGCGGAGTGGGAGAGAGAGGCGAGCGAAGCGCGAAGTATCTGCGAGGAAGAGGTCGCGCATCTCAGGCGCTCTCTCGCGTTGAAATCACGCGAGTTGACCAACATCAGGCGATTGGCGAAGGAAGTCGTGTGCCACTACGAAGACGTGTGACGCGTTCGTCGTTAACGAATGTTTTATCAATTTCAATTGTACTGGTACCGGTACACGGTTGAGCGATTTCAGTCGTCGTTTCTCACCTCCATCTATCGCCACGCTCGAGAAGTCTCGCGTTTCCTTCGCGGCCCCCTATCGATGGTCCATGTCTACTGCTATTATCTCCGTAAGTAATGTTTTCCGACTGAACCACGGAGCCGTCCGGCATTGTCCTGACGGTTCGACTCACGGTTTTTGTCACTCCGTCCGCACCACGCGTCATCGTCGTCGTCGTTGATCTCGACCACTGCGACGAAGATGTGGGCCCCATCATCCCGCCGAATGACCCGCCGAACGACATCGCGCTTCTACCACCGAAGAACGAATCGTTCTCGAATGGATCCTCAAACATTGACCGTCGTCTTCCAAACACGCCGCCCGCCTCGCGGAACGGGTCGATCCCGCCCGTACGCCCGTCCCCGAAATCGTCCCCGAAAACCTCTCGGAAAATCTCAAAGGGGTCCCTGAACCTGTGATGGGCGAAGAAGGGATCCGAATCGAACCTGAAACCACCGCCGCCGTCGCCGTGACGATCCCGCGACGCGTCGTCGTCGTCCACATCGAATCGTCGTCCACGATCGTGCGCGCGCCGTCGATCCTCGTCCCCGATCACCTCGTACGCCCTAGAAATGCGCTCAAACTCCTCGCGTCCGCGCGGGTTCTTATCCGGATGATACGCGATCGCTAAGCGTCGATACGCGCGGCGGATCTCACTGTTCGACGCCGATGGTTCGACGCCTAAGACGGCGTACGGACACTCGTTCGAGCGATCTGGGCCTCCGCGCATGACCACGGCGGTCGGGGGTATCGTTCCGCGAGTTCGCGTGAACCAGTGTGAGGAACGAAGCGTCGCGGATTGAGGCTGTGATGGATTGTTGCATCCGAGAGAAGGCGCGAGAAAGCGCCGCAGGCATCAGAAGCGCGCAGCGTCAATATCGGTAAATGCCTAGATATTACATAAATAATCATGCACTGGCGCCCTTCTTGGCGTCGTAGAAGTCATACTCGCCGAGTCGTCGCTTTAGTACGTCGTACAGCTCCGGATTGGCATCGATCCTCGGTTGGAACAGTGAGTCGGGGGCGCCGAAGTACGTTGGCGATTTCAGCATCTTGTCAATCATTCTGTGGACCCAGGGCGCCATGACTTTGAGTACGAAGCGGACAACGGTGGTCGGTATGAAGCGCATCTTCACGTCGGCGTGAACCACGATATCACCGCGCGTGCGCGGGACCGTGGAACCGTGTTTGGGCGGGAGTGAACGCATGCGCATGCCACAGTTGCCGACGAATTCGATGCGCTTGCGCTTTGCGGCGGATTTTGGCGCCCCGGTCCCGACATCGTCCCCTTTCGTCGCCGTGCGCGTCAGCAAGACTGCGCACGAGTGCGGGACCTCGGACTCGAACTCGTCCATACCGGGGACCTTCAAGTGATCCATCGTCGAGGACGGAGGTTGACCGACGAAGCATGCGTCGATGACGATTATCTTGTCTCTTGCGCTGAGTGGCCACGGAAGCCAGATCGCTGAGTACACGACCACGTGCATGAGACCGCGAACGAGAAGAATCGCAGTCTCGATGGCGTACTGATTCCATTTCGGCATCAGATCCCACTCGCGAGCGACGGCAACGAGACGGTGCGGCGGCGCGTCAAAGGTGGCGCTGAGTTTCACACTGTGCACGGTGCCTCCTTTGAAGCGGCCGTAGTACACCACCAGCCGCTCGTCCAAGTCTGGATCCGTGTCGAACGTCTCGCGCATCTCTCTTCCACCGATAACCGGTTGTGTCGCCGCGAGCGCGCCCACGTTGTCGCCCAAATCCACGCTCGAGCTGGCGGACGTGCGCCCGGACCGCGTCTCTCTACGTCGATGTCCCGGTCGCGGTGGCGGCGCCAAGTCGTGATCTAACGTCCCCCCCCGAGACGTTTGCACGAAACCAGCGTCGATAACGCGCGCGAGCTCGTTTTTTTCCGCGTTCACGTTGATCTCCACGTCGGCGTATCGATCGCGCGTCGGCCTGGCCCACTCCGCGCTCGCCGCCTTTTTGCACGCCAACCTCAACGCGTTCGCGTCCAATTCCTCAGCGCTGACTAGCCGTTCCCTCGTTCCCGTGTCCACGCTCGACGCCCTTCGACTCCCCGTGTCCACGCTCGACGCCCTTCGACTCCCCGTGTCCACGCTCGACGCCCTTCGACTCCCCATGTCCACGCTCGACGGCCTTCGACTGTGGTTTGCTCCGATGATAACCTCCGCGTCGAAATCCACACTCGACGCGCTCCTCCGAGTCGTCGCCCGTCGCGCCGCCTTTCCTACCGGTTTCCAACCATCGTGATGTTCCTCTAACTCCACGTCGTTCAGCGCGATCGCTTGCTCGTACACGTCCAACCACCGCTCGGCGCGTTTGTCCGCGTACTCGTGCGGCGCCGTCGAAGATTCCTCCAAATCCGAATTACCATCCTCTCCCGATCGCTCCGGCGCGCCCTCGCGTCGACGTAACGCCCACAGAGCCGCTTCGAGCTCGCCCACCGACGCCAGCGCGCCGGCGTCGTCCGTCGACCCGCTCGGGGTCGCGTGCCATTCGACTTCAAATCGCTTCGACGCTTCGCTCACACAAAACGTCTCCCAATCGAGCTCGAACGCGTCCTCCCTGGCGTCGACGAAGATCTCCGACGGCGCGCCGTCGGGCGCCGTCGGCGGCGCCGCCGGCGACGCCGCGACGGTGTCGTCGCGCGAGCAACACGCGCCCATGGTCCCGGCGTCACCTTATGGCGTATCGTCGTGTGTAATACAGGAAGAGCGCCCGAGCGCGACGCGCGGCGCACCGCGGCACTCCGCGACGCGCATTCGCTCGCGCGACGCGCGGCGAACGATGACGATGATTCTCGCCTCCACCGTGCCCCGCGTCGACGGCGTCGCGACGCGCGCGGTGACGCGAGAGGGACGATCGACGACGACGAGCGCTAAACCTGGTCGCGAGAGCGTGTTCGCGACGAGAATCGGACGAAGCGAGCGCGTCAAGGCGACGAGAACGGCGACGGTGGTGCGTGTGCATATAGTTTCATCGCTCGCACGCGTTCGGTCACGCGTGCGAGCGGTTCGCAGGACGCACGCGCGGGACGTTTGAATCGTGAAGAGAGAGACCTTCTGTTGAGGGTTAGACGCGCGCGAGCGGGAGGAGCGTCGAAGTTGATGTTGGTGGTTGAATGCGTGTGACTGACGATACGTTTGATGCGTTATCCTGAAATCTAGGTACGATCGGCGAGCGATGCGATACCGGACACGTTCCAGATGCCGTTCAGACCTTCGCCGAGCGGGTCGACGGGTAAGGGAAAGGGATTCTTAGAGATTTGGTTCGGCAAGGATGAAGCGAACGAGGGTAAGACTCGACCGCCGCCGTACCTACGAATCCTGGCGTGTTTGCCGTTTCTCATTCCGATCATGGGGACAATCGCGTTCACGCACAGCGCGTACGAGATGATGCCAATCTTTAAGCACGCGATGGTCTTCTTCGCGCCGGCGATGCAGCTCTTTTACGGGAACCAGTTCATTCCCTTTGTCACCTTTTTCGCGTTGTTTTTGCTCGTCGTGCGGAACGAAAAGATGCCGTATTTCGTGCGTTATTGCACCATGCAAGCCATCTTGCTCGACATCTGCTGCATGTTGGGGGGGTTGATCATGCAATACATGCCGATCTTCGTCATGGTGAGCGTTTTCGGGGAGTGGATGGAGCTCTGGATCTTCGCTAACTCCTTCTTCGCGCTCGGGTACTCCATCTTCAACGCACTCCAAGGTTTGATTCCGGAAGCGCCGTTGATCTCCGAGGCGGTGTATGCGCAGGTGCAAGAGGCGAGAGAGCAATTCATGGATGAGGAGGAATAAAACTTGGATGAGATGCGCGCTGCGCGACTCCAATATAGCCCCACCAGTCGCGGAGCGACCAGCCTTGACAATCGAAAACACTACGTTCACCCAAAAACGCTGAGTAATCTTCTTCAGCGGCACCTCAGCGTTGACATTCGACGATTTACACCGCTCGAGCCGTCCATCTCCGCCCGCTCTTCGCGTCCAGAGCCGCGCCAGTCTCGCGGCTCGGAGCGTCATCCAAAAAGATCTCTACCTTCAGAGCTGTATTAAATTCACAACAATCTTTTCCACTCGGCCTCGCTCGTACGTCTTCAAACGACGCCGCCCGTAGGTTTTTCGACGCATACGTTTATTCCGAGCGTCATGTCTCACCTCAGCGCCGCGTACGCGCCGTCGTCGGTGCGCACGAGCCGAAAGATTACTCTGAACAAGCCACCCAAGGCGACGTCACAAAAACAAATTCGATCCGTCGTCGTGAAAGCGTCCACGGGCGATGCAGGCGAGCAAACGGGCGCGAGCAGACGCGCAATGTTGGCGTCGATCGTCACCGTCGGTTCGTTCGGCGCGAGCGCGATGAAGGGCGCGAGCGCGGACGTCGGGGAATACTTCTCCAACCTGTTGGTGGAGAAACCGCCGCCGCCGCGACGGGAGATTATGCTCCCGGAACTCGAGGTCGAGGCGCTGACTCGGGAGGAGGGATACCGAGGGACCACGGGGGCGAATAAATCCAAGGCGCAGATCGAGTTCGCGCAGTTCATCGCGCCGATCATTGAACAAAACATCGACTTGGATTTCGGCTCATACTTTCGACTGGCGTTGGCAGATTTGGGAACGTACTCTGTCGTCGGGAAGAAGAACGGTCTGAACGGGAGCATTCGATTCGAGTTGGACCGACCGGAAAACAAGGGCCTGAAGCGAGCGTTCGAATCCATCGAGAAGATTAAGAAGGCTGTGGACGCGAAGACGACGCAACCCATCACGTACGCCGACTTGATTGCCATCGTGCCGCACTTCGCCGCTCGAAGGCAGTTCCGTAAGGATTACGTCGAAGAGGTTGGCGACGATAAGGATTATGAATTCTTGTTCATCGGTACCAACCCGTTTTTGGGGGCGAAGATTCGCATCGGTCGTCGCGACGCTGAGACGGCGGATCCAGAAGGCTTAATCCCGCTCGAGAACGGCACCGTCGACGACTTCCTCGCCTGGTTCAAGCGCATGGGTCTCGGCCCGAACGAGCTCGCTGCGCTCGCACCGTACCTGTACGAAGATCCCCAAAAGGGTATCGATATTGTCTCTCAAAACGGCACGTGCGCGCGCTTGCTCGATGTGTACGAGACGCAGCGTATTTTGGGCAAGCGCGCCCCGGGCCCAGCCGTGACCATCATTAAGAATCTCAAGCAAATGACGGATCAGTGCATCGTTGGTGGTCCATTGAGCGTCGCTCCGGCGCAGCTTGATCCGCTGTACGTTGATTACTACTTCATTAAGGGTGGCGGCGAGATCCCGCGTGTGTCCGCGGCTGGCGCCTACCCGGGCTCGGTCTACGACAGCGGCTCCAAGCTCGCGATGCAGCTCCGCCAGGCGCAGGCCGAACAGCGCGCGCAAGCCGCCGCCGAGAAATAAACTCATTAATTATGCGGTGTAACACGACAAGCATTTTCAAAAGAGAACTCTTTCGTTAAAAGAAACGTCGTCACCGTGCGCGCGCTCGCAGTCTTAGCACCCGTCCATCGCCTTCGCCCACGCTCGAGTTTCCGTTTCACCTCATCATCGCTACTCGCATTACCATTCGAACCTCCGCATTTTATCGTCTCCCGATGCCCGCGCGCGTCGCCGAACGCGCGCTTCATCGTCGCCGAACGCGTCACGACGGCGGCGGATACTTCGCCACCTCCTCCCTCACCCTACGATCGTAACTCGCCCGATCCGTCGTATACGCCACGTACGCCTCACTCTGCGCCGGCGACTTCTCATTCGGCGTGTGCAACAACTCCTGAATCCCCAACGCCACTTGCTTCACGCTCACGCTCGGTCGCCACCCCTCGTCCTCGTTCAAGATGCTCAGGCACACCGTCCCGCTCGGGTACACGTTCGGATGATAGAATCCCTTTGGAAATTTACACTTCATCGGTTTCGCCGGGTACTCCCTCGGGAACTCCATCGCGAGCGGGATGAACGCTCCCGCCCACGCCGTGTCCTTGGCCCCGGGGACGACGCACTTCCATCGAAACAAATCCACGGTGCCGTCCGCCGCGCGCTCGGGCCTGGCGAAGAACCCCGGGGGGTGATCCTTGCGCCAATTTTTTCGCTCCTCGGCCAATCGTCGCGCGGCGACGTCGGACATCGCGGCGACGCGCGGATGCGCGCGCGGAGGTGCGTCGCGATGCGTTCGTGCGTGGACTTTTCTGACGCGCGCGGGGCGCTGGTGACGCGCACACGGCGACGCTCGACGGACGCGCGCGGGGGTGGGGATGAAAAGATGGATTGTCGTGGGATTCTGCCTCGCGCGCGCGCTCGCGGACGTCGCGGGGGTCGAGGGGACGGGAAAGATGCGCGACGGTGCGGATGGCGGGCGACGCGCGTGGAGGAATGTTTTGGACGACGCGGACGATCTGTCGGGGACGGAGACGACGGTGAAGCGCGGTGATGGACGGGTGGCAGGGATGTTAACGTCGTGCGGGCGCGTGACGCTGGAGCGGACGTGGACGGGGAGTTTACACGCGTCGGCGTACGCGACGCCGCTGGCGGAGGACGTCGAGCGGGACGGACGGGGCGGAGTGGTGACGCAATCGGCGAGCGGACGCGTTCGAGCGTTGGACGGGGTGTCTGGGGTGGAGTTGGAGGGGGCGGTCTGGGGGCAGAGGCACGGACTAGCGTCGAGGGCTGGGATTGTGCGGATCGGGCGCGCGTTGGCGAGCGCGTCGCTGGACGGCGAGATACGGATGTTTGACGCGCGCAGAGAGCGATGTCGAGCGCGATTGAAGCCGTTGACGATGAAGCGGGCGATTGCGAACGGGAGTGGTGATGATGACATGGAGGGTTCGAACGATCCGGTGGAGATTGAGCGAAGACACGAGGCGACACATCGCGCGCCGGGATCGACTCGATCACTTTTATCAATCGAGGACGAAGAGGCGCGGAGCGATCGAGCGTGGAACGCGGTCGACGCGCAGTGGCGCGCGAAGACGCGAGGCGAGAATGTGAGAGATGAGTTGCGTCGAGCGATGGGTGACGAGGTATCGGTTGACGCGCACGTCTTGTGCGCGCCGGCGGTTGGTGACGTTGACGGAGACGGGGCGCTCGAGCTCGTGTTTGCGGTATCGTATTACTTTGACGATTCCGTGCACTTCGACGATGAGGACGAGATCGAGCCAGAGAAGTACGCTGCGACGGGGATAGTAGTGCTCAATTCCGAGGATTTATCCGTCAAGCTTGCGGTGACGCTCGATGAGTCTGGACGCGCGTACGGGTCGCCCACGCTGGCGGATGTCGACGGCAACGGCCGGCTGGATATCGCTCTCGGCACGTACGGTGGAGGCGTGCACGTCGTGGACGGGATCTCGGGTAAAGCGCTTCCGGGATGGCCGAAGCACATGGGGCGAATCGAGGCGCAAATCGCCATCGCGGATGTCGACGCGGATGGTGAAAACGAACTCATCGCGTGCGACGTTCGCGGCGAAATCGCCGCCTTTAAATCAGACGGGAACAAACTCTGGCGTCGTAGCGTGGAGTCTCGAATCTCTGTTGGTGCAGCCGTCGGTGATATAGATGGCGATGGTGCGCTCGACGTGGTCGTCGGCACGACCTCAGGCGCCGTGCATGCGTATCGCGCCGAGGACGGTTCCGCGCTCGGCGGTTGGCCGGTGCGCGCGAGCGACAAAATTCTCGCACCAATCGTCCTGACGAAGATTCGTCCAAACAAACTCGGTCTCGACGTCATCGTTGCCGCGCACGACGGCGTAGTGAACTTTTTTGATGGGAAAGCGACGTGTCGAGACGTCGTAGACGTCGCAGAGAAGATTTACGCTGCGCCAGTCGTGACGTCGTTCGCCGGATCCGGCGCGCTCGATGTCGTCGTCTCCACCATGCAAGGGAACGTGCACGCGTTCAGGGCGAAAGGTTCAAAATTTGACGCGCTCGCGGTGTCGTCAAGCGACTCGCATGCCGCACGAGTCGGTTACTTTGGAGTCGTCCTGCGCGATCGAGCGCATCGCGTCGTGCGTGGAACGCGCATCAATGTCGCGTACGAGATAGTGGATCGGCGCGTTCTTAACGTCGCCAAATCGAAGAGAACGCACGAGCCGTATCAAATAACGATAACGCTCATCGCGCTCGACGGTTTCGAGCGTTCGGTCACCGCAAAATACGCGCACGCGGGTAAGTTTACGCTCTGGGTGGATGTTCCGGCTACGAAGACGCGAGGTGAGATTCGCGCGCGCGTCGTCGACGCCACGCTCAACGACGCCGAGGATGCGTACTCGCTATCGTTTCACGATAATTACGAGTCCATACTCAAGTGGCTCGTCGCCGTGCCGTTTCTGCTCGCGAGTTTTGTCGCGATTCGTCGCGCGAGCGAGGAGGCGCTCGAACTCGACGTCTTTGGCGCGTCCGCCACCATTCCGACGACGTCCAAGGGGAAGCACGAGGAGTGAATTAATCGTTGTAATCGTAAATGTAACAAAAATAAATAAAGAAACAGATGGATCGCGTATCTCGAGCCCGAGCGTCCTCTCATCGACGCCGCCACCGAACAAAGCGTGTCCGTTTCGCGACGGCGCGTCACTTCGACGCTCTCGCGCTCTCGCGCTCTCATCTCTCATTCTCCCCCCCGCGCATCGCGTCGACGCTTTCACGCGTCCAGGAGCTGAACGATTCGTTCCTCCAGCGCGTCAGCGCCCTCTTCCCGTCGTTCAACGACGCCGTCTCTGCTCACCAAAAATTTAGTGGAAAAATTCCAGCGCGTATCCGAGACGTCACCCGACGCCTCCTTCAACGCTCTCCACGCCGAGTTCGCGTTCGCGCCCTGAATGTCCCCCTTCGCCGCCACGCGCGCCTTCGTCAACCCCTTATCCGCCACAAACTTCAGAATATCCGCGTCTTTCGCCAACTCTTGCCCCCCGAACTGCCCGCACGGGAACAACACAATGGTCAACCCGCGCGCCGAGTACCGCTCCTCGAATCGCTTCATCGCCGCGTACTCCCGCCCCGTCGCCCCTCACCTCGACGCGACGTTCACGGCGTAAATTACCTTCGCATCGTCAGTCCATCGTCCGCGCCGAGCGATCGTCGCGTCGCGCCCGTCGTCGCGCGCATCGAATCGCTCGACACCCGTCGCGCGCGCACCTCCCCGCCCATCGCCCCGAGATCGATCGTCGTCCCGTCCGCGCCCGGCGTCGTCGCCGCGAACGCGCTCGTCATCGTCCCGCGTCGCCCGCGCGTCGTCCCGCGACGCGCGAGCGGTCGAGCGAGACGCGCGGATGCGAGCGACGCGCGCATGTCTGACGCGTCGCGACATCGCGTCCGTCGCGGTCGTCGACGACGGAACGCACGCGCGCGCGCGCGGAGGGGGCGAGGACGCGAGTCGTAAATTCTTCCGCGTCCTCGCGCGGTGCAACGGGCGAGCGGGGCGTCGCGCGCGCGGTGGCGCCGTGGGAAACGCGCGCGCGCGCATGTTCGCGGACGTCGCCGTGTTCCCGCGCGCGCCGTCGGCGAGCGAGCGCGCGGCGGTGATCGCGCGCGGGCGGGCGCGGTCGTTTAATTATCCCAAAGAGCTCGTGGGGACGTCTGGGGTGGACGCGCGCGAGGACGAGGCGCAGCGCGCGCGATTGCGAGCGCACGGTTGGTTTTGGGCGATCGATCGCACGCGCGCGCGCGTGGGACGAGGACAAGGGTGTTACGAGCGAGCGAAACGGGCGTTGGAAGCGTGGGAACACTTTGACCTGGATTGGGCGCGCGCGGACGCGGAGCGAGGGACGGAGGTGGGAGGGGGGGTGTGCGTGACGACGCGCGCGGGACCGGTGTGGATGGCGAATCCGTTGGAGATTGTGCGGTTGCGGGAAGGCGCAAGGGGGGGGGGAGGAGGAAAACGGTTCGCGTTCGCGCACGGGACGTTGGTCGGACACGTGCTCGCGGGTGAGGAGCGGTTCGCGGTGGAGTTGACGAGCGACGGTGAGGTGTATTACGAGGCGTACACGTTCAGTAGACCCGCGCACGCGCTCAGTGTGCTGGGATATCCCGTCGTTCGGCTTTTGCAGAAGAAGTTTCATCGCGATTCGACGCGCGCGATGAAGCGCATCTTGGGCGAGTCGGAGTAGGTCGACGTTCAACGATGTGAAACAATTTTTTAAATACCCGCTTTGTCACGTCCGTCTAAGTCGTTCGACGTCCCCACTCGTCACGGCATGGAGTGCGTGCGACGCAATCTTGAAGCCGCGAGGGAGGCGTCGTAAGACGCGCGCGCGGACGCATCTTTCAGCGTCGCGTACGCCTCGGCGACTCGCTTGAAAATAGCCTCACTCGCCGGACGCACTGCATCGCTCGGCGCCTTGTCCGGATGAAACTTGAGCGCGAGTGACTTGTACGCCTTCGTCACGTCCACTTTTGTCGCGCGAGAACTCACGCCTAGAACGGAGTAGTGTTCGCACGACGTGCAACCATTTTGCACCTTGCGCTTCGCCTCGCGTAACTTGAGAGCGCAGTCTTCACCCATGTGCGGCAGGAGCTCTTCCAAGTCTTTCATCGCCATTGGCCAATCGCCCATCGATAAGTACGCGTCGGCTCGGCGCTGTAAGGCACGAATGTACGTGTCGTCGAACGTTCGCGAGATACAACATTCCATGACGGCGTCGCAATACTTGCCCATCGCTTGCAACGCCGCCGCCTTGTTTGCGTGAAGCACCGCGCGGAAGGGATCGTCCACGAAACTCACCGCTAACGCATCCGCATACGCCTGGAGTGCCATGTCATACGTCTTGGCGTGAAAAGCCTTGTTCCCTCGAACCTTGAACGCCTCCGCCTGTTCGCGAAGCTCTCTAAGTTTCTTCTTGAATGGGCTCGGCGAAGTTCGCGACGGCGTTCGCTGACGAGCCGGTGATGGTGAAGCTTTTGGAGGTTTTGGAGGCGTCACGCGCTTGTTGGGCGAGCGTGAGGGCATTCGTCGACCCTTCGGCGGCGTCGAGGACGAAGCCTTTGGAGACGACGACGACGATGACGGCGCCTTTGGTGGCGACGGCCCCTTCGCCGTGTGCCTCGGCTCGGGCATTCGTGGATCCGCCGCGAGTCTGATGAGCTTCGCGCGCTCTTGCCTCCAAGACTCTTTCTGAGACGCGAACGCCTCACGCTCGCGCTCGAGTTCCTTCATCACCGATGCCAACTGCGTCTTCAGCGCCGACGACGCATCACTACGAGACTTCAACCGAAGATCATCCAGTTCTGCTCGCGTAGCGTCGAGCTCACGCCTACGAATCGCCTCTGTCTCTCGAGCCGCGCGCGTCTCCGCCCTGGCGTTTGCCAGCGCCTCTCTAAGCTCCGATATCTGTGCCTTGGTCTCTGGCTGCGCTGTGGACGCCACCGCGCTCTCCCGTAGCGCCTTCAACTCATCCTTCTTCGTCGCGAACGCCGTAACTAGCTTTGCGTTTTGTGACGCCATCTCTGCCAGAGCGCTGCGCGCGCTCTTCCGCGCGCTCTCGAGTTCTTGGCATCGCGCCGTGAGCGACGCCACCTCTCGCTCCGCCGCCTCGGCGCGCTCTCGCGTCAACGTCATCGCGTTCTCATGATCCGTTCGCAGCGTCGCCTCTACCGCCTCGACGTCCGCTCGCGAATATCTGGGCGAGGACGCACCCGATTTCATCGCCACTCTTCCGCCGTCGACGCCATTCGACGGCTCTCGCGCGTCCGCCGCGCGCTCCGAAGCGCGTCTCAACAACGCGCGCGCCGTGCTCGCCCCTCGCGCCGAGAACCCCTCCCGTCCCTCCACTTCGAACCTAGACGCCTCCGCGGAGGCCCTAGCGACGACATCGTCCATCCACGCCCGCGCGTCGCGCACCGGATCCCCCGCGTTCGTCGTCTGCGTCCCCCGCGCGCGCTCGACCGTCTTCTTCTCACCCTCCCTCGCCCGTCCTCCGCTCTCTCGCCCGTTCGTCCCGTTCGTCACGTCCCGCATCGAGCGGTACATTTTTTTCCGTAATTCTCGCTCGGCTTCGTCCGCGCGTTCGCGCGCGCGAGCGATCGCGCGGTCGGCCGCGGACGGCGCTCTGGAATCCGCGAACATGTTCGCCTCGTGACGATCCGCCCCGTTTCGACGCCCCGTTCGACGCCGCGCGCGCGCACAGGCGCCGAGGCGACGGGTAAGAAATACACCCACCGCGCGCGCGCTCGAGCGTGACCCACGACCGCGGCGCGACGACGGGTGGGGGCAAAGAGCGCGCGCGCGCGAACTCAACGGACGTTTCGCGGACGAGACGTGATGTGGGATCGACGCAGACAATAGTGTGGATGATTTCGCGGTGTGTGGGTCCATGCGCGGACGAGCGGCGACGCGCGTCGCGGTGGGTCGAGATCCGCGCGCGTCCGTGGATGATGATCGGTGTAAATGCTATATCTCTTTTTTATTTACTCGGCGTGCGAGGTGGGGAAGCGGGGTCGTGCGCGAACGGAGTTTTGAGATTGGCTTTGGCGAACTCGCGAGTCGCCGCTTCGATGGCGCGCGGCGAAGAGTCTCGAATGAACTCGCGCTCGCGAACGGACGGATCGATGGCGATGCTTTCGAATCCCGTTGTTTGCACAGTCGGTTTTTCCTTGAGCTCGGGCGAGTGCGCCAGGGACGAGTTCGACGGGCCGAAGAAATCGTCGTCTTTGAAGCTCGCGGACGCCGACGGAGCGCCGACGCCGACGGTGGTGGCGCTTTCGGGAGGCGACTTGGCGCCACTCCGAGGCGCCTTCCTCGGTCTGGCGTGCCAGTCGAACGGTAACCCCTCGGGCGGGAAGTATCGAGACTTTGAAAACGTCTCCGCGCTTCGCTTGAGCAGGTGCGCCCCCCACACGTTCTGCGTTCGATACCAAATCGCGACCGCGATTATGGAAATCGACGTCACGCACACGCACGTCACCATGGAGTACCAAAACTTCAACCACGTCGCGATCGTGAGCGTGGTGACGAACATGGGCACGCCAAAGGTGAACATCCGAAACGCCTTGCGCCAGTCGCTCTCGCACCGCGTCTCCCAGTACCTCTCGAAACTCCTCTGCGGCGTCGGCGGTGTGTCTCCGGGCTTATAATGCAGCGCAAATTTTCTGCACGCGTACAAGAACTCGCTCTCTTCGTCCTCGCTCACGTACGTCTTCCCGTTTCGCAAAATATTACTCAACATGAATGAGCACAAAACCATCGAATTCAACATCAACCCCACCGTCACCGCCGTCGCGCACGCGAACGCCACGATCAACCCCTCGCTCTGATCCGGCCTCGTCGTCGGATCGCTAAACTGCAACTCAATCAACGCCACGACGGCGAATCCCGCGATCAACGCCGACAAATTACTCGTCGTCCGCAACTGCTCGCCCTTCTCCTCCACGTCCCGCCGGTTCTTCTCCGTGTATCGCCCCCACACCCACCGCGCGTTCTCCAACACTCTCTGCTCCACGTCCTGCCGTCGCCATCGCCGCTGTTCGTCCCGATGCACGTGCTCGAGCTCCCACCAGTCTCGTTCCTCCACTCTGAATTCTAAATCTTCTCGTCGCCACGCCCGGTCCTCTTTTCGCCATTCCCGGTCCTCGTCTCGCCACGCGCGCGCGAGCGAGGTGTCGAGCGCGGTCAAGAACGCGGTCGCGGCGTCGCTCACGTCCGCCGCCATCGTTCCCGTGAACGCGGGCATGGTCGCCGCGTCGGCGACCGGCGAGCGGTCCGCCGACGTCCGACGCGCGAACCCTCGTGTGAGGTCGATTCGTTTTTTTATCACCCCCCGCGTCGTACTGGAGTGGTGGAAAGGGCGATCGTGGAGACGATGCGCCCTCGATCGCGGTCGCGATGCGCCGCGGACGCGATCGCGGCGCCACCGCGCGACGACGCCGCGAGCGATGTCGCGAGCGATGATGCGTCTCGCGCGACGCGTGGTGGGAAAGAACGCGTCGGTGCCCGTTCGAGGGGCGTCGACGCAGTCGCGGGCGTCGATCGAGACGTTTATGAAGAATTTCGAGCAACACAAGACGTCGCCGACGATGGAGCACCCGGCGACGAGCTCGACGTTCGCGTCGACGCCGGTGACGGAAGACGTGAAGGGAACGCCGGAGAAGATGAAGCTTAATTTTTACTTGCCGCATGATGCGCCGTTTGACAAGACAGAGGTACGGGGGGGCGAGGGAACGAGAGATTAGTGTGATCGGGAAGGTTTCCGTGGAGTTGGACATTTTTCAACGTTGGCGCGCGCGTAAGGGGTTGATGATTGCTTTTATGTGAGTAGGATGGGTGGATCAGCGACTGACGAGGTATGATGTTGACGCGCAGGTTGACATGGTGCTCGTTCCGGCGACGACGGGCGATTTCGGCGTTCTTCCGGGACACGTGCCGACGGTTTCGCAGCTCAGACCCGGGGTGGTGAGCGTACACGTCAGCGATAAGGACGTGCAGCGATATTTCGTCTCCGGTGGCTTCTGCTTCGTGCACGCGGACTCAACGACGGATATTTGCGCAGTTGAGGCGGTGCCGGTGGAGCAATTGGATCCAGAGGCGGTGAAGAAGGGACTGGCGGAGCATCAGGCCAAGTTTGCGAACGCGAAGGATGACGTCGAAAAGGCGCACGCGCAGATCGGTATCGATTGCTGCAACGCAATGGTTTCCGCGATCGAGGGGAAATAAAGATGAAGAGCTTGCTGTTTAGTTGTGTAATGGGTTATGAATTCTGTACTGTGACGACGAGAGCGCCCAGTCACGAGCCGACGACGGATCGAGCCGGCAAGACGCCACTCTTCTTTCTGCGCAGAAGCGCCAGCTCCTCGTGAAGCATGCCGAGTTCATACGTGTACGCATCCTTATGCGCGATGAACATCTTAAGCTCGCTCTGCAAGCCCTTGATTTGGCGAGCTTTCTCTTTGATTTGCGCGTGCGTTTCTTGCAGGTCCTCAAACGCTCGCGGACCAGGCTGCCTGGACAACACGACGCGAAGCTCGTCGAGAACCTTGCCTTTTTCCGCGATGAGTATCTCCTTTGAAGTGACTTCTTCCGTCTTAGCGATAAGCCTTCGCTGCAAGACCTGCACTTTTTGAATCAATTCATACGTTGTCGGGTCGCTTCCTTTAAGCTGTCGCCAACGATGGACGTTCATTGGACTCTCTAATTCCTCGCTTAGCGCTTTAACCTTCGTGCGCTCGTGGAGAAGCTCGCGATCAAGAGATTGAACCTCTTGTTTCAGCGTGTCTATGCTCGTCGCGGCGTCTCGTAGGGAGACGAGCTCGTGCGTGTGCGATGCAAGTCTCAGCTTGAGTGTTTTAATTTCGCGAATGCGTTCTCGATACTCGGCTTGACCTTGATTTAGAATTTTCTGCTGAACCTTGACTTTCTCGTACAATAGAGCACACTCTTGATTGCGTTGAACTAGCTGTGTATTGAGCACGTCTCGATCGCGCTTCATGACATCGAGCTGTTTTCGATGCGCATCTCGACTCTCTTGGAGCGATACAATTGAGGCTCGAAGCGTCTTGGACTCATCATTCGTGTGCTTGAGAGCGTCTTGCATTTCATCGACCTTCACATTCAATCTGTCATTTTGTTTCCGAAGTGCCTCGTGTTCTTTGTCGAGCTTGCGATGTTCAAAGCGTTCGCTCACAATGATGCCATCCTTCATGCGAGCTTCCTCTCGTAAACCTTCAAGAACAACATTCTTCGCCTTTAAATCGCGCTTAATCTCGACGATTTGAGATTGAGCGTCTACAAGACATTTTGATTGATAATTTCGTTCGGTACGAAGGACATCATACGCCTTCTCGGCGTGTTTGATTCTGTTCTCCGCGTCTTGCAACTGTTGTTGCAGGTCACAAAGTTGAGACTCTCTATCGTGAACCTCATTCTCCAGTACTTCCTGACGTCGCGTGCCCGCCGCTATTTCCGTCAAAGCCTGGTTGCGCTGCTGATCTAAGCGCTTGATGTCTTCTTCTTGCTTCGCTCGCTCAATCTTGTAGCTCTTTATTTCATTCGCAAGAGTTTGGCGCTGGGCCTCGTGTATGCGCAGCAAATCTTGCTGTCTACTCGTGGCATTTTGTGCTTGAGTTGTCATCTTGAGCAAGACATCGCGCTCTCTCATCAAATTATCCCTTCGTCTTTGTTCGTTTTCTAAGTCCCGCTTCTGATCTTCGAGACGTTGCTCGAGCAGCTGAACCTCGCGCTTGAGCACATCCCTCGCCTCGTCGGCGTTCAGTCGCGACTGCTCAGCCGTTCGAAGCTTGGACTCGAGCTGAATCGAGTGTTTTGATATTGTTTCTCGCTCTCGCTCGCGTTTTTTTACTTCGTCGTTCAAAGCCCGGATCTCGTGAGTTTTTGCTCGATTTGCGTCCTCAGCGTTCTTGTTGCTCACCCTCGCTTCGTCGAGCTCGCGACGAAGCTTGTCAAATTTGTTTGCAAAGACATTCAATTCTTTGTTGGCAGCCTCGGCCCGGCGCTCTTGAAGATGAGCATTTTTTTCTGCTTTGACGATAATCTCTTCAGTTTTTGCCATTCTTAGCTTGTTCTCTCTGATCTCCCCCTCTCGCTGTTCCGAGCGCTCTTCAATTTGATGAATCTCGCGTTCAAGACGCTCTTTTGCCCTCTTCTCTCTCTCGACCTCGATCGCGCTCGCGTGCGATGCATCTCTGGCATCTTGTAATTCAATGTCGAGCTCCAATTTCGCGCACTCGGCGTGTCTCGTCCTTTCGGACAGTTTATCGAGCTCCTCTCTCAGTTTGACCGTCTGCTCCAACAGCTCATCTCTCTCGGCTGTGAGACTCTCCTTGACACTCATGAGAGACGAGATCTCACGCGATTGTGCTTTTCGCGCGCTCGGTCGATATACGCTGACTTCTCCGACTAGATTGTTTCCGTTGATCGCGATTTCGTCCGTCGTGCCATCCTCGAACCTATCCTCACCGCGCGTTAAGCGCTCGATCTCAGTCTTAAGCTCGCTCACGGCTCGCTTGCTCTCCAATTCGCTCTCGTGTGATTCATCCACCATCGCCCACGCGCGCTCCAGCTCATTCTTGAGCGCATCAATTGTAGTACTGTCTTCTCGCGATAAATCGAGCGTCATCGTCATCTTTCTCGCATGTCCTCGACATTCATCTGCGAGCGCAGCGCACTTGGCCAATAGCGCGCGCTCGCGAGCTCTTGCATCAGCGAGGGCACAACGAACGCGTTCCCACTCCTCGCGCGCCTCAGTCACTCTCGGGTCGTCTACGAATACATGCTTAAGCACCTGCGCGCGCGCTAACGCGTCGACGTCAGTTCGGTCGCACAAGTCTGGGACGCGCAGAGTCATACGCTGGGCAGTCCATATATAGCGCGAGCGCGGCCGAGTGCGAGCGCTCAAAGTTCACGCGCCCGTTCGAGTGCTCCCTCGTCGATCGCATCAGTAGAACCGTTGTGGTCGATGTATTCCTCATCGCACGCCTCCGTTTCACCCTCGCCAAGCTCGCGCTTCATTGTGAGGAGGACTCCGCTTTGTCTGACGGTGAAATTATATTACAGGAAGTTTCACATATCACTCGGGACTTGTGGTGTGGTGTTGAGCGAAGCAGGTATTTGACTCTTATTCTTCAGCACGCTTTCGTTGTTTTCAACGCTTCTTCACCATATTCGTACGAGATGGCTCCGTACTTACACGCTGTGGGTAAGAGCTCTGCCTCGTGACGGCGTCGATGCACGACATAGGCCGCGTATGCGCCAAACGTCGAAGCGACGGCGAAGTACACCATTCCGGTGTGAGGTTGACGGGCGAAACCGAGAGCTGGATTCTCTGCTTCAGTATTTTCATTGGCAGCGTTATCGGCCTTGTCTGCTTCGGTATCGGCGTCCACCGGCGGTTCGGTCGTTTCAGCGTCATCCGGAGCAGCCTCAGGTGCTTCTTCAATTTCTTCAGGAGCATCACCGTCCGCAGATCCGTCATCAGGTTCTTCCGGAGGTACGTAGTCGTCAGACTTGCCATCCTTGGTGTCCTCAGGTTTTTCAGCGTCGGCGTTCTCAGGATTTTCGGCGGCGGCGTAGGCATCGTCATTCTCAGCCTTTTTAGCAGCGGCGGCCGTAGAGTTATCAGCGTTTTTGGCGGCGGCGGCGCCTTCAGCACCGCCGAGAGTGCCTCTGGCTCTGGTCTTCTGCGTACGCGCAGAAGCAGACGTGTCTGGAGTCACTGGCGCAGAAGCAGACGTGTCTGGAGTCACTGGCGCAGAGTCAGACGTGTCTGGAGTCACAGGCGCAGAGTCAGACGTGTCTGGAGTCACAGGCGCAGAATCAGACGTGTCTGGAGTCACAGGCGCAGAATCAGACGTGTCTGGAGTCACAGGCGCAGAATCAGACGTGTCTGGAGTCACAGGCGCAGAATCAGACGTGTCTGGAGTCACAGGCGCAGAATCAGACGTGTCTGGAGTCACAGGCGCAGAATCAGACGTGTCTGGAGTCACAGGCGCAGAGTCAGACGTGTCGTCCGTCGGTGGAGGACTGGATCCGCCGTCATCTTCCTTGTCGTCGTCATTTTGCGTGTCGATGTCGTCTTCCTTGTCGTCGAAACCGTCGACCTCGGCATCTTGCTCCGGAATATCGTCGCCGGCTGGAACTTCCGAGTTCTGCTTTTCGAGCGCCTCTTTCTCGTCCTCTTCGTCTTTGAGCGCCTCGTCATCCTGCCTCGATCTCGGGTCACTTTCGTCGTCGTCGCCGACTTGTTCCTCGTCGACCTCTTCTTCCTCGACTTTGTCCGTGGGATAGCCGTCACCGCCTTTCATAGAGCCCTTCTCCTCGCCGCGCTTCTCCTCGCGTTGAATCAAAAGTCCCTTAAACTTGTCTTTTCGCCCCTCGAACCACGTCACGCACGCCGCGAGATCCTTACACGTCGCCTCTGGAAGTCCTTCCGTCATTTTCAAAAACTTATCCGCGTCCTTCTTATCCTGGGGATCCTTCATCTCCTTCTCCGCCTCCTCGACGCACTTCTTGTTCGCCGCGCGATCGCTCCCGCGCAACGCGTTCGCCAGCGCCTCGCGCAACTCCGCGCTCGGTTCTTCCCCGCGCAGGAGCGCGCCCTCGAATTCGTCGAACGCTTTCATCGCGATCGCGCCCGCGACCGAGGCCCTGGCGCCGCCGAGATCGCTCTGACCCAGGACGCTCCCGACGAGGTGCGCGCGGAGGCACGTCTTCGCGTGCGGTGGGGCCCCGCCGGCGCGCGCCGAGGACGCGCCGAGGACGGCGGCGACGCCGAGGCACACGGCGCGCGTCGCGCGCGAGCGCTCGCGGCGTCGCGCGCGCATGCTCGGTGAAACGACGCGACGGGCGGCGCGATGTGCGGTCGATGGCGAGGTGTAACACCCAAGGGGCGGGCGATTGGGTGTTGGCGCGGCGGCGGGCGACGGCGGCGGCGAGGGGACGGTGAACGACGGTGCAGGTGGATGAAGAGGGTGATATGGAGTGACAATCAGTCAAAGAGAAAGATTGGACCGACGTTGGGGGGGGTGGGGGGGGGAGGGAGGGACGAGCGGTCGACGCGCGGGTTGGAACGGAGACGCACGGCGATTCGTCGGCGGTTGACGAGGGCGGCGAAGAGGGCGGCGACGGCGGCGGATGAGACGGCGCAATCGGTGAGGTCGAGCTCGATGAGAGCTTGGAGTGAGTGAATTGCGTCGATGATGGCATCCACGCCGTCGTCGCCCAAGTGGTTTCCGCGCACGGAGAGGGTGTTGAGCGCGAAGCGGCTTGCGGTTGGGTTTTCCGTCGCGAACGTCGACGGCTCGGTCCAAGCGTCGGTGAGGTCGAAAGCGCCGCGCCAGGTGATGATGTTCATGGCGAGATCGAGAGATTTGAGCGTGTTCGCGAGGTTGGAGTCCCTCAGGATGCAAGCGAGGGGAGACATGGCGTCGTCAGAGACGCCGTTCGATCCAAGACGGAGCGTCTCAAGCACTTCGAGCGCGTCCAGGCGCAACCAAGCGAGGCCTCGATCGCCGATGTTGCATCCACGTACGTCTAGTACCTTGAGCGAGGGCGCGAGATGGCTCAAATAATCGCCCAATTCCGCCGCTCCGGACTCACCGAAGTCATTTCCGCTCAGATCAAGCTCTTGAAGCTCTCTGTGATTGCAAAACGTTCTTGCGAGCTCCGCCACGCCGAGCGCGGAAATCCCGGCGTGCGTCAGGTGAATCTCGCGCATTCCCACGAGGATCGCACACAGCGATTTCAACCCTTCGTCAGCAATATCACAGTGCGATATATCCAAGATCTCGACGTTTCGCGAAGACTCAACTGTTGGAAACCACGTCGATCGCAAGACGCTTGCGGCTACGGCGTCAAACTTCTCGCATCGACTAAACTTTATTCGCCTCAAGCGTTTGATCCATGTCGTTTCGTCCCCGGCGATGGCATTCAAAACATCGCCGTCGATCTCTTCGCCCATGATTTCGAGCTCTCTCAACGTTGTGAGAGCGCTCAGAAACCGGCCGAACCGGCGCCAACACCCGACGTCGAGCCAACACTCACGCAGGCGCACTCTCTCGAGATTGATTTTCGACCCAAATGCGTCAATCAAGGCGTCCAAAGTTCTCTTGCACATCTTGAACGGTCCTTTAAAATTTATTTCCAGGGTTTTGATGTCTTCACCTCGCTCACGAAGCGTCTTCGCTAGATCGCTCACGAAACTCTCCGTCAACGCATCGCACGGCGTCACCTTGAGCGTCTCCGAGTCCTCATCCATCCACTCGCGCCTAGTCGTGCTCGATTCAAACGTGATCGCATCATCGTCGTTCCTCTTCCCACCGTCTTTCGCGCGCCTCGTCAAGACGAACACGCACGGACGATCCTCCAGAGCCTCAGCTCGAGCCACGTCGTCGAACGTGGCCGGGTTCTGCGCCCGCACCGTCCATCGAAGATCGATGATGGCTTCCCACAGTGCCCGATCGACGTGCGGCCATCTGGAGACGTACGCCAAAACGAACGCGCTCTCACCCTCGACGCTTAACGTCGATTCGACGAGCTCCAAGACCCCTCTGGCGCTCAAAGCGCTGTACACGACGTCGCTCGCCAAGACGAGCGGAAATCGTTCGCCGCGTAACACCTCTCGAACGCTCGCGCCGCCATCGCCCCACGTTAAAACTTTAGACGTTACTTCTCCTAAACTGTTCAACACTTCTCTATCCACCATCGATCGATTTCTCGCGATCGATGACTCCAAATCAGCCGCGACGCCGACGTTTCCATCCGTCGTGACCACGCGCCGAGCCAAGCCCATCCTCCACAGCACCAATCCCGGCCCACCCAACCCAGCGCCGACCTCCAGCACCTCGACACCGATCGCACGAACACGATCGCCGCTCGAGCTCGATAGAAACGCGCACAGCGACGGGGAGGCGCGCCATTCCACGCGTCCGGTCTCGTCGTTGTCGAAAGTACTCGATTCTTCCGGAAAGGATTTCGGTCGACGTAAAGCGACGACGACGCCGTTGAAGTCGCGGACGTCCACGGTGAAATCGTCGTCGACGTCGGGAATGGCCACGGATGTCATCGTAAGCGTGCGGACGACATCGCGTCACGGCTAATTGTGAGGCTGCGGACGCCGCAGAGAAATACAAAATTACAACTGACGGCGCCGTGGTCGATGAAACACGGTCCTTTCGCTCACTCGAAGCAAAATGGAAGGATTATGACGGATGATCCGTCTCGTGGGGGGAATTTGAGCTCGAGTAACGCCGACGCGATGTCGAGCATGATTGCGTCGCGAATGTCCGTCTCTGACGGAAGCTCCGGTAACGGAATCGGCGTCAGGGTATCGCACGTCCACGTCAGATCGTCCACATCGCCGCTCGGGGTGATTGTAATTCGAGCGCACACCATGCCGCTCGCGCGCGGGAGCTCTACTAAGCGAGCGTAGAGCTCGGCGAGCGCCGTCTCGAGCGTCTCCGCCGCGTCCTCCTCCGACAAAGCGCCCGAGAACGACGGCTCGGGGTCTTTGAACCATCCGTGTAACACCAATCGCCCATCTCGAATGTCTTGCGTGCCAAAAACCTCAGTAACGCCGTGCGGGAGTCTCGGATCAAAAACCACGAGCTGGTTAAAGCGCGGCGAAATCGTCTCCATGATTTGCGCCCGCTCCACCACCTCGCTCGAGTCGAAATTCCGCCAATAATTCAACCGCTCGGGGCGCATGATCTGCGTCTCTCCGCCCGAAAACGTAAACCCTCCGTCGGCGCCGCTCTCCCTGGTCAGACTCAACACGAACGCGAACGGTCCGTGCGGCACGTCCGCGTGCAACTCCTGCCGCATCCCGTGGACGTAACACGACATCCACATCGGCGTCATCGACGCGCATCCCAACCTCTCCCTCGCGTACGTCATCAGCGTCTCCTCCAACGCCCCGTGTAACTCTTCGCCGAAGAAATCCTCCGCGGGCGTTCGCAACAGCGTGTACTGCTTCGGGACGTGCCAGAGGTCCCAACAGAATCGCTCCCCGCGCGCCCGCGTCGCGTCCTCGAACACGTCATCGTATCTCCCTCGCACCGCGCGCGCCAACGCGCCGGGTAAGAAATCACGCTCGACGACCCAGTGCGTCGCCCGCGCCGCGATCTCCACGCTCGGCGCGTCGTCGTCGTCCATCCCATCGCTCGAGCCGCCATCGAGCGCCACATCGCTCGCATCGCCCCCGACGCCCACGACCGCGCGCCCTCGACGCCCACGAGCGCCCACGCGCGGTCGCGCGGACGTCACCGCGATCGTGCACGACCGCGCGCGCGCGCGGGCGATCGCGGGCGCGCGCATGCGCGCGCGCGGCGACGCGCGGGGACGCGCACGCGTATTCTGTGGTCTCTTTCGCCGTCACGCACGGTTTTGCCACGTCCCGGCGCGCGTGTGTGTCTTGTCCACGCACACAGCGGTATTGGAGTCACAATGCGATGGTACGACGCGTACTGTGAGTGCGTGTCACGGTATATACGTGATCGCACACGCCTCGCGCGCGGACCCAGGGCGATCGCGCGAATTCGCGGTGAGATCGACGACGCGCGACGGCGCGCGCGCGCGCGTGGGGTGGAAAACGCGCGCGCGCGAGCGATGCCGCCCAAACCGAACGCCCTGGCGTCGCGGATCAAGCGGTTGATGCAAAAAGACGATGAGGTGGGGAAGATCGCGGGCGCGGCGCCGATCGTCCTGGCCAAGGCGCTCGAACTCTTCGTGAAGCAGTTGACGACGACGACGGCGGACGTGGCGGCTTTACACGGGGCGAAGATCGTCAACGCGAGTCATCTGAAGGGAGCGGTGGAGACGGTGCCGCAGCAGTTTGATTTCTTGAGTGATTTGGTGGAGGACGCGGCGGATCTGCCGCCGCCGCCGGATCTGAATGAGTTGGAGCGCGAGTTGAAGGAGAAGGCGGAGGCGCCGGCGGGGGGGAAGAGGGGTGGGAAGAGAGCGAGGAGTGGGAAGAATGCGAACACGAGCGGAGATCTCGGAGATCTCGGGGATCTGGGCGGAACGACGACCGAGGCGAGATCGCGGGCGAAGCCGAAGCCAAAGGCGCCGCGTCGACGCGCGAAGAAAAAGGTTGAAGATGATTTTATCGATGACGAGGAGGAGGAGGATTTCGGAGGAGATGCGAGCGAGACGGAGGACGAGTTCGATCCGGATGAGGTGGTGGAACCGCGAGCGCGATCGACGAGATCGAGAAGAGGCGTCGCTCGGAAGACGTATCGGGACGATTTGGACGAGGATTTTGAGGACGACGACGTAGATGCGGCGCCCTCGAAGCGTCGCGCGAAGAGGGAAGAAGACATCGCGGTCGAAGAAGTGAAGGAAGAAGTCGAGGCAGCGAATGGTGGGGATTTGGGTGGATTCAGCTCGCTCGCAGACGACATGTTTGCCGCGGGTTCGCTCACTGCAGACGTGGGTGCGGACGAAGATGATTACGATTGAGCTCTGCGATCGCGATCGATCCTCACCTAGCGGGAAGTAATGAGAGACGATGCATTTTTAGCAGGAATGCGCGCGCTGTGTTATATTACATCGTTAAACACCGTTCATCATCATCTCGCGTAAATACGAGCGCTCTTGTCGATCGGTGATCCTTGCACATCGTAAGTTGATTTCTCCTTTTGTGTACCAGTAGCTTTGCCATTCATTTTTTCACGCCCAGCACTCTTCCATCGCCGTTACGCATGATTCGCCAATCGATTTTGAGATCGAGCGAGAAAAAGGCGTGATTGACGGCGCTCTTGGACGTGATTCGTCTCTTTGGATCGAAATCCAAGAGCTTGCCGACCAAGTCAGCGAACAGACTCAACACCTCGCCCGAGAGGTGCTTCTCGAGGAGCTGTCGCACGACACCGGTGTTACCCAGCGCCGCGTATGACTCGGCGTCCGTTTTCTCGTTAGGCCAATTAAGGGCGCCGTTTCGGTTGAACAAATCTCTTAATTTGTCCTTGGGGACTCGCTTCACCACGGCGTTTGGAATGGTCCTCGAGAGCGCGTGCTGCATCATTGCCAAGTGCTCGAGATTATCGTGGGTCTGGAATAACGCCTCACCCGTGAGAAGCTCGATCATCATGCACCCTATGGACCACATATCGCACGGATACGACCATCCGAGTCCGAGAATGATCTCGGGCGCACGATAGTGTCGAGTGGAGACGACGGCGCTGTGGTGGCGATCGATGAACGTCGTGCTCCCAAAATCGATGAGTCGGATGGTGTGATCGACCGGAACGCGATGCGTCGCGTTCTCGCGGTACGAATTCGACATGAGCAAGACGTTTTCCGGTTTCAGATCGGTGTGAACCAGACCGAGCGAGTGCACGTATCGCACCGCCACGAGGAGCTGCTCGCAAAAGGTTTGCACCGTGGACGGATGGAACGGCTTGTACCGATTCGTTCGCAAAAAGTCGTACAGACTCGGTCCACACTTATCGAACACCATGCACACGTGACCTTGATAGTCGAATGCTCGTCGAAGCGATATGCAGTTGTACCGTTCGCCACGGGTGTGATTGAAGTCCCCCTCGGCGAGCGTCTTGAGCACCTCAATCTCCACCATCGCCGCGTCCCGATACTTTTGCACGTTTCGAATCACCTTGACCGCGCATCGCGTCTCCGTCACGGTGTCCCAGCACTCCACAACCCTCCCAAAAGTCCCCTCGCCCAGCGACCCGACGATCCTGTACTCGTTCGTGAGACAATCCCCGAGGTTAAATCTCAGGTGCCCATCGGCGTTCGCCGTGATCTTCGCCCTCGCCCGTCTCGTCTTCGCCTGCGTCTCTCGCTCGCTCTCGATGCAAAACCGAGTGAGCTTCCTCTCCCTCAAGCGATCAATCTCACCCATCGTCACCGGCGGCGTATCGCCGTACGTCGTCGTCGTCATCGCGTCCGACCCATTCGTCGTCGGAGACGCGCCGCTCGCCGCGCGCCTTATCTCCGCCCTCCGTACGTCCTCGAACAACACCTGCACCACCGAATCGCTCGCCGACTCCCCGCTCCCATCGCTCGACGTCGATCCAGCATTCCGTCTCCCTCCTCCCGATCGTCCACTCGACGAACGCGCGCTCTTACTCGTCGACGACGCCTTCGTCGCCTCCGCCGCGTCGTCTCCGCGGCTCGCGCGCGCCGACGCAATCTTCCGTCGCTTCGCCCGACCCACATCGACCCCACCCCCAGCGCTCGCATCGATCGACGCGATCGACGTCAACGTCCGTCGCGCGCGCGTCATCACGCCCGCGTCCGCGCGCCCGGAGCTCGGCGTCGTCGTCCCACCCCCCCCTCGCGCGCGCGACCGCGGAATCCTCCGGCGCGCCCCTCGCCCGTGCGCGTCGCCCGCGTCGCCCGCGTCGCCCGCGTCCGGGGTCGACATCGTCGCCCGCGCGCCCGTCGCCGCGCGAAGCCCGTCGCCGAAGCCGCGCGTCGCGTCGACGCGTGCCGCCGCGCGTCGCGTCGACACCGCGCGTCGTCGGTTTTCGCCTCGTATTCAGTCCGTGTGTACGCTATGCGATCCCATTCGGTGTGCGTGATAATATATGACGTCATAATGTATATCGCGCACGTCGCGCGTGCGATGATGGATGAAAGACACCGTGCGTATGGGTATTTTGGAGAAAGTGGTATATCGGTCTGTGATGCTCCGTGTACGAGGCGAGGGACGAAGACGAAGCGTCGGGCGCCCGAGAGCGCGACGCCCGAACGATGGGTCGCGACGCGCTCTCGCGCCGGTGGACCACGGCGGCGCGGACGACGGCGCTGGGGATGATTGGATTAATTACCCTCGATCGGGCGCGCGCGGACGCGGACGCGTTGGACGCGCGCGCGAGGGCGCGGATGACGATTGGATTCTTCGACGACGCGCGCGCGTCCGAGGGCGCGATGCGATTCACGCACGACGCGGATGTCGAGCGGGATTCCGAGGACGGGGTGTCGAGCGAGGGGACGGGGAATCCGGGGATGATTTACGCGCGCGCGTTCGACGAGAGCGGGGGGTCGGGTTTTCGTCTGGGGGCGGAGGACGCGGTGGTGACGCGGATGCTGGCGCCGCCCGCCGCGGCGCGGTATTGGTCGTGGTCCGTCTATTGCTCCATGCGAGGGAGTCGCGTGGTGTCCGCGATCGCGGGATGGCCGATAAACTCCGCGAACGTGGTCGCGGATGAGGATGGATGGATCGTTCTCGTGGCGACGAGATCGATGGAGGCGTTCGAGGCGGTGCGCGAGGCGTACGCGGAATCCGGTTTCGCTCCGGAAGCGGTAAATCTGAGCCCGCTGTTCGGTGAAGTGCGATACGGCTCGATGTTCGGCGAGGCAGATTTGCTCTCTGTTTCATTTCGCGTCGCGTATTGGCCGAGTGCGAACAGCTCGATCGTGGGTGCGGAGGACGCGCTCGGGGAGTGGGCGACGCGCGAGTGGCCAGTGACTTTCGCTCGAAGACGGCGAGCGGCGAGATCCGCGAGGATTCCGGTCACACAAATCGAATCGCCACCGCCCGCGGTCGCACCGCCCGATATTGAAGTCGCATCGTCGGCGTACGCGACGGTGCCACACCCCGAGATTCTCGTCGGGGGCGGTTTCTCTCGAAGCGTCGGGCGCACCATTTTAGTGCCAGTCATCGCGTCGCCAACGCGGTGCATGTACGACCCGTTCTACAGTCCTTGGTCTGCATACGGAGTGCGAACAAGATCGGCGTGCTTCGGTTCGACTTCTGATGCGCTCTATTCCGTCTCTGACAACTTCATACGTCGCCGAGAGCTCACCGCTGAATGGCTCGTGGTCGTCGCCGGCGTTGACATTGTATCGACGCGCCGAGCAACCTTCTCCAACATCGCCCTCTACGCCACCGGCGGCGCCATCTCCAGCGCATTCAGCGCCCGCGACGTACGCATTCTCGCCGCGATCGACGACCGTTCCTTCGTTCTTCGAGCGTCGACGTTCGCCGTCGCTTTCGGCTCCTCTCGCTCGGCGTGCCGAAGAGTTTCCGTCCCGTGCGTCGTCGCCAGACCATGTCCACCCACGGCCTCCCTCTTCATCATCGCCAGGGATTACTTGGACCCTGCCACTGCCACGGCGCCTGAATCCCGTCCCGATATCGAGGTTCGCGTCTACGCGTTGTGAGTCTGCGCGTCGATACCGCTTCATGTCCAGCGAAACTCCAGTCGCGTCCCCGTCGTCCATCTCGCCGCACTCTCGCACATGCCCGCGACCGCGACGTGCGTCTCGTGCGAGACCGATCGATCGAATTATAAGTGTCCGACGTGCCGCGCGCCGTATTGCTCGGTGAAGTGCTTCAAAACGCACAGAGGTACGCGTCGAGTGACTTTGACAGGATTTCGCATTTTGGAATTCACTCGGAGAGTCTCGTTTAAACCAACCGCGCTGACAGTTTTTACGCGCTCACAGAGACGCCGTGCGCAAAACCTTCCGTCGCCGAACCCGCGGTGGAGAAGCCGGCGGCGGAGATCGAGAGAAACGCTCCGGTGAGACGATTTGAGGAAGATTCGGAGGACGAGCTCGGGTCGCGACTTCGACGCGACGCGTTGGAGCGAATCGCGACGAGTGAGCGCGTTCGGGAGCTGCTGAGAGATAGTCGGATACGCGCGGTGGTGCGAGCGATCGACGACGCGCAAGACGGCTCGCGGGCGTTGGAGTTGGCGAGGGAGGATCCGGAGTTTCGCGCGTTTACAGAGACGCTCCTGGACCAGTTGAACTAGTTTGATTACGCCCTCAGAGAATATGGGTTTCGCGGAGAGGATGGAGGAAATCAAGGGTAAAGCAAAGGAGATGCGAGATCGCGCGAGGATAATCATGAGCTCGCCAAACGGGAGGAGTGGGATGTCAAACGATGGGGAGACTGCGTCGCCGGCGAGCGTCTCTCCAGCGTCCTTCGCTCAGTCTCTGTCACCGCGCCGTGTCGATGCGGTGGACGTTCGAACGACGAGAGACGAAGCCGCGGGTGTTGAATTAGTGATGGAAGAGGGTTCGCTCGTCGCTGGAGTCGAGCGCGGGTACTTTGACGAACCGTCGACGAGCGAGCCGACATTCGATCCCGTGTTGGTCTCATTGCGACGCCTAGGCGCAGATTTCACGGTGGAGGACCTGAGTAAGGAGGAAGAGAGATTATCCGAGCTTGCTGATAGAGTATCTTCGGCGCTGAATAGAGAGATCATGGCGCACGGCGAAGATTTTGAGAAGGGCATGGAGAACATCACAAAGATTTACGATACGCTTGAAGCCGCGGGAGTGTTGTTGAAGAATTCTCGACGCTCGCTCCAGCGCGTGGGATCGGACGTGAAGAGTGCGCTACGAGTACAAGGCTCGCACACGACGAAGGGTTCGATTATCGAGACGCTTCGGATTCTGGAGGACATAAAGTTCTGTCAGACGTGCGAGATAAAAATTCGCTCTCGATTAGACGCATCAGATTATGCAGAGGCCATGACGTTGTACTCCAAGGCTTGGAGTATTTTAGAGGGTATGCATGGGTTGAAATGCACGTACACGCTCCGAGAAGACTTCGTCGCTCTACGATGGGAGCTCGCGACGTGTGTTGATAACGTATTGATTGATTTGTGCGGCACGTTTGACGCGGAAAAGTTTGCAAAGCTTTACGAACAGTATCCGAAACTCGGTCACGAGGTGAAGCACTTGGCCGATAAGATTCAGGACGCGTTCCTCAAGGCGGTGGAAGTCCAAACAGAGGGAATGTTGCGCCTGCATGCCATGCTGGCGCAAGATGAAGAGATCGAAGCGAAGAGAAAGAGCAGGATGGGTTACAAGCAGCTCTGTTCGCAGCTCTCATCGATGCAATTCGTGCCATGTCTGCGAAAGACGCTCGAGTCCTTGCATGAAATATTTTTATCGTCATACAGGATGACGGCCTGGTGTCAGGCGGCGATGCAAGATACCATCGATTTGTCGAATGCTGAGGCGATCAACACATGTAGCGCTCTTATCGCGGCGCTGCAAATAAATCGCAAGCCCATCGTGGAAATGGCAAGCGTTCGACTCGCAGCGTTGCTGCAGTCCTCTGGCCCACCGAGTAACGCGGCGTTCCGAGAGGTTTTCGATTTGTGTCGCGTATTCATCACGTGCGCCGAGGCTTTCTGCGGCGAGGAATCGCAGACGCTGCGTGCGCAACTGGAACGAATCGGTGATAGATACTTTGAATCTCTTCACAGCGCCAGACTCGACGCGTCCAAGACGATCTTTGAGAGTGAGCGATGGATTCCCGTATCGATGGATGCCGTGAAACGGGTCCGAGACGATCTGAGGAGCGCCATGCAGCGGAAGAAAGCGACGATTAACGGCCTTGGCAAGACTTTAGGCGACACAGCCATCACAACGTTCAACTCGGACCAGATCCTGGATTCGGAATCGTTCGTGAGGTTCATTCATCAGCCGAATCCTTTCATTGCAACGGGACAGTCCAATGAATCCGTGGCAACAAACGCGGAAGCGTCTCGCGCAGACAACGGCGTCGACGCTGTCGATATGTCTACGAGCGTATCGACGGAGGATTTCGCCTCGAACGGAGAGCATGAGCACGCATGCGATGGAGACGACGTCGGTTTGGACCGAGCGGGGGTCAAAATCACCGCGTCATCGCTGTACATTCTTCAGGGCATCGTCGAGTACACCGTGCTCATGCAAGTGATGCGTCCGAGCGTGCCGGTCATTTTCAATGGCATCTGTCAGCTCTTCGAGCTAGCCCTCGTGAAGACTTTCAATGCGTTCGGTCGTACCGAAGGTTTACTTCCTGACTCTTACGATATGACGCCACGACTTCGTGGGACACTGTCCAGACTCGGGAACTCGGGTGGCGTTATGGCGATTCGTGTGACGGCGCCGAGTCAAGGCGACGAGGACATCTTGTCGAGCGGAAATTTATACGGATTAAAAGAGCGAGGCATCGCGATAGAGTCGCTCGCACGCGTTGCTGACGAGTTCAAGCGCATCAAGTCTCGCGTGAAGCGGTCGCTTCCGTTGAAGGATGCCGCCTCGGCGGATCGCTTTTACTCGCACACCGTCGCGGCTGTGGAAGATTTGCGCGAGCATGTGTACAAGAACGTCGCCTCATTACTTTTGAACATAGGTTTTTGTGCGGAGGCTATCGGGGACGGCGATCCGAACTTTGCCTTGGTGAACTCGACGTTCGCCGGCAAGTACAACTTGCGCGAGGCGCCGAAACGCCAGAGCAAATGGGTAGACGACGTATCGGCCGAGCTCTTGCAGTTTACCACGAAACTCGCCGTCGCGGACGTCGCCCCCGAGGCCTTAGCCGTGCTCTGGGGCCAAGCCGCGAGCTTGCTCGAGCACGTCCTCGTCGACGGCTTCAGCAGGGTGAAGAAGTGCACGGACGCCGGGCGCGCGCTCATGTCGCTCGACATCCAAACCTTGCGCGCCGAGTTCACCAAGCTCGCCCCTTCCGGAACCTCCACCGAGTGGCTCTTTGTCACCGCCTACATTGACGCATTCTTCATCCCCGAGCACGACTTCCCGAAGTGGCTCGTGATCCACCCCGAGTACACCAAGTCGCAGAAGCTCTCTCTCGTGCACCAAGCGAGCGCCGGGCGTCGATGGTCCGCCAAGCTCAGAGCCGACTCCATCGCCGCCATCGAGGCCGATCCGTGATCAAACGTCGCTTTTAATCGAATCATCCATCCCGAGCGTGCGCGCGTGAGACCCTCGGTCGTTCGATCGCTCCGCGACGCGCGCGCGCCCGAACCGCCCACATCCCGCCCTGATGACTCAGCACCCACCTAGGCACGGCACCGCGCAGCGATGGAGCGCACGACGACGCCACTGATCGACGCGCTCGGCACCGAACGACGCGCGCGACGAACGCAGATAAAACCACGCGCGCAACACCATCGACGCGGACGCACCATGACGCACGGCGAGCACGGAGAACCGAAGAAGCACGGTTTTTTCGCGCGATTCTTCTTTGGGAAATCCAACCCGCGGCGCGACGTGCCGTTGCCGGGATACATCGAGGAGATGTACAACCCGAGACATCACACCGAGGACAGTAAGAAAGACCTCGGTGAATTCATTCGGAGACGGTCGATGGACGAACGACGGGTGTCGACGGACTCGACGCCGCGGACGAGCGAAGTGAACGACGACGCCTAGTCAGCGCTCGACGACGACGACGCGCGTCGAGGATTGGCGCGGATGGGAGGCGCCGGCGCGAAGACGGCGACGCGCGAGGTCGTGTAATACTGATGTAACGAAGTTTACCCGAAAAGGTTTGGGAATCGGGCGACGGCTCGTTCACTTTGAATTACGTCGTTTCTCGAAGAGTCTTATCCCATTAAAATATCGTCGTCGTCGTCGTCGTCGCGCGCGCTAGTTCGCGATCTTGGCCTGTTCGATTTCGAGCTCAGATTTGAGCGATAAAAGAATTTCGACCGCGGCCTGCACGTCCGCTTCGTCGTTGGTCTTGCCCTCGGCCTTGAGCGCGCGAATCGCGTCGCCTTGGGCTTTGATGGATTCCTCGAGCGACGAAATCCACGCCTTGGTCTTGTCCACGTCCACATCTTCGGCGGCGGCCGCTTCGTCGTCTTCGCCCTCCGTCACCCACTCGCCTTGATCGTTCACGATGATGGTGTCACCGTCGGATCCGTCGTCGTTCAGCCGGACGACTCGATCGAACCGCACCGCCTGCCCGATTTTCTCCCCGTCTGCAGCCGCGAGGGTCCACACCGTGGCGTCCTCGATTCGAAACTTTCTCCCCGTCGAGCTCACTCGCACGCCGCTGTAATTCTCAATCACCCCTTTTTCCGCCGCTTCGTCCAAAAGCGCCCTTCTCTCGGCCTGCGTCGCCGCGTCCGCCTCATCCGCGCTCTTCGTGCTCTTCATCCCCACAAAGTCATCAAACGCCAACTCAAACAACCCCAGCGCCGCCTTATTCCCGTAATCGAACACATCCGCCGCATCGTGACTCGCGCACGCGAACGGCGCGTTATACAGCACCACCGCCGCCTCGTGCACCATGAAGCGACCCTCCAACAATTTCCTCCCCGTGACCTTCGTGTACGACCCCGCGAGTTCCAAAGCCTTGAACGCGTACGCGTTCGACGCCCCCCTCGACCCCACGCCCTCGCCCCCGCCTCGAGCGTCGTCCTCGTCGTCCTCCGCCGCGCTCGCGCTCGAGCGTTCACGCCGCGCGCGCTCGCGCTCGGCGATCGATCGCTTCTGTTCCGCCGCTCGCGCATTCTTCCGCTTCGATTTATCCCGCGCGTGCGCGCGCACCGCTCGACGCGCGCTCGGTGCGCGCGCGCGCATTGCGTGGCGAAAAATCATCCGCGGCGTCGTCGACCGTCGTCGACCGTCGCCGCGCCTCGCGCGTGGTCGTGTGCGCGTTCATGCATCCCCATCGCGGTGTTCGTCGATGACCCATCGCGTCGTCATCGCGCGACGGGGACGATGACGAAGTTCGATCCCGTGGCGAAGGGCGAGCGCGGACGCGGGCGCGAGACGGTGACGGCGCGCGAGCGCCGGGCGCGCATGGAGACGTTCAGGGTGACTGGGACCCATCCCGAGCTCGCGGCGCTCGAGGCGGCGTCGAGGGCGGACGACGCGCGACGACGGCGCGAGAAGCGGCAGCGCGCGGGCGTGGCGACGCGAGGGAAGGCGTACGTGGACGTCGCGATCGATGGCGCGCTGAAGGGGTCGATCGTGATCGAGCTGTTGGAGGATGTGGCGCCGATGGCGTGCGCGCGATTCGCTCGACGGCTCGAGCGGGAGGCGGGAGACGAGGATGGCGTGGCGTACGGATCGTCGTGCGCGATGACGCGGGTGGATGATGAATTGCGAGTGGTTTTTGGTGCGAGAGGTGTGTCCGAGACGTCGGTGGTGGAGGTGGAGGGGGATCTGACGCACGGAGCGGCGAGCGTGGGCGTGGATCGAACGAGCGGAGAGTTTTCAATCGCTACGGCGAATTGCGCCTCCTTGGATGCCTCTTCGCAGTGCGTCGGGCGGGTGGTGAGTGGGTTGGAGATTTTACGCGCGATAACGCATCGCGATCGAGGGGTCATGGCGCCGCGCGACGTCACCGTACTGGCGTGCGGAGTCGTTCGAGGGGCGTGCGACGTCTCCACGCTCGTGGGGGTCGCCGCAAAGGCGCGCGTCGAGGCCGCGACGAAGGCGCGCGCGACGGCGGAGGCGAGGAGAAATGAGACTCAACACGACACGTTGAAGCGCTTGCGCGACGAGAGCGCGGCGAAGGGGGTGGAAATCTCCGACGCGGTTCGCTCGACAATCGCCGCGAAGAAGAAACCAGACGCGCCGCCAAAAAAGCCAAAGAAGAGCATGCTGGACTCGGTTTTGGGATCGGACTCGGACGAGTCGGATAAATAGTGATGTAATAGCGTGTATATCAATCGCCGCGCGACTCAGAGTTGGCATCGGTTTCGCGATGTTTCGTCGATTCGGCGTCGCGCGGAGAACGTGAGGGTGCCTAGTTTTTTTTTTTCAACGCCGCGACGAGAGCCGCGCTACGGGCCAGCCGCGATGGCTTCGTCTAACAGTCGGTCGATGACGTCGGTGGAGACCGGCGGCGGGATCTTACCTTTAGCCATGTCGTATCCCTTGCGACGCTCTCTGTCGGTGGGTTCGGTGAGCGTCTTCTCGCCGAACATGCCCGTCTCGGTGACGACGGAGAGCACCGCGACGTCCTCCGGCGCGTCGTCCGCGCGCGTCGTGGAGACGTGCGCGATGAACTGCGCGAGATTCAGTCTCTTCGTGTATCCCTCCGAGGTATCACCGACGTTGATGAAGATATCCTGATACTTGACGTCCATCAGGTTATCCACGAGACGCGCCGAGTAATCGGCGAGCAGCAGCGGTCCGTTTCCGCGAAGCTGCCCCGAGCGCACGATGGAGAGTTCGTACCCGAGCGTCGCCCGTCCCGCTCGCAACGTCTCCTCCGCCTTCGCGAACGCATCGAGCGCGCCGACGCCCCCGTCCAAGGGTTCCCCGATCGGCAGCGACATCCCACCCACCGACACCGCCGCCTTGGCCGGTTTATTCTGTCCGTCGAACGGTCTCCGCGTCCGTCGATTCACCCCAACCCTCGACAAGCACACCACCCGTTTCGCCCCCTTCGCCCACGCGCGCACCATCTCCGCCCCCTTCATCGCCTTCCGTCCGCTCTCGTGCGCCACGATCACGACGTCACACGTCTCCAACGCCGCTCGCGTCGCGTCGTCGCTCGCCGCGTTCGCGATCGCGATCGATTCAAATTCCCCAATCGTCGTCCCGAACCGTCGTTCGAACACCGTCTCCGGGAACTCCGCGCACGTCATCTCGAACGCCGTCGCGTCGTCGACGACGAGCGCGACGTTGGCGCCGCCCAGCGCGCGCGCGAGGAGTCCCGCGAGCGCGCGACCGGTGGATGAATCCGCGCCGATGACCCCGACGCGCGCCGTCGCTCGAGCGATCGCGCGCGCGCCGCGCCCGGACGGCGCGCGACCGAGCGCTCGGGCGACGGCGACGGGCGCGGGCGCGGCGCGGGGCATGTTCGCGGCGATGCGTCGCGCGATGGGGATGTCGTTTGAATGCATGAATGTCATCATCATCATTCATCTCGACGCGTCGACGCCTCGGACGTCGGCGCGCGATCGCGCACGCGCGGGAAGACGCGCGGGGCGACGCGTGCGAGACGCCCGCGGGGAGGTGGACGCGAACGCGCGCGTAGCGAGGCGGGGCGGGGTGATTTCGTGGTGAATCGCAATCAACGCGAATGCGGTGCGTGGGGAATTCCGCGCGTGCCGCGCGCGCGTGGGCGCGCTGCGCGAGCGAACGCGTCGGTGTCGACGCGTGATGTCGTGTTCGTCGCGGGGAAGACGCGGCGACGGGGAGGGGAGACGTGGGCGAGGCGTGGGAGGGGGGACGCGGATGATTGGTGGAATTGAATTTCGACGCGCGACGAGACGCGCGGACTGACCGTCGACGCGGTGTTCGATAAACGCAGACCCATCGCGGGAGGAGGGAAGGTGGGGAGGTTTGTCTCGCTCGGACGCGTGGACGCGGGCTCGGAGGGAGAGCGTGGGCGCGATTGCTGGGGACGCGGGACGAGCGACGCGGGCGGGAAACCGAGCGCGCGGTACGAGGACGCGAGGGGGTGGGACGGACGCGATGATGATCGAGATCGGCGCTCGTTCGATCGTCGGGGGTACGGTGACGATTACGGGAGAGGGGGGGAGGATCATCTCGATCGAAGGAGGAGCTACGACTCGCGCGGCGGAGCCGACGTCGGAAGTTGGCGGAGCGAGCGTAACGGGTACGGGTTTCGCGATCGGGACGATGGATTTCCCAGAGGAGGACGTCTCAGCGCGGATCGAGAGAAGACATGGCGACGTCGAGAGGAACCGGAACCGTTGAAACCGGTAGAACCTTCGCCGCCGCCGCGCGCTCGGCAGAGCGTGGACGTTAAACGCACCGCCGAGGGTGCCCTGGACAAGTTACACATCCCGCACGGAGACTACGAGTGGGGTCAGGAAGAAGACGATTTCGGTGAAATCCCTTCGTGGCTGCAGCAGCAGCAGGACGCCCGGAGCTCTGAGCGGGGGACGAATCAGGTTCCGGCGCCTCGCAAGGGCACCTCCCCCGTCCAACCGAAACCAAAGCGAGAGATGGGTCACTTCAACAGTGCCAAACTTCCAGACCACCTGAAGCAGCCCAAGCGCGCCGAAGGGGAAGAGAAAAAGTTGTGGACGCCGCCGGAACCGATCGGTGGAGTGAAGAAACGCCCCGAAAAGGCGTCGATTACGTCTCCAAAGGCCACTCCTGCGCCTAAGGCGGTTCCCATCGCCAGGAGGAGCCAAGACGAGCCAAGAGCCATTCCGGAGCCGAAACTGCGCAACAACAAGGCGGAGGGTAAGACATTGCCAAAGGTCTCTCCGAAGACTCCGCCGTCACCTCAATTACCGCCAAGCGCGGCGAAAGGGCTGTCCTTGGCTCCTCCAAATCCGCCGCCACCGTCGCCCCATCCTCCTCCAAATTTATCCAGGGCGCAACCACCTATTCCACCGGGCAAGCCGCCACCGTTACCACCGATGCCGCCACCACCGTTGCCACAGGGCATGCCGCCGGGAGTGCAGCCGCCACTGCCTTCTGGTAAACCACCACCGCTTCCACCAAAACCACATGCGTCGCCAGACATGACAAAGCTTTCAATCTCTGAGAAGACTACGCCGAGCAAGAACGCCGCGAAGAAGAAAAAGGTCCAAAAAGTGCCATCTTCCGGGAATGTTTCGAGCTCCGAAGCGATGAGAGTGAGCGAAGGTTCAGAGAAGCCGAAGGCGAAACCAACGTTGAAGGAGACGTCGCGAGACTCATCTACAACTGATCTTTCATCGGACGGTGGGTCTCAGAAGCCCAAAGTGAAACCGAAGGCAGCGAGTAAGGCAAAGCCGAAGGCGGGACTTAAGGCACCGAAAGGTCAAGCGGATGCGGCGCAGCAAAGGAACGGCTCTGACGAAGCGAATCGACGAGTCTCTATCGACGCGATTGACATGTCAAGAGCGAATAGCAAAATGACCATTTGACAATAATACCGTTACCTGTATCTTTACCACTACTACTCCTAAATTCTAGTCTCGAACACGCTCTAGGAGCGCATCTATGCGATCGATCGCGTCGGTGCGTGACGGCGGACAGAACTGCCGAGCTCTTTCAAGTAAGTCGACGATCATTGCCACATCTGCCGGTCGATCCTCCTCGGCGGCGGATTTCCACAGCCATACCGCGGTTCGGTACGCGTCTTCCGCGAGACTAGCGTCGGTCTCGCTCCATCCCCCGTCCGAAGGGGCGCCGCCCACATCGCTCGCGTCGTGGAACTCGTCGTCGTCCGAACATCCTTCAATCGCGAAATCGTGCGGCGCGTTCTCCGCGCGTTCATCACCATCCTGTTCCCGAGAAAATTCCTCGCTCGTGACGTTCTCATCGAGTTCATCCTCTTCCTTATCGTCTTCCCATTCTTCCTGTTCGAGCAGAGCCCTGGTCTGCGCGATCGTGTTCGACAGTTTCTCCCGCGCCGCCGTCTCTCCGCGCGGCAGCGCCGCCGCCGCCCGCGTGAATCGCCTCAACGCCTCCTCCACGTCCCCACTCCTCAGCGCGAGCACGCCCACTCGAAACTCTTCGTCAGCCGTCTCCGCGTCCGTCTCCGCGTCCGAGGATTCGCTCTCGGACCCGCTCCGCGCTCTTCCCGCGTCCGTCCCGCCCGTCTCCATCATCTCCGGGACGTCCGCGTCATCCATCGTCCGCGTCTCGTTCCGCGCGCTCCCCTCCACGCCGTCCTCTCCGGGTTTCGCCATCCCAAACACCACCGATCCGCACGCGACGTTCGCGACGTCCGCGCGCGAGCGAGCGACGGCGCGGTCGACGATGATCGATTCCGCTCTCTTCATCCACTCCAGCGCATTCGCGCTCGCGCTCGTTGATGTCGACTTCTCGCGCGACGGTCGAGCGTCGGAAACGCGGTCGATCGATGTCATCGATCGTGACGCGTCTCCGTGAAGCGCGCCGCGTCCGCGCGGGGCGTCCCGAAGTGAAGAGTGTTAGCTTTTCACGAATCGCGAGAAGAGCAATCGACGCGACGAGACGAGAGCGCGGTGCAAACGCGGTCGTGGGGACACACGCCGACGCGTCGACCTCGTCGTTGACGACGATTTCGGATAGAAGAATTTTCACTCGACGCACTCAAACGAACGCGATGCTCACGAGCGTGGCGCGTGCGACGCTGTCGAAGCGAGTCGTCGTTTCGCCGGTTCGCAGTCGACGGCAGAGATTTTCAATCACGCGCGCGTCGCAGGCTGAATCGCAGCCGCAGCAAGGACAAGGATCGCAGATGCAGCGAGAGAAACTTTCGTCGTCGCAACAGGAACCACCGTCGTTGCAGAGACAGCGCGCGATGTCGGCGCCGATGTCGTTCCCATCCATGCTCAACGCGCTGCAACCGTTCGCGGCGCAAAACCAGCGACAGTTGATCAACATGATGGACGATCTCATGGGCGGCGCGTTCGAGACGCTGGATCCGTTTACGATCAGAATGCATCGCGATCATACCGAGGGTGTACCGCAGCAGATTCTCAACTTTCCCATGGGTGCGTCATTGTCGCGCGCAAACGCGGATTTAATCGCGCTCGATGTTGACGACGAGACGAGACGAGACGCGATACTGACATTTCGATTTTCGTTCACAGACGTCATCATGAAGAAGGACAAGTACCTGATTCACGCGGATCTTCCCGGTTTGTCGATGAAGGACGTCACGGTCGAGGTCGAAGACGTCGACGAGATGACGAAGATTTTGCACATCACCGCCCGACGCGAGCATCGCTCAGAGGAGCAGGATCAGGACGAAAGCGGAAAATGGGTCGCGTACGAACGGTTCTACGGCAAGATGGATCGCTCTTTTCCACTCCCCAAGGACGTCGCTCTCGATGCCGGAAACGATCAAGCGATCCAGTGTCGATTGGTGAACGGAGAGTTGACGATTTCGATCAAGCGCCAGCCTCCGCCTGAGAAGGAGAAAGCGCCGCCGAGAATGAAGATCCCAATCATCGATCACTGATCACGAAGTGACGCAGAGTTTCAAGATTTCGCGCTAACTCGGCGCCGAAACGACCACGAATCAATCGCGTGAGATGGTTACTTCATCTCTTTTCCCGCACCAATGCGTTAGAGTCGTGTCGGTAGTGTTGTTGAATTTGAGGCCGCACGGCATTCTTTGAAGTCAGACTGCTTATTATTTCAGTCGATCTACGACTATACGCGATATCTACCTTGTGGTTGTCCCCCACCTGGCAATGCCTGTTTGGCTATGGCTTGCTCGATGATTTGCTTCACGTAGTTTTTGCCCTCCTTGACAACGCGCTCGGAAGGACCTTCGATGAGAAGGTAGAGTTTTCTATCGCCCGGCGCGAGCGGACGCCCGGGCTGGGCGTACTGACCCTTGGCTGTGACCGCGGCGCCTGTCATCTCCATGATTTGCGCAATAGTTTCTTTTTGCGTAACCTTATATCGCGCGAATTGGGGGAAATCATTGATCTCGAGCTCCGTCTCAAAGTGAGATCCAGTGGCAGCGGATGACGCCGTGGGCTTGGCGTGCTGTGCATTGAGCGCCGCCGCGAGCGCCGCCGCCCTCGCGGTGCCCTCACTAACTCCGTGCGCGAGAGCATAACTTTGCGCGAGAGCGATCGCTTTGTCCACGCCCCCGCGAGACCCGGCGACGGCTTGCGACTGAGCACCACCCGGATTGGTCTGTCTGATTCCGCCCGTTTTTGGTGCCTTCATCTTGGCAAAGACGGATTGCGCCGCCGCCTGAGCGATTTGCGCAGGCGTCATACCCGCGTGAGCGCCTGCGGTGGCGAGCGCGTTCGAGGGTTGCTGCTGTTGCGGTGCTCCATTTGCGGGCACTGCGCCCGCCGCTTGTACGGTAGCCGTAGCTTGCGCCGCTGCCGCTTGCGCTTGCGCCGCCGCCTGCCCAGACGGACCCACTGAGGCGTAAATTGGGCCCTCATCCTCGCCTGCATCGCCGCCGAAGACGGGCTCTTCTTCACTGTCGCTCTCACTGTCGTCGATTTCCAGACCCGCCGCGCGAGCAGCATCGCGCTTCTGCTTCTTGAGCGCATCATGTTCGCCTTGATCAAACTTGAAGCCCGACCCGCCGAAACCGGAACCAGCAGCTCCAACGAGACCCTCCTTTCGCTTGCGCGTGAACTCATCCGCGAGCCTCTGGACGTCTCGCGGCACAGTTTGCTTCGAATCCTTCAGTGCCTTGACTAAATCCGGCGCGAACTTCTCCTCATCCTCCGAAATAAAGGTCACCGCGGTTCCCTTTTGTCCAGCGCGACCGGTGCGTCCGACGCGATGCACATAGTCCTCCAAGTGGTTCGGTGTGTCGTAGTTGATGACAAGTCTCAGATCCTTCACGTCAAGGCCACGAGCGGCGACCGAAGTAGCAACGAGAATGTTACAGACGTCAGACTTGAAGTCCGAGATTGTGCTGTGGCGATCGCTCTGTTCTTTACTCCCATGCAAGCTGAGACACGGATAGCCGCTCTTGAGCAATTCCTTGAACGTCGAGTCGGCTTTATCCTGGCTCGCGACGAAAATGATAATCTTCCCGCGCTCGCACCACTCTCCCAGGAGCTCGAGGACGCGAAGGAAGCGGTCCTCCTCGGGACGAATCTCCACGACCTGATCGATGTCCGAGTTCACGACGGATTTCCCGCCAATTTGAATCTCGACTGGATTTTCCAGAGCGGCGCGCGCGAGCGCTTCCATCGTGTGCGGAAACGTCGCGCTGAACATGACAGTTTGACGATCGGGACGGAGGTTCGCCAAGATGCGCGTGATCTGAGGTTCGAAACCCATGTCGAACATTCTGTCCGCCTCATCGAGGACTATGTACGTCACGCGGCGAAGATTCGTGATCTTGCCGCCGCCCGTCGTCAGGATGTCGATCATACGACCGGGCGTGCACGCGACAATCTCCGCGCCTCGCTTCAATTCGCCAATTTGCGCCGCAATTCCCGAGCCACCGTACACACTGACGGCGTTGAACCCCAACGCTTTGCCGTAGCGCTTCGCTTCTTTTCCGATTTGCGTAACGAGCTCGCGGGTCGGTCCCATGATCATACCAATTGGACCGTCACCATTCTTGAGCGGTTCCTGCGCGTTGATGTGTCGCAACATCGGTAGGATGTACGCCAGGGTTTTCCCACTCCCCGTTTTGGCGATCCCGATGCAATCGCGCCCGGACATAATCACCGGCAGCGCTTGAGCTTGAATTGGCATCGGCTTCTCGAAGCCACAGCGTCGGATGAGCTCGTGTATGCGTCCGCTCAGACCTGCGTGCGCCCACGTCTTGATGGGTTTGGGAACTTTCTTCCCTCGACACTTAATCCCATCCAATTCCGCTCGAAGTGCACGCGTTTGCGCCTTGGTCATGGAAGAAATCTCTTTCGATTCAATGTAAAAATCCTTCTTCACCGGCTCGTAATCGATTTCGTCGTGATTGACCTTGCCGAGCTTCTCCGTCTTGCTGAGCTTGGCTTGCTGCCTTTGCGCCCAGGCTTCGTCGTCGTCGTCATCGATGTCCTCCTCCGCGGCGACTTCGTCCGCGTTTTCACTCGCTTTCGCCACATCACCGTCGGCTGCATCTTTTTTCACGGTGCTATCGTTTTCGCCCTCGTCGTCGCTCTGTTCGAAGACGTCATCGAGCGCTCGAGCGCGCTTGGTCGCGCGCCTCGCCTTTTTCACCGGAACGTACGCCGCGCGCTGCGACGGCACCACGGGACGAGCGATGCTCGCGATGAGCGACTTATTCGCTCCGAGCGCAATTGGAGTCGAAGTCTGCCCTGACGTCGACGCACCGTTCGTGATCGTCGCCGCCACGCGGGCTGCCGCAGCCTTGGCCGCCGCCGCGAACGAAGCCAGCAACGCATCCTCCTCCGATACCTCCATCGCCTCGACGCCCTTCTCGGCCTCAGCCTTCTCCTCCCTTTCTTTCTTCTCCCTCTCCTCTCTCTTCTCTCGCTCCGCCTTGACGCGCTGTTCGGTCTCCGCGACGTCCGCGTCCATCGCGACGTCGTTCTCCGCCATGAACGCGTCCAGCGGGTCCTCTTCGTCATCCGTCGCCCGTCCCCGAGACGAGCTCCTCCCTCGACCCCCTCTCTTGCCCGCACCGGGACTTATCGACCGCGACGCTGACCTTCGCGTCGTTCGTCGTCGCTTCGCTCGTCCACCTCGGTCGCTCTCGCTCTCGTTCGCTCTTCGCTCGTCCGAGTCGGAATCCGCCGTCGGCGGCTTCGCGCGTCTCGTCGTCCCGCTCGCCTCCTCTTCGTCCGACGACTCCTCGAACGCCGAAACCTTTCGCGAGGCATCGACGCGCGTCGACGCGCGCATCTCGAACGTCGCTCCACCGCTCTGCGTCGACGCGCTCGTCGTTTGCGCGCTCGAAGATTTCTTTCGCGGTGGCATGGCGCGCAATGTGACCTCGTCTCGACGTCTTTCGGTCGCACCGCGTGAAGCGTGTTACGAGCCTGAGCTCGCACGCGCTGTGCGATGAAACGCGCGCGCGTCGACGCCTCGGAGACGACGCGGACGCGAGCGACGCGCGAGCGACCGGCGAGCGGAGAATGGAGCGAATCGGGGTGGTCGTCTAAACCCCTAAAACCAGGGTTTAGGGATAGGGTTTAGAGAACCCACCCCGAGACGCGACGCGCGAAGAAACGTCATCCCTCGCCGCTCGCCGCTCGATCTCGCGCGATGTTCGGACGATTCGGCGCCCCGAGGGGATTCACCGCGAGTTATCGCGTCTACCCCGTGAGCTTCATCGACCGCCCGCAGGTGGAGCTCGGAGACAAGGCGATCATGCCCCCGAGCGCGCTGGAGCGGTTGACTCGAATGCAGATCGATGAGTTCCCGATGACGTTCGAGGTTGAGAACGCGAAGCGTGGACGGAAGACGCACTGTGGGGTGCTTGAGTTCGTCGCGGACGAGGGCGTGGTGTACCTGCCGTACTGGATGATGCAAAATTTGTTACTGGAGGAGGGGGACGTGGTGAAGTTTACGTACGCGTCGCCGCCGAAGGGTACGTACGTGAAATTACAGCCGCAGACGAAGGATTTCTTGGACATCTCGAACCCGAAGGCGGTGTTGGAGATGACGTTGAGGAATTACACCTGTCTCACGGTCGGGGATACGTTCGTTATTCATTACAATAACAAGAAGTATTACATGGATGTGGTGGAGGCAAAACCGGGAGACGCCATCGGAGTCGTGGACACCGATTGCGAGGTCGATTTCGCGCCTCCGTTGGATTACGTCGACCCTTACGGTCCCGATAACACGAAATTTGAGGATACAAACTCCGGGGCGATCAACGCGCCGAAGAAGGAGGAAGTCGCGGGTGACGACGCCGGCGCGTCCACGTCGGGCGCTGAGACGAGCGTGGAACCAAAGACAAAGACTTTCCTGGCGTTCGCGGGCGGTGGACGCCGATTGGACGGCAAGTCTATCTCCGAGATCGCTCCGGTGGAGGTGGAGATTCCCACGACGTCGCTTCGCGTGACCAAGGAGTGGCAACAACTTCGTCAGGGCGGCGTCCTCGGCGGAGAGACGAGCAAGGAACCCGAGCAGCCCAATCCGGACGGCGACATCGACCGCAAGCGCAGCGGCAAGGTTGTTTTCGGCGGCGCGCGCGCGGCCGCAATCGCGCGCAAGAAGGAAAAGGCGGCGGCGGCGAAAAAAGACGATGCGCCCGAAAAGAGCGACGCCAAGCCGACGTCCTCGTTTGAAGCCTTCAAGGGCACCGGGAACAAGCTGCGATGAGGCGATGATTCTTTCGATTGATTTTGATGTACTTTTACAGCGACGCGACACGAGCGCGTAGGCGTTAAAAATAACCAGGAAAACACAGCGATTTTCTCCTCTAGACGAGCAGCATCTTCTTCACGTAGGCGCGAATCGAGCGACGCTTTTGCACCGCCGAAACCGTCCACATATCCGGCGCGACGCCCTCGTCAACCATGCGATCGACGATCTCCTCCGCCCTCGCGAGATCATTCGTCGCCGTGCAGCAGCTCAGCAACGCGTTGTACGTCACGCTCGTGAGCTCGATCCCGTGCCTATCCTTCGCCCCGTTCACGACGGACATCGCCTGTCCCCAGCTCGGCGGATCCAGACTGAGGTACCCCTTCGCCATCTCCGCCACCGCCACTTCATCCGGCACCGCGACCCCTTTCTCAAAAATCTCATCGTACACCCGTCGCGCCAGTTCAACGTCGCGTCCGTTCACGCACGCCGTGAGCGTCGCGCTCGTCGCCCGCGCGTCCGGCGTCGCCCCCAATCCGTTCAGCGACACCAACAGGTCCACCGCCGCGCTCGCCGCCCCCCGTTTCGCGCACTCCCGAATCTTCTTCGTCGTCTCTCGCAGAATCTCTCGCTCGTTCGCCGACGCGCTCGCTCGCGCGCCCGCGCGCGCCGCGCGAACGCCGCCGCCGCCGCCGCCGCCCCGTCCACGATGCGCCGCCGTCTCTCGCGCGCGCGTCCACGCGCGCGCGGTCACGGGCGCGAGCCCCATCGCGCGCGGCATCGCTCGCGTCTCCCTCGCTCGTCCGTCGTCGCGTCGACGTGCGCGGCGCGGCGCGGGCGCGGGCGCGGTGGTGTCGCGCGATGGGCGTCGTGGTCGTCGTGAAATCATACTGTTCGCCCACACGACGTGACACGCACCCACGCGCGTCGACGCCCATCGCGATGCGCGACCCGTCGACGCGCGATGGCGACGCGCGCGGTGACGCGCGCTTCGGTGGGCGATGGGACGACGCGCGCGGTGCCACCGCGCGCGCGCGCGGGCGCGGTGCGGCGCGTGAGAGCGAGCGAACGCGTCGTGATGTTGACATCATGGTGCGATGGAACGACGCGCGCGCGACGCGGGCGAACGGTGACGCGCGCGACGGCGACGACGGCGCGGGTGGGGGAGCGCGCGGGCGCGCTCTCGCAGGTCCTGAGCGGGATCACGGTCTCCCTGGCCATGGTCCCGGAGTCGCTCGCGTTTACGTTCGTCGCGGGCGTGAGCCCGATCGTCGGTCTGCACGCGGCGGCGTTGATGGGACTGTGCACGGCGCTGTTGGGGGCGCAACCGGGGGTTATTTCGGGCGCCGCGGGAGCGACCGCGGTGGTGTTCGCGCCGTTGGTGGCGAGTCACGGGGTTGAGTATTTGTTCGCCGCCGTGACGCTCGTGGGGGCGATGCAATGCGCGTGCGGCGCGGCGAGACTCGGAAAATTCATTCGACTCGTCCCGCAACCGTGCATGATCGGGTTCGTGAATGGATTGGCGATTGTGATCGGGATGTCGCAGTTGGAGACGTTCTCGGGATTGAGCGGGAGCTCTCTGGCGACGACGGCGGGACTCACCGCGCTCACGATGGCTTTGATCCGTATCATTCCAAAGCTGTCTTTCGTCCCGAAAGCCATCCCTGCGCCTCTTTTGGCCATCGCGTCGTGCGCGACGCTGACGAATGCGCTGAAGATTTCGACGAAGACCGTTGGAGACGTCGCCCCGGTCTCAGGATCGTTGCCGTCGTTACACTTGCCGAACGTCCCGCTCACTTTCGAGACGTTAACCGTCATCGCGCCGTACGCGCTCTCCGTCGCCGCAGTTGGGCTGATCGAGACTCTTCTTACGCAGCAGCTCGTGGACGACGTGACTGAAAAGCGCACGGCGACGCACACCGAGTGTATTGCGCAGGGCGTTGGTAACTTGGTGAACGGTGCTTTCGGCGCCATGGGCGGATGCGCCATGATTGGACAATCGATGATCAACGTCAACTCTGGCGGTCGAACGCGAGTCGCAGGCGTCACGTGCGCGCTGGCAATTTTGAGTTACGTCTCGTTCGGTGCCTCCTTCATCGAGCGTATTCCCATGGCGGCGCTGACGGGCACGATGCTTTGCCTCGTGCTAGACATTTTCGATTGGACATCCTTCTCACGCATTCAAAAGATTCCAAAGACGGACGCCGTCGTCCTCGCCCTCGTCACCGGCGTCACGGTGGCCACGAATCTGGCCGTGGCCGTGTTTGCAGGCGTCGTACTGTCCGCCCTCGGATTCGCGTGGAAGTCATCGCAACGAATCATCGTCTCGCGCTCAGAGATCCGCGGAGTGAATAACTCGGAGGCTCTCTGCGAACTCTCCGGACCGCTCTTCTTCGGGTCGGTACAAAGTTTCACGGAGAAGCTTGATCCTCGAAATGAGTCGGCCAATCGCGTCATCTTGGACTTCGCCCAGAGCAAGGTTTGGGATAGCTCGGCGCTGACGGCCATCGACGAGTTGTCTGACAAATATCGCAGTCTGGGCAAGAAGCTCACTCTGCGAGGCCTCTCTCCGGATTGCACAAAACTGCTCACGAGAGCAGGCGATCTCGTTGAAATCGACGTGGACGCTGATCCCGTGTACGCCATCGGCATGGACTACGACACGCGCCAACTGGAAGGGACGACGGAAGCTTTGGCCGGGACGAATCGTCAACTCACTCTGGCAGAGGAGAAAGCGTTGAAGCGACAGTACAATCAATAGATAAGAGTGTTGTGTAATTGAAAAGCTATGTGTGTATCTAAGGTGCCGTCCCGCTCGTAAGCGCAGCCACTCCAATGGTCAACGCCGTGCCGACGAGCACAGGATTATCCAAGCTCCAAAATTTCGGCGTCTTTTTGGCCAGTCGCGTCACTCGTTCTAAATCCGTCTCGTTTTCGCTCACCGGCGCCTCTTCTCGCAACAAAAACTTCGTCTCCGGGTCCACCTTTCGCAACCACTCCGAGTAAAACCATCGCTCTAATCCTCGCTCGTCGTCTTCCTTCAGCTCCTCGAGGTACTTTCGCAACGTCCCAGCCTTCTTGTCCCTCGCGAGTCTCACGCGCGCGTCCGGGACCAATCCGAACCACCAGTACGCCACCATCGCGCCGACCGCCACGAGCACCACTCCGTTCGCCGCGAGCGCGGAGGTATCCATCGCCGACGGCACGTACGCCGACGGTACGTCGTCGGCGACGCGACAGCGAACGACGCGCGCGTGACGTTTCGTCTGAAACGCTGACGTCGACGGTCGAGAACTCGAACCGGCGGTCGACGACGACGACGCGCGCGAGCGCGGGGCGCGAACGTCGCGCGCGATCGCGGTCATCGTCGCGTGAGCACGTCGAGGCGCGCTCGAGCGGGGCGCGTGCGTCGGTGACTGGCCATCGAGGACGCGCCCTGGGTGTCTGGAGTCATTCGCGAGCGAAGAGAAATTTACAAAGAGAAAAATGTGCGTCACGCGTGACGCACGCGGACGAGACGTCGCCAGAGTATCACCAATCGTTGTCATCGTTGGTGGGAGTATCGGCGCGCCAGAGTTGGACGTCGTCGGGGCGGCGATAGTCGCGGGCAGGACGGCGCGGTCGAGAGTCGTCAGAGCGCTCGAATCTCGGCGGGGAGTCCCTTCGGTCTCGACGATCATCGAAACTCGGACGATTTGGACGATCACGGTTACCTTCAAAGTCGTACGACGGTCGTCGTTCGTCCCGGTCAAACGAACGTCGAGGCGGTCGGTCGCTGAAATCACGATCTCTCGAACCTCGGCCGCCTCGCCCGCCTCGCCCACCGTCGTCGCTCCATCGAGCGCCAAACTCTCGAGATCTTGAGTCGTCTCTGTCGTCGAAGCGCCCGCGGTCATCGCGTCGCTCGAAGTCTCGACGGTCGTTGAAGTCATCCCGACGTCCACGACCGCGTCCGCGACCGCCGAAATCGCGACCGCCGAAATCGCGACCACGACCGCGACCGCGACCGCCAAAGTCGCGCTCTCTCCCCAAATCGCCTCGTTTGCCTTCATCTCCCCATTGAGAGCCGAATTCGGAGCGCTCGCGCCTTCCGTACCCGGATTCCTCTCGATCACCGGATCTACCCCGATCATCGCGTCGATCGAAGCTTCGACGATTGTCGTAATCATCTCGACGTCCGCGACCGCGACCGTCAAAATCTCGACCGCGTCCTCGACCACCTCCACCGAAATCGCGAGAGCGTCCGCGGCCACCTCTGTCTTCGTCGCCCCATCGAGCGCCAAACTCAGGACGTTCGGGCCTGCGGTAGCCAGAGTCCTCTTGATCACCGTATCGACCGCGATCATCGCGTCGATCGAAGCCGCGACGGTCGTCGCGTCGATCGAAGCCGCGACGGTCATCACCGAAATTGCGCCCGTAACCGCGGCCTCGACCGCCCTCAGAGCTACCCCTCGGTCGCCGGTCGAAAGACCCACGGTCATCGCGTCGACGATCGTCCCTCGGTTTTAGTGAAACTGTGGACGTGTCCACGGGCATGTCCTCGGGAGCCGGCTTGGGAGAATCCGCCATCTTAATCAGACGCACCACGCACTCGGACGCCACCGCCTTGGGCGGGAGCTCAGCGAACTCATTCGGATCCTCGATCTCGTTAAGAACTAAGAGCACGCGTAAGACGTCTGAGAGCTTCAAAGCCGGATTCACCTGTCGCTCTTGAATCTTATCGCACGCCGAACACTTCCCGCGAAGATGCGAGACGTCCACATCCATCGCCGCTCGCAAACGCTGCAATCCTGCGTTTAGCTTGCGATTATTCAACCTTCGTGGCAATGGCCAATCGATCAGTTGATACACCAATCGATCGGGCAAGCGAGCGAACAAATCAGGTCGATCTCGAGCGAACGCTAAGACCAATCGCTTGATCTCTCCCGCGTCCGTCGGCGTCAAATCCTCAAATTCGCTCTCTTCCTCCGCCTCCGCCGCCTCCGCCGGCTTTGCGACCGGTCTCGCCCACTCCGGTGCGCTCGACTCCTCCTCTCGCACGCTCACCACCTCTTCAGCTACGCCAGTGTACCCTAACTCGCGCAATCGCGCCATGAACACCACAAACTCGGCCCAATCCCCCCCCCACGTCGTCGTCGTCTGCACGCCCGGGAGCGCCTCGAATGCGCCGAGCTCGCCCTCTTCGCTCGTCGATCGCGCTCTGATCGTCCATCTACGTCCTAAAACCCCGCTAGAAGACACTAAACACGTATTTACGCGCATCCACGATCGCGTAGCCCCACTTGACGCGCGTACCGTCGCGTGATGCGTCCTCAAAGTCACATTGGACGGTGTCCTCGACGCGGCGGCGGCGCTCGAGAGATGCATTGTGCGCTCGCTTCGCGCGCGACGCGCGAGCGTGGACGCGCGCGCGAGTGTCCGAAACGTCGTGCCTCTCTACCGACCTCTGTGTGATCGAAGCCGGTCTATGAGCGACGAACGAACGACGCGTAGTGTGGTGAAGGAGCGTTACACGCGTTACACGCGGTGAGGTTTGTTTTGGTTTCAACGCTCTGTCAAAGGTTGATTACATTTGGTCGAGGTAGGCTCGGTAGCCGAGGTCTTCGAGCTTACTCGCCTTGTTCAACACCACGTTCTCCATGTCTTCCTGGTAGGCTAACATCTTAGACAGAACGGTGGGCTCGTACGCGGAGACGATGCGGGCGGCGATGAGTCCGGCGTTGGCGCTGTTCCCGATGGCGACGGTGGCCACGGGAACGCCCTTGGGCATTTGAACGATGGAGAGGAGGGAGTCCATGCCGTCGAGGTACTTCAGCGGCACAGGAACACCGATGACGGGGAGCGGAGTCATGGCGGCCACCATTCCGGGAAGATGCGCGGCGCCGCCGGCGCCAGCGATAATGGCTCGAATACCGCGCGTGTGCGCGCTCTTGGCGTAATCGTTCATGCGATCGGGCGTTCGATGAGCAGAGATCACCGTGACCTCGCAACCGATGCCGAATGATTCCAAGACCTCCGCGGCGGCGCTCATCGTAGGCAAGTCGCTATCCGAACCCATGATGATGCCCACCTGAGGCGCCGGCTTGGCGGGCGTATGGTCGCCCTTGGCGGCGCGCAGGATTGTGTCCAAGCGCTCCGTGGCCACCGCCGCACTCGGTCCGACGACGGTGATGTGACCCATCTTACGCGCAGCCTTCATATCCGGCTTTTCGTACCAATGAATGCTCGCGCCCGGGACCTCTAACGCCGCGCCCATGAGGCGGTGTGCGCGAGACATTGCCTCGTCGCCCTCGGCGTCACCCAAAATGTTCTTCATCACGGCTCCGCCAACCTTCAGCGAGGTGTCTCCCAGAGGCCAGCCCAAGATCGCGCGCAGATGGTTCTCGTATTGCGAGCACGCGCAGCCCTCGATGGTGTAGTGTCCGCTGTTATGCGGCCTCGGCGCGCACTCGTTGAGCAGAATGGAGCCGTCGTGCAAGAGGAACAACTCGACGCCGAAAATGCCCGCACCCGTAAACGAACCGATCGCCTTCTTGGCCGCCTCTTGAACCGCCTCGGCGACCTTGTTCGGAACCGGTGCGGGAGTCGTGGTGATGTCGCAAATATTATCCTCGTGAACCGTCTCCACGACGGGGTATGCGCGCGTCTCGCCGTCTCGCGCGCGCACGACCATCACCGCCAGCTCCTTCGCAAACGGCACCCACTTCTCGCAATATAAACCTTGCTCAAACCCGCCGAGCTTGACCACGGCGTCGTTCAGATCGGCGGCAGTCTTCGCCACCGCGTTCCCTCGACCATCGTACGCCAAACGCTTCGACTTGAGCATGAGCGGAAACCCAAATTCACTCGCCGCCTTTTGCAGCGCCGCCTCATCCGGGCAGTCCGCGAACGGTCCCAGAGGCACGCCCGCCTGCGAGAAGTGCACTTTTTGCGCGTACTTATCCTGAATCGTCGCCAGCGTCTCCGGCGTCGGCTGCACGTCCACACCCTCCGCCGCGAGCTCCCTCAGCGCCTCCACGTCGATGTGCTCGATTTCAACCGTGAGCACGTCGCACTCCCGCGCGAAAGCCTTCACAGCCTCTTTATCCCGAAAGCTCCCGACGACCTGCGTCGACGACACGCTCGCCGGGCAGTTCTCGGTCGGGTCCAAAGCCTTCAATCGCACCCCCATCGGCGACGCCGCGATCCCCAACATGCGTCCGAGCTGTCCGCCGCCCAGGATCCCCACCCGCGCGTCTCGTCCGAGCGCCGTCTCCTCATCCCTATTCGTTCACCACGACCGCACGTCATCGTCAGTACTCACGTCCACGACGTCGTCGTCTCGTCGTCGTCCTCCGAGCCATCGCGTCGCCGCCTCGGTCACCGATCGCGCGTTTCAAACGCGCACGCACCGCACGCGAAATTTCTCCTCCTTCACCGCGCGCGCCCGCCCGCGCGCGCGCGCGCGACGCCGCGGCGCGCGCGACGTCGTCATCGTCGTCCCCACCGCCCGCGCCCGCGTCGTCGTCGTCGTCGCCATCGTCGACGCCGCGCGTCGATCGATGCCGCCGCCGATGCGCGCGGTCTGTGTGCACCACATACGTCTCTACGAGGTCTATATACGTCACACAGCTCGTATCAAAGACGTCTCTATCGCCATCTGTTGACGCGCGCTCACCCGTCGACGCTCGACGTCGTTTCGTATCTTCGCAGTATGTTGCGTCTGTATACATACCTGTAGATCGTACTGGACGCACATATACCCTATACATGTACACCGTCGCGCGTGCCGACACCGCGGCGTCGACGCCGACGACGCGGGACGCCGACGCCGACGCCGCGCGCGCGGGCGAGCGAGCGCGCGGGGGCGGAGACGTGCGATTATTCCGTCGCGCGCGCGTCGACCGCGGGCGCGTCGACGGGGCGACGCGGGACGCGACCGCGCGAAGCGACGGACGGTGACCGAGAGGACGCGCGGAAATCATGCGCCACGACGAGGAGTTGCGCGCGCGATTCCCGGACGCGGCGCTGGATGATTCGACGATGGTGGATGATGTGTCGATCGCGCTGGTGCGGGCGGCGATTAAGGCGACGACGAGTGGACGGGGGACGGTCGCGTGCGCGGCGCGAAGATTGGAGACGGACGCCGATCGCGCGCTCGCGGCGGCTGACGAGAAGGATAGCGCACGGAGCTCGATCAGCGCGGACGGGAGCGTGAGTCGAGAGGCGCATGAACTGGCGATGCTCACGGCGGCGATCGCGAGGAGTGGGATACGGACCAAGGGAGACGTAAGTTATAGAATCGTGTGCGCGTCGGCGGACTCGCGAGGAACGTTGGCGCAATCGAGCACCGCGATCGAGCAGTGTTCGATGACGGTGCGAGACGCGAACTGTTGCGTCGACGTTGCAGGCTGGACGCTGTGTTTCTTCACCGCCACCGGGTGGGAGGGAGAGGGTGAAAACGACTTGGAGGCGGCGCTGCAGGACGCGTTGGACGCGGACAAGGTCTTCAACCAGTTGGGGAAGCGAACGAGAACGGTCGTGCACAGACGATCGAGATTGAAACACGAAGGATCGCCCACGACGTCCAACGGCGACGGGGCTTCGCGAGTGGCTTTACGACGGATGAATTCCGCCGAGGCGGGTGAGTCATCGGAACTCTCCGAGGACGACTCGTTCAACGGTTCAAGGGAGCGCGAGACCTCGAGCGTCGAGCGAGTTGGGAGTCCTTCGCTTGATGATTGTACAAATATAGTGAGCGATATAAACGGGCGTGAACTCAATATCGGAGAAAAAGTGAGCAGTGGGTCGTTCGGCGCGCTCTACCGCGGCACGTACTCCACTCGCTCAGATGATGGAACTCTCAACCGGCGAGTCGTCGCACTCAAGTACTTGAAGTCGGTCGACAACGGCGGAAATTTTGACGCTCGGCGAGACTTTTTTCAAGAGGTACGGATCCTGCGAAAAATCAATCACGAGAATGTCATAGGATACGTCGGTTCAGTCATCGAGGGACAAGACCTCTGCTTGATCACAGAGTTCGCGGGAAACGGGAATTTGATAGATTACATGGCTGCTAAAAACAGACCATTTGGGACGCGAGAGGTCGCGCGCATCACACTTGGCATCGCTCGAGGAATGAATTTTATACACGAGGGGTTGAAGATGATGCATCGAGACTTGAAGGCGTCAAACGTTTTGCTCGACGACTCCCTCACGCCGAAGATATGTGACTTCGGGCTCGCTCGTGTGATGGCGAAAAATCCGGGACAAATGACGGCAGAGACTGGAACTTATCGATGGATGGCTCCCGAAGTCATCGGTCACATGCAGTACGACTACAGCGCCGACGTGTACTCGTTTGCTATCCTGTTCTGGGAAATACTCACCGGTGGTCAGGTACCGTTCGCTGAACTGAACCCACTTCAAGCGGCGGTCGCAGTCGTGCAGAGAGGCATGCGTCCAGAAATTCCTCGCAACTGTGATCCTTATCTCGTCGAAATCATGCGAAAATGCTGGAAAACTGCCCCATCGGCGCGACCAACTTTCCGCGTGCTCGTCGCCATGTTCGAAGCATACCTCGATGTGTTGCCAGAACGAGAGCAAGCCGAGGAGAAGAAGCAACGTCCCTTCTCAAAGTTCTTCAGATGGAAGCAAAAAAAAAAATCTTGCAACTAATCGCTAGCAACGCTCGTAATAAAAAGGCAGAAAATGTTGATAACTTCCCACTAATTTTGGTCCTCTTACCCCCGTTTTTTTGATAACTTCGCACAGAACTTTAGTTGTCGCGTTTCTCTACGTCGGCCCGAGTAAAAATTATAGAATGACCGGAATGAAATCGATTATCGCGTTAATTATTTACAAGCGTGAAGCCACGTTTATTTCGACGTCGGGAACACGGAAGTGAGCGAGGGACGGGCAATGTTAAGCTTTTTCACCTCTTCGCCGACGATCTCGACGTTCTTGTACGTGTAGCCAATGAAGTTTTCATCCTTTGGTGCTCCCTCGCCTTCGACCGTTCCGCTCTTTTTCCGCATGCTGTCGTCCTCTTCAAAGTCCTCAAAGTTACGAGTGTCCAACCGGTGGGACACGACGGGGCGGTAAGGCGGAGTCATCGTGTACAGGGCGTTCCAGTCCAGGCCCTTGAAAAATTTGTGAGACTTGATCTCCTCTACGCCTCCGTGCGTGCCGAGACGTTGATCAGCATCGCAAAGAAGGCGCTCGATCAAGTCTCGCGCTTCGGGAGAGATCGGTGAATCGTCCGGGATCCTCAGGTGATGTCGCCAGTGCACAATTTTCCGACAAGTCGTCAGCGGCTCGTCGCTATAAAAAGGAGCGTAACCCATGAGCATCTCAAAAGCAATGGCGCCGACGCTCCACCAATCGCACTCCAGTCCATACCCTTTCTTCAGCAACACTTCGGGCGCAATGTAATCTGGCGTGCCAACGGTGCTGAATGCCAGGCGTCGACGGCTTTTTTGCCAATTCGCAACCTCTTCCGCTCTCTTTGAATCCTCATCCGTACGCGGGGGCGGATCCGACGGCCCCATCGATTCATTTTCCAAGATTTCTGGAAGCACCGCCTGCTGATACGTCGGGTCGATGGGTTTACACAGCCCAAAATCACTAAGTTTCATGTGCCCGTCCTTATCGAGCAGCAAGTTATCCGGCTTGATGTCTCGGTGAATGAAGTTATGTCGATGGATCGTCTCGAGAGCGGCCACCGTCTGCGCCAAGTAAAAGCGCGTCTCCTCCTCGGTGAGGGTGTCCCGTCGAATCAACAGCGTCATCACATCACCTCCCGGTAAGAATTCCATGACGAGGTACAAAAACTGATCGTCTTGAAACGAGTAATACAGCTTGACCACAGCGCGAGAGTTCACCTCGGCGAGTAAGTTTCGTTCAGCCTTCACGTGGTCAACCTGTCCTCGTCGAACCATCTCTGACTTTTTCAGTTTCTTCATCGCAAAAATCTCTCCCGTATCCTTCTGTCTCACCAGTCGCACCTCGCCTGCGCCATCGTCCGCGCGCGCGTCTCGTCAGTCTCTCGTCTCGCCGCGGAATATTCTCCGTCGTCGCGTCATCCGTCGCGCCATCTCCCTCTCCCATCGCGCACGCACCGAACGCCCCCCGACCGATCAATTTCAACGGTTCAAAGTCTTCGACCCGCATCCGTCGCTTCGCATCGCGTCCGACCTCGGTCGCCGCGATCGCGCGCGCCGCGTCCGCCTCGCGCGCCGCCCCCCCCCGCGCCGCCGCCGCCGCCTCCACCGCCTCCACCGCGCGCTCCCGCTCGCTCTTCTTCCCCGTCCGCCCCTCTTTCGACTTACTCGCGCGCGAGAACGCGCGCGAGAACCACGAGGTACCACCCATCGTCGTCGTCTCCGGCGTCGTCCACCGCGGCACGGAATCGAGACCGAATCGACGAACGATCGCCCGACGCGACCGCGCGAGCGCGCGACCGGTCGCGCGTACGACCGCGGCAAAAACCCACGCGTGCGATCGCGCGATCGCGCGACGCGCGCGCGCGTGCCGGCGGTCGACGCGGCGGCGCGAACGACGTCATCGCCGTCGCGTCGTGGTCGTTTCGAATACATGGGCGTATGGTATCTTCAATACGTACACACGTCCATCCGAATCCATCATCGGCGCCATCGCGCGACGCCGCGCGCGCGCGACGGCGACGACGCCGACCGCGATGTCGATGGACGTCGACGTGATCGCGGACGCGCGCGCGGCGCTGCGATCGATCGCGCGCGCGCGAGCGGCGGTGCGCGAGACGCGAGAACGCATGCGAATGCGCGCATCGGGCATCGGCGACGACCGACGGGCGACGCGCGAGGCGCGCGCGGGCGCGGTGGTGGACGCGACGACGCGCGCGCGTGACGCCGTGCGCGCGGAGCGGGCGGCGGCGCGAGGGGCGATCGCGCGGGAACGCGAAGCGTTGGCGGCGGCGGCGGAACGCGCGCGGGCGTACGTCGCGGACGCTGAGCGGCGCGCTGGAGGAGATCCGCGCGCGGGGGGGGGTGCCGAGGGATGGTGGAGCGAGTGATGGAAGATGGGCGTGATGCTCGGGAAAGGGTTCCGCGCGGGCGCGGTGGCATTGGAGACGCGGGCGGCGGACGCGCGGGAGGCGTTGGACGCCGCGGCGGCGCGCGCGCGAGGTACGCGCGGGGAGCGTGACGAGGCCGGGGAACTCGAAAGTGCGATCGCGGAGGACGTGCGGGATGCTTTTGACGCGCTCCGGGAGATACACGCGCGAGCGCGGGAGAGGACGGGGCGAAGGATTGAGGATTGCGCCGAGCGCGTACGGGCGCTCTGACGACGCGGACGCGCGCGGAAACGCGACCGTGATCTAGCGCCCGCACGCGTTCGCGCATCATCAGACGCATTGTATTCGTGTACGCTATCATTAGACGACCGTCGAACGCCGTCGACGGAGGACGAATCGACGACATCGACCGCGTCTCGGCCGTCGCGCCAGCCGTCGCCGCACAATGTCCCTCTCGCTCTCCCGCGTCGCGTCCTCCGCCCTCGCGGGCGCGCGAATCCCGCACCGCGAGCGCGACGCACCGAGACGACGACGAGCGCTCCGCGTGTGCGCCCTCGCGAGAGGTCCGATACGGTTGAGCGCGAATAAGAAGAAGAAGAAGCTCGAAAAGCAGCGAGACGCCAAGAGCAAGGACCGGGAGAGTCGCAAGCGCGACGCCACGCTCGTCGATCGCGTGAACGACGCCGAGCACGAGGCTCGACGATGGCTCGGACAGCACTTCTTGATCGACGCGAGCGTGGTCACGGACGCGGTGGAGGCGGCGAGGTTGAACGAAGGGGACAGGGTGCTGGAGATTGGACCCGGGACGGGAAACCTGACGTGCGAGTTGTTGTCTCGAGGAGCCAACGTGTTGGCGGTGGAGAAGGATAGGAATTTGGCGGAAAAATTACGTAAAGGGTTGTGCGTGGAGCACGGAGAGGCGCTGAGGCTGGTGGAGGGAGATTTTTTAAAGTGGGACGGTTTGGCGGCGGCGTTCGCGAGAACGAGCCCAGAGCAACCGAGGGCAAAGGTGGTGGCGAATATTCCGTATAACATCACCACAGACGTGCTCAAGGTGTTGCTTCCGATGGGTGATGTGTTCGAGGATATGATTTTTATGTTTCAGGAGGAGGTGGCGCAGCGACTCGTTCGCGACGACGCCGGGGGCGGCGACTATCGAGCGATGAGCGTGCGCGTGCACTACTACTCGAAGCCGTATTACATCCGTTTCGTTCCCCCGACGTGCTTTATGCCACCCCCAAACGTGGACTCGTGCTTGATCGGGTTCAAGCCGAAGGAACCGCACGAGCTTCTACCGCTGAACGGCACGGAGAACCAATTCTTCACCTTTGTCCAGGCATGCTTTGCGCAAAAGCGAAAAATGTTGCGAAACAATCTCAAGGCGGTGTGCGAGGAGAACACCATGGAGGGTGCGTTTGCGATGCTTGACCGCGGAGACAAAATTCGCCCGCAAGAACTGACAATGGAGGAGTACGTCAGGCTCTTCAACTTTGTCCGAGAGCGCGCCGCCGAGAGCGCGCCGAGCTCGGAGCAATGATTGTGTCGTCGTCTCAATTAAAACTGTCTCATGAATACGCTGTTGTACATTGTCATAAACGTATCTTGTTGTCTTCTTAAAGCCCGAGCGCGAAGATCATTTATCACAAAATTGACGTGCTCAGTTTTGTCGTCACGAGGCTGATGATTTTTGGAAAATCTGAAACCCGTGTACGATACTCCAAATCCATCCGACGAAGAACACGAAACACATCAGCCACATCATCAAGAAGCACATTACCCCCTCCGCCGCTTTTCCCGCGACCAAGCACGCGATGAGGGTGCCGATGCCCGGGAAAACAATGTTCAGAACGAAAACGCCGATGCTCAGTCCCTTGGACACCTTGACGAGGGCGTCGTTGTGCGTCTTTTTCACGAAATCGGTCGCTTTTCGTATCGACATGACGATTAATTTTTTTTTCAGCGTCCGTGCGTCGACCGGGTCGAGGCGTCGGTGTGTCGGTGGGTGACGCTCGGGTTTGGAAGTGACGATTGGACGGATGAGTGACGGTTGGATGGACACTTTTTTTTTTCTGACTCGGCGTATAAAATTTTAAATGTTAAATGTAAAGCATAATCTTGACGCGTCGTTGGACACGCGAACGGTCGTGAGATGCGCTCAAAATCTCCATCTTAATGCTGGAGATGACGGGCGGCGAACACCCTAATCTGGCGGATTGGCGCACGCAATGCCGCCGAACCTACCGCGCGCTTGGCACGCGCAGCAATTCCCGCCGCCTCTGCACTGCGTGGCGCCGCCACATTGACCGTTGTTGCATACGCACGTGGCCTGGCTTGGAGAGTTGTTATAATCGGCGATCGGATCGCATCCGTCCGTCGCGGCACAACTCCACGACGGGTCGTTAGGATCCGGCGCGTTGACGCCGGCTTGACAGCTCAACGCGCAGTCATTGTTGCCTTGACCGCAACTTCCGCACGTGGAGTATTGTTGCGAGTTCGGACAATCGCCGAGAAATTTGCACAATTCGCCCTGGTTGCATTGAGCAGTAGTCTTGCACGAATAACCGACTATTTCGCCGTTGATCAGGTCGGCACAACAGACGTCGCCTTCGGTGCAGCAGGTGAGCTTGCCGTTAACCTCTGGTCCGCAGCACACACCAATGCCTGTCGGAATTGAGTCGTCGGCACATGGATCTAAATACTCAGCATTTGCTGGACATCCGGGCAGAGGACGTCTGCACCCAGTGATCGTGTTTTGACACGACCATCCAGGCGGACCCCCGGGAAAATCGAAGCAGCAGTAGGATGGTCCAAACCCCCCAATTGGTGCGGAATCTGAGATGTTACAACACTCACCTCCACAGCAAATAGCCGTTACTGACTCTTCCTGACGCGAGACTGAATCGGGCGTAGGCGTGCACGGGCTCAATTCTTCCTGGGTTTCACACGTGGGTGGCGGTGGACAGAACGGGTCCGGGCATTGGAATTGATTCTCCGGGGTCCCTCGGAAGCACACATGCTCGCCACAAAGTACACAACAAAGCCATTGATTGTCATCCTCGTCCGCTGGGCAGCACACACCTCCACAGCACGTTTGATCGGAGTTAGAGCGACACTTCGGCGTGCCCGTAGTTGGGCAGTCAGGCGGCGACGGCGGGCAAACATCGACATCCTTCTGACATGTGCTATATCCGAGGATACCATCGTAGCAACACTGCTCACCCTTGTCGTTTTTGCATTCTGCGTCGGAATTGCAATATTTTTCGCAGTCACGGAAACTTTTGACGCAGACTTTGTCATCCGTAAGTGCCTTCGTCGCGCAGCACACTTGATTGACGCCGCACTCTTGGTGCGTGACGCACGTTGTCAGCTCCAAACACTGGTCCGCGTCTTCAACGCACGAATAGTGCGGGTTACCGTAGAACTCAGCGCCTATTTCACAGCAAACAAGACCGTCTTCACCAAAGCCGTGCCAGACGCTCGCGCACGATTCAGAGGATTCGCAACCAATAATCTGCTGCTGGGTTGCAAAAATAAAATCATACCACCATTGAAATTGATTTGGTTCATCAGCGCGAGCGATCGACATCCGGCCGTTCCGATCACTCACAGAATTGGAATGAGCAAACGCTCGAGCGGTGAGATAGAACTCGATACCGACGTCGTCGACGACAACAGGAGGCAGGTTGCGTCGACCGCGCGCGCGAGCGGACGCAGCCGCGCGCCGACGATCCCGAGGCGAGAAGAACGACGCGATCCAATCCAAACCAGCCTCCTGCGCCGACGTCGTCGCGGGCGTGCGACGCGCAGAAGACCCTCGATTGGTGTTATCGGCCAAAAACTCGTCCCGCGCCTGCGTGAGAAACGCCTGGACCTCGTTCCTGTCGACGGTCCTGTCATCACCTCGAGGACGCGAACTCGACGGTTGCGACGCCGTCGCTCGAGAGCGCGCTCGCGGCGCGGACGACGGCGCGGCGAAGACGACGAGTGCGCTCGTAGCGAGCGCGAACGCGATGAGCAGCGGGGCGAGAAAGCGCGCTCGAGCGCGCATGATGCGTGTTTAATAGTGCCGGTTGATATCCGGCGTTTCTCTGGCGTTTCTCAGCGGGCGACGGGACAGCGACGGGACAGCAATCAACAAACTCTACGGCGGCGTACTTTACAATAGAAATGAATCATCGAGCGCAATCATCACCCGAACGTGTTCAGTGCGCCCTGGGTGCTCTCCAAGAAGGCTTGAAGACGACCTCTGGCCACGCGCGCCGCCGCCGGCGCGCGCGCGTCCTCCTCCGGATGCTTCGCGTCCTCCGGCGAGCGCCACGAATCGACGTCCGATCGTCCGTCCCAGAACCCGAACGGAACGTTGGCAAATCTTGCATCGGTTTTGGTCAATAATTCAGCGACGCGTTCGGCGTCGGCAGCCGTGACCGCCCCCTCGGTTGTCGGCGCGAGCAAAAGGCCTCCGAGCGGGACGCCGCTCTTCTCTGATCCGAACACCATGCGCGCGAGAGCGCTCGCGGGTACCTCCCCGGGCGTGCGAACCATCGCTACCCCGCGCGCGCTCGCGAGGTTGTGATAGGCGTTCGACGCGCTCACGCCCCAGCACTTGGCGCACGGCGCGTCCTCGGCGCCAGAGGCCTCCACGCGCGTCGACGCGCTCGTCGATCCTGCGTCGTCTCGGCGTTGATCCGGAGGCAAGGCGATGCACCAAATAGCGCGATAGGGTTCGATGACGCTGTAAAACGCGTCGGAGCGAAGGACGCGTCGAAGCGCCATGTCGAATTGTGGGGTCGCGCCGCGCTTTGTCGTAGCGCTCAAGGGGCGTCACTCGACAAACAGTTCTATTCTTCATCTATTCACTACACAACGGTCTCTGTGCGATCTCAATCTAGTCTTTCGGTGTCTCATTTCCCCGCTGCCATCTCTTTCCGCAGAGCGGCGATGCGCGCAGCGACGGCAGGATCTTCTTCATCCTCCTCCTGCGCCTCGTTCGCCTTTCTCTTCTTGTTCACCTTGGCCTCCACCTCTTCCGTGATCGGGGTGTTCCACCAGATCGGTCCACCCATGATACCGTCTCCAGAGCAACACGAGATGCACCCCGTTCGCACGTTCGGCGTCAGTCGCTGTTGCGGCGCCCTCGACCCCATCGGTACCCGACACAGAGACGTCGTACCGAAATTCGTCGACGACTTCTGAATCGACAACAGCGAGCACAGATTCTCGTACCCGGGTTTCCTCCACTTTGATATCAAATTCCCATCCGCGATCTTCTCCCGCACCAACCAATCGTACAGCTCGCGTTTCATCACCTTTCGCTTGTACATCAAATCGAACAGGAAGCGATTCTTTTCCCAGTGCACGCGGTGTATCCGCCACCCCAGCTCATTCTTCCGCTTCCCCTCGTGTTCCTCGCTCACGGCGTCTCGCATTTGTTGTTCGAATTCCTCGATCGCGGGTTCGATCGCATCGAACCCCTCGGGGATCTTCTTACCCTTCAACCGTCGACGGAAGCTCATTTAAGACGCGTTATCGGTGGAGACGACTTGGTTTTCGTCCAGGCGGTGGATCGAAATTGAATGAATTCACGAGCGTGCGCACGCGTCACGCGACTGTAACGGTCGCGCAGCGTCGCACGAAGACGGTGCGAAGGTGCTTTGAGGTCGTGCGTGCGCGTGGTCGACGATGAGACGCGCGCGAGGCGACGAATGCGGGCTCGAGGTGAGCGCGCGAGAGTAGCGCGACGCGTCGAGAGACGCGCGTTTCGTTTACATCGGACGGTACTAGGATGTCTATTCGATGGCGATGACGCGTCCGGCGTCGTCGCGCTTGAGTCGATTGGCGTCGTCGGAGTTACCATCGGCGGCGCGCCAGGCGACGTCGAGGTTGGGGCGATTCGAGCGGAGGTCGGAGACGACGCGCTCCCAGTCGTCGGCTTGACACCCCGGATTGCCGCCTACGATCAAGGTGTGCAAGCGCTCGAACGCCTCGGGGTTCCGCAGAGCGACGACGACGGCGCGGAGACCGTCGACACTCAAGCCAACGGCGCCGAGGTCCAAGACCTCCAGAGATGAACCGGAGGACTGTGCAAAAATGTTGGCGACGCCTTCGTCTCCGAGCGCATTGTCAAAGAGCGAGAGCGTTTTCGAGGACTTGATCGCGTTAGACAACGCATCCATCGCGCCGGCGGTCAGCTTGCACGATCCAAGATCGAGGGATTCCGGCGCTCGCGACGCAAACGCGCCCACAGCGAGTGACGACGCGCCGGCGTCGCCGAACGCGTTTCCGCGCAAATTTACGCCGAGTAATTTCGGAGAGGCGCCCAGAAACCCGCTGAGCGCCTGGACATCGGCCTCGTCTTCGATCCCGCACTGCGTGAGATCGATCTCGAGAACGTTTGTCGTCGTCGTTCGCGCGCCGAACAGCGCGGCTGCGCCTCCAGTACCGAGTTTCACCCCGCTCAGCTCCAAGCGCTCCACGCTCGCCCGAGACGTCAAACCGTCGCCGAGCGCGCGCAATCCCTCCGTCCCGATCTCGCATCTGGTCAACCCGAGGCGCTTAATCGGGCATGAAGAGCTTAAAAGCGCTCCCAAAGCACGCGCGCTCGCGTCATCCAGGACGTTATCGGTGAGATCGAGTATTTCCAGCGAAACGCTCTCGCTCGCGCCCGCGAACGCCTTTGAGTATCCCTCCGCCCCCAAACCTTCGTTCCGCCCCAAACGCACCTCACGCATCGTCGCACTCTGCGATAAAACTTTTCCGATCGCCTCGCCGTCGTCGTTCGTCACCCCCTTGCGCTCGAGATCCATCGTCTCCAGCGCGGCGGCGTGCGCGCACCCGCGAAGCGTCTCCTGCAGCGCGCTCGTCGCCCTCCCATCGCCCTCCACCTCCACCATGCCACCAAAATTCTCATCCCCCAAGCATATCGATTTCAGCGTCACGTTCACCGCCAACATCACCGCGAACGCCCTCGCCGCCGTCACGCTCACCGCGTGTCCCGACGCGTACACCTCGAGCACGCGTTCGTTCTCCTCCAACGCCTTCGCCAGCGCGATTTGCGTCTCCTCATCGAACGCGCGCGATCGCGGAACGATGATCGACGTCAACCGCGCGTCGTTCGCCGCGCACATCGCGAGCCACGCCGGGGGTTCGGCGCTCGGTTTTCCCCACGCCATGCGATGCCGTCGTCGATTCTTTGATTCCTTCACCGTCCGACGTCTCGACGCCCTCGCGCGCGCGCGTCGCCCCCGTCGATCGCGCGCGACGGTGCCGTCGATCCACGCACCGCCGTCGTTCCCGTCCTCGGACGCGGGCGCGGGCGAGGGCGCGTCGCACGATGCGTCTCGACACACCGCGACGTCGACGTGTCGATGCGTCGACGCGCCCTCGACGCCGCGCGCGCGTCGCCCAGAGGTGGACGCACCGCCGAACGCGCGTCGTCGCGATCGTCCGCGACGCCCGCGCGCGCTCGAGCGCGCTCGAGCGCGAGCGCGGGACAGGTGGACCCGAACGAGCGAGCGAAATTCGAACGCGACGCCGCGCTGTGGTGGAACGAAACGCGCGGCCCGTTCGCGGCGTTGCACGCGATGAACCCGACGCGCGTGGCGTTCGTTCGCGACGCGATGCGGGAGCAGTTTAAGGAGACGCTGGGGACGAATGCGATGCGAGACGCCTTGAGAGGGACGCGCGTGTTAGACGTCGGGTGCGGCGGGGGCATATTCGCCGAGTCGTTGGCGCGTTTGGGGGCCGACGTGACGGCGATCGACGCGGGGTTGGCGAACATCGAGATCGCCAGGGCGCACGCGGCGCGAGATCCGGGTTTGGACGGACGATTGCGATACGAACACGTCGCCGCGGAGGCGCTGGGCGACAGAGGGGAGACGTTCGACGCGGTGACGAGTTTAGAGGTGATCGAGCACGTGAGCGATCCCATGGGGTTTGCGAAATCGCTTGGAAAGTTGGTTCGACCCGGTGGGGCTCTGTTTTTGAGCACAATCAATCGCACGGCGCGGTCGTTCGCGTTCGCCATCGTCGGCGCCGAGCGCGCGCTCGGACTCGTGCCGCCGGGGACGCACTCGTTTTCAAAGTTTCTCACCCCCGGCGAGGTCGCTCTGTTGGCATCTAGGAGCGGGTGCGAGATGCGCGAGCTGGCCGGGATGGTGTACGACCCCATTCGTAACACCTGGGCGCTCTCGACGGATGTGCAGATAAATTTCATCGCGCACTGCGTCAAGGCGAAGGAATCGACAAAGAAGAGTAAAGACTAGGCATCATAGACTGATTATTTTAACCGCACGTGTAGTTTATAGATCATCCCCCCCGCGCGCGCTCACGCGACGTCGCGAATCGCCATCCGACTCAACACCGCGTCCTCGAGCGACCCCCCGAGCGCGAGCTCCGCGTCGCCGATTTTAAACCACGTCTTAATCGACGCCTCATCGATCGCCCCCCTATCATCGAACGACGTCAACCGTCCCTCCACCAACTCCATCACGCGCGCCTCGATCCCACGATCCCCACCGCTCGCGTCCTCGAACGCGACGATCACCAACGTCTCGCTCGTCTCGCCGCCGCCGAAACGCCGAAACGCCTCCCCCACGTTCCTCGAGTGCGACAATCCGAGGATGATCTCTGCGTGCGCCCCTCGAGCGACGCCCTCGCCTCGATCGATCGCCACGCGCGCGCGGTAACACGCCATGTCCAGCGCGCGCGCGCCCACGACCGAACGCCCGTCCAAGACGCACGCGTCCAGCGTCCCCGCCCGCGCCGCGTCCACGACCGCCCGCGCGTTCGTCACCGACGCGAACGTCCACGATCGCGCCTCGGGGGCGTCGTCACCGGGCACCGCGTCGTAGCGCACGCGCGCCATGACGCGCCGCGATAATGGCGCCATCATCATCATCATCATCATCATCATCATCATCATCATTCATCATCGCGATGACGATGCATGCGTGGATGCATTCGACGCCTCGATCCAATCGCGACGCCGATCACCGTGCGCGTCCGCGATGCGATCCGTCGGCACCGATGCGACGCGCCCGTCGGCGTCGCCGCGGCGTCGCACGAACGCGGACGCGGTGGACGTGTTCGATGATGCGTCGTACACCGTGAATGTGATTCCATCGCCCGAGACGACGACGCCCGAAACGGCGCGCGCGACGACGCGGGTGACGGTGCCGGCGATGATGGACGCCGCGGTCGTGGGCGCGTTCGAGCGCGAGCGCGCGCGGGCGCGGGAGGGGGGGGCGGGCGGCGTGCGACGGGCGGCGGCGGCGGAGGTGATGACGCGACAGCGGGGCGGGACGACGCGGGCGGACGTCCCGGTGGACGATGCGCGTGATCGGTGATGGCGTTTGGGGTGGATGCGGGGTGTGGACGTCCGGGTGGACGCGGTCGCGGTTACATCGCGCGACGCGACGGGCGCGGGTTCGATGGCGTCGCGCGCGGCGCGTCTCCGTCTCGACGCCGCCGCGCGCCGCGCGGGAGACCGCGTACGCGGAATACACAGAGAGCGCCGAAACATGTAGCGCACGCGCCCTCGTCTCGGTGCGAGAATCCGAATCGTTCGTACAGGCGCTTGGCTGGAGTATGCGCCGCGACGCCCAAGGTGAGGACGCGCGCGTTCCGCGCCCGGGCGCGCGCTTCACGAAACGCCGACACGCGCGTCGCCGCGCCCCGCCCGCGCGCGTCCGCGCGCGCGCGTCCAACCAACGCGGAATCAACCGCCGGGATTGAGATCTTCGAAAGCACGCGCTTAAGATGGCGGTGGCTTCAGAGGCGTATCGTCGTCGTCGCGAACCTCACGAAGCGCGTAGTGTTTCACGCGCGACGCTTCCCGCATTGTTATGGCGACGCCCAACGCGTCGCGCACGGCGGAGGCGATCGCCTCGCCTTTCACCTTCGCGCCGGCATCCTTGATGAACGCATTGATGCGCGCATCCGCCGCGATCGCTTTCGATGGGAGCGACTTTGAGGATGTACACAACGCGTGCGTGTGCGGGACGTACTCGGTGATCCAAAACGTCCCCGGCGCGCCGTCGCGCTTCCACTTCCAACGCTCGATCACCGCCGCGTACGCGCAGTCGCGCCCCGGCCGGAGTTCGCGCCGTCCACTCTTCTTAAAGTCCTCGACGCCTTTACACATGAGCACACCCCTCGACCCACTGTGTCTCGTCGTGCACGTCTTCACGCTTCGTCCCTCCGCGACGGCGAGCCGTTTCAGCGCCGCCGCGGCGTCTCGCCCGCGCCCGTACGGCCCTCTCGGAATCACCACCTCCACCCCGCGCGCACCGATCGGCGCGCGATCGACCTTCGTCCACCACCTCGGACCCACCTCGTCGTCGTCCGTCGCGCCGTCGCGCGCGCCGTCGCCGCCGTCGTCGTCCGCGCCGCGTCTCGGGACGCGCGTCGCGTCGACATCTTTGTCCCCATCCCGCGTCGACGCGTCCTCCGTCGTCACCGTCACCGCGTCGACCGCGCCCGCATCGGTGCCCGGGGTGTCGTCGTCCGTCGCCCACGCGCGAGGACGCGGCGACGCGGTCATGCCGACGGGACGTCGCGCGATGGAATCGCGCATTCACGCATTCGTCGCGTCTTTCCCGATGGTCGCGTGAAGAAACAAAACCCCAAAAAAGCTTCACCGACGACGATGTCGACGACCCACCCCGTGGTCGTCCCGAAGCTCGATCGATCGACGGACGACGACGCGTCGACGGTGGTGCGCCGTCGACGCGCGCGCGAGAGCGACCGTCGCGCTCGGACGCGGGACGACGACGGGGTGGAGGGATCGATCGTGATTGATTCATTCATTCATTCTCATTCATTCGCGCGCGATCGACGCGATCGCGAGCGGGAGATGGGGGGCGACGGTGACGTCCCGACGTCGTCCGTCCTGTTCGCGGTGCGGAAACACGCGGGGCGGACGTGCGCGAGTCACACGGCGGCGTTTTTGGCGTGTAAGCGGGGGGATCAGGACCCGGAGACGTGCTTGAGAGAGGGCGCGGCGCTCACGGGGTGTCTCGTGGACGCGCTCAAGGATTTAAAGTCAAAGTGCGGAGACGAATTGAACGGGTACGCGGCGTGCTTGGATTACAGGAGTAACAATTTTGAAAAGTGTAGAAAGGAGCAGGCGGCGTTCGAGAACACGTGTACGCTCTGAGTGTAATCAATAGTCGATCGCGTCCGAACGACGCTACTTCATCACCATCGAACCGCCAGATTCAACCTTGACCGAACGCAGCGGACGACGGACGATGGAGACGCACTGAATGACGTCCCCCATTCGAATATCAACGACGTCGGCGAGGGCGATTCCGCAGTCGCTTCCTTTGCCGACGGAGTCCACCTCGAGTCGGTGGCGGCGCATCGACGCGCAGTCTAAAAGCTCCTCGTGCACGCATACGCCATCGCGAATCAGCTTGAACTTCTCACCGACTTTCATAGTTCCTTGCCCAACGACGCACCCGGCGACGATCGTGGCGTTGTTGCCCTTGGTGCCGGACATGTCGAAAATCTGCATCACGCTGGCTTCGCCCTCCACTTGCTCGTGCTCCTCCATGGGCGCGAGACCGGTGAGCATCTCTCCCACTTCGTCTAGCAAGTGATAAATAACGCGATGCCGGACGATGCGCACACCTTTTTGTTTGGCCATCTTCGCGATCGAGTTGGGCGGCTCGCGGACGTTGAAGCCGAGCACCGGGGCGCCGATCGCGGCGCTCAGGTTCAAGTCGCTCTCTGTGATCGCACCGACGCCCATGAAGACGACTTTGAGTCCGACCGCGTCCGTGGAGAGACCTAAGAGAGCGTCTCTGACCGCCTCCGCCGTGCCTTGGACGTCAGCCTTGACGATGACGTTCAAATGTCCCCGCTCCTCCGGATTGACTTCAGACTGCGACGGCGCGGGCTCCGCGGACGCGCTCTTCAAAGCCGCCTCACGCTCAGCGCGAGCTTCGCAGATTCTCTTCGCTCTGGACTCAGAATGAACCATGGTAATCGAGTCACCCGCGGAAGGAACGCCCTTCAGACCCACGAGTTCGAACGGCTCAGCCGGACCGATGTGCGTGAGCGAATCTCCAGCCCCGTTGCGCAGCGATCGCACTCGACCATATTGATTGCCGACGACGACGTGGGATCCAACCTTGAGCGTCCCCGCCTTTAACAGACCAGTGGCCACCGGTCCTTGTCCTTTATCCAATTTTGCCTCTAAAACAACTCCATCGACTTTACCCGTGAGCGAAGTCATCAGTTCGAGCGACTCGGCCTCGAGCACGAGGCACTCCTCCAACTCTCTTAATCCCTCTCCCGCGATTGCCGACACGGGCACGCACTGCACTTTACCCCCAAACTCTTCTAATTCTATTCCCATGCTCACGATCTCGCCCTTGACGCGCTGTGGATCAGCGTTTTCTCTATCAATCTTTGTCAACGCGACGACCATCGGCACGCCCGCTGCCTGTATGTGGGCCGCCGCCTCGCGCGTTTGCGGCATGACACCGTCGTCCGCGGCGACGACTAAGACGGCGACGTCCGTTGCCGACGCCCCACGCTGCCGCATCGCGCTAAAAGCGGCGTGACCAGGCGTGTCGAGGAACGTCAGCGATCCGTTACCTCCCGGAAGTTCCACGACGAACGCGCCAATGTGTTGCGTAATCCCTCCAGCCTCACCCGCGGCGACGGAAGTCTTGCGAAGCGAATCTAATAGGGTAGTTTTACCATGATCGACGTGTCCCATCACCGCCACGACACCCCGACGCCTCACGAGCTCCTTGACATCCGCGTTCAAATCGGGCGTCACGGCGATGTCGACGTTGAGCTCCAACCCGACGAGTTCCATCACATCCGTCGGTACCGCGTCTTCACTCGACGCCAGGGACTCGCCAAGATTCGCGAGCACCTGCTCCAGATCTCTCACCTCCATCTCCAACTCCTTCGCGAACGCGGTGAGCGTCGAGCCCTCGGCGACCTCGACGCCGCCGCCGGCGCGCGGACTCTCGAGCGACCGCACCTCCTCCTTACCTTTCGTCTCCCGCTTCGCCCGCACCGTACCCTTACCCACGACGTTGAATTTTCTATACCTCGACACCCGCGGTTGCGGCTTCTCCTTCCCTCGTCCACCTTTATCCCCGTCCGCCGCGTCCGCCTCATCCGTCGTCAACTTTTTTCCCTTGTACCCGACCCGCGGTTTCCCTCGATCGTCCCGCCCCGACGTCGACGCCGACGACGAAATCTCTCGCACGTTCCACCGCACCGGTGGCGTTCTCCATCGATCGAACCCATCGCTCGCGATCGTCCATCGTCCCCGCGTCGCCGCCGCGCACCCGTCGCCGACGCCGCGCGCGACGTCCGCGTCCGCCGCCCCCCCCCGCCGTCCTAACCCCCCAATCACCGTCCGCCCTCGCGTCCATCGCCGCACGACGTCACCGAACCGCTTCATCTCGATCGCGCGCGCCCCCTGACGCCGCGTCCACCGCGTCGACGATGAATCGCAATCCAAATCAAATCCACCCCGAGCGACGAATGCGCTTTGTGCGCTCGTCTTCCCTCGACCCCTCGGACGTGACCCGCGCGCGCGCGCGTCGACGCTCGGTCAACGACCGCGCGTCGCGCGTCCCGAACGCCGCGCCCGAGCGCGCGCGCGTGGGCGCGGGAAAACACGTCGCGCGACGCGCGGCGGCGTCTGTCGACGTCTTTTAGTCCGTCGCGCGCGTCATGGCGCGCGGATCCGTCGCGCGGTGGACGACGCCGACGCCGTCGATGCGACGCCGCGTCGACGCGCGCGCCGCGGGTGGGCGCGCGCGAGGGCGGTCGAGGCGAACGATCGCGATGATGTCGACGAGCGATGGCGAGGACGACGGCATCGGGGCGGTGACGACGCGCGGGGGGTCGATGAGCGCGAACGCGGGGCGCGACGGGGACGAGGATGACGACGACGACGACCAGGGACGCGCGAAGGGGACGGGGGGGTGGATGGCCGGGACGGGGCGAGGCGTCGCGCGCGCGGGCGGCGTCGTCGCGAGCGCGGCGGCGGCGGCGGCGCTCGCGAGCGGTGGTCTCGGGACGTGGGACCCGCAGACGTGGGCCATCGCGGGGTTGTTTCTCATCGCCGGTGTCGGACTCCCGATCGAGACGGTGCGAGAGGCGGCGTCGAATTGGAGGCTCAACGCGTTTACGCAGGCGTTCGTGTTCGGTTTCCCGCCCGTCGTCGTCGCGAGCGCGGCGTCGACGCTCGTTCAGAGCGGGTGGTTAGACGAGACCGTGGTGAGTGGTGTGTTCATCATGGCGTGTTTGCCCACGACGGTGGGATCGGGGGTGGCGTTCACGAGGAGCGCGGATGGGAACGTTTCGGCGGCGCTCCTGAACAGCGTGGCTGCGAATTTGGCGGGAATTTTTCTCACCCCCGCCCTGGTCCACGCCTACCTCGGTGCGGATTCCGCGGTCGATCCCGTGGCGTCGAGTTCGAAGCTCGTCGCTCAGGCCGTGCTGCCGACGCTCGTGGGAATGTCGATGAGATTACTGCCGGGCGTCGCGGCGGCGGCGGACGGAGCGCTCAAGGAACCGAGCAAACTGCTCAGTGACGCGATTCTATTGGCGATCGTCGTCAAGACGTTCGTCACCGCGGAGCAAAGCGAGGCGGGGGCGCTGGATTGGACCACCGGCGCGCATCTTCTCGGCTTTCTCGCGCTCTTCATGCTCGCGCACAAGAGCGCGATTTGGCTCGCGGCGTCGAGCGTCGAGGGCTTCTCGAGACGCGATCGAGTCGCCGCGCTTTACATGGGCTCGCACAAAACCTTGGCGTTTGGCGTTCCCCTGATCACCACCACGTTCGAGAACGACCCAAACTTGACGAGCTACCTCCTCCCGCTCGTCGCGTACCATCCCGCCCTCATCGCCGTCTCCGCCGCGTTAGTCGCCCCCCTCCGCGCGTACGTCGCCGAGGGTGAAACCCCGTGAGCGCCCATCGCATCACCGACACCACCCCACGCATCCCCTTCCTCCGTCTTCGTTCGATCGCGCGCGCGTCGCACCGTCACCCCCCCTCGTCGCGCCGCGCGTTCGCAGAAAACCCTACGCGAGTGATGAAAACCTGTGAATGAATGACAACGCTACCCTCCCCACGCGTTCCCGACGCCGCCGCCCCCCCCATCGCCCGCGACCGTCCCGCGCGCTCACTTGGACACGATCGTCATCACCGCCGGCGCGCTCGCCGGGTCCACGACCGCGTACTCCGTGCTCCCTTGACGCTTCCGCTGCGACGGGGATGATTTCTTCGGTCGCGTATCGTTATGTCCCTTCGTCGCCTTCTTCCGCGCGTGTCGCGCCGCCCGCACGGTGAACGTCACCGGTTTCCCGATCGCGCACACCATCGCGTTCGCGCGTCGATGAATCCACCCCGTCGACCGTCGACCGTCGTCCTCGTCGTCGGCGTCCACCCCTCCGCGCCGCGTCCCGTCGACGTCGTCGCCGGCCGCGCGCCGTCGCGCGCGCGTGTGTTTATCACCACACCGTTCACGTACACGGGCACGATCGACGTCCATGATCACGCACGCGAGAGACGCACATCGGGGATGCGATGCGCCGAACCCTGGAATAAGTCGATCGCGCGTCGATCGCGCGGGCGTGTGGGTGGGGTGCACACACACCCGGGTGTCGATCCCCCCGAGACGCGGGTGCGGTTTATCCACGCCGACGGACGACGACGATCGCGACGGCGCGAACGGGACGGAGGCAGAGCGCGACGACGATGTCGATGGTGCCCGGCGCGCGAGCGATGTCGATCGCATCGCGTGGGACGACGACGACGACGCGCGCGCGCGTGGGACGACGGACGACGAGGACGACGACGAGGACGGCGAGAGGCGGTCGAGCGCGAGCGCGGGCGAGCGCGGACGCGGTGTCGCGGGAGTACGTCGTCGACGCGACGGGGGTCATGGTGCCCACGGGGGAGTACTGCGTGAACCACGCGGAGACGGTGCGGCGGAAGACGCGGACGGTACACGTCGGGAACGTGAAGATTGGGAGCGAACACGCGATCGTGAAGCAGACGATGACGACGTCGGATACGCGAGACGTGGAGAAGACGGTGGCGGAGGTGATTCGATGCGCCGACGCGGGGGCGGATATGGTGCGAATTACGGTGCAGGGGATGCAGGAGGCGAAAGCGTGCAAGGCGATCAAGGAGACGCTTCTGGCGCGCGGATATACCACGCCGCTCATCGCCGATATCCACTTCGCGCCCAAAGTCGCGATGATGGTGGCCGAGTGCTTCGATAAGATTCGCGTCAATCCGGGTAACTTTGCCGACGGACGCAAGACGTTTGAAAATATCCTGTACGAGACGGACGAGGAGTACAACGCTGAACTCGCGGAGATCGAGGAGGTGTTCACGCCCCTCGTGTTGAAGTGCAAGGAGCGCGGCGTCGCCATGCGCATCGGTACCAACCACGGTTCTCTCTCCGCGCGGACGCTCTCTCGCTACGGTGATACCCCGATGGGTATGGTCGAGTCCGCTTTCGAGTTCGCGCGCATCTGCCGCAAGCACGACTACCACAACTTTGTCTTCTCCATGAAGGCGTCTAACCCTCTCGTCATGGTTCAAGCGTACCGCTTGCTCTCCCACGAGATGTACAAGCTCGGCTGGGATTACCCGCTTCACCTCGGCGTCACCGAGGCTGGGGAAGGCGAAGACGGCCGCATGAAGTCCTCCATCGGCATCGGTGCTCTCTTGCTCGACGGCCTGGGAGATACGATTCGCGTATCCCTCACCGAGGCGTCTGAACTCGAAATCGAGCCGTGCACCCGCCTGGCCAACCTCGGCATGAAGGCGTGCGCCGATAACATCGGTGTTGAACAATTCGAGGAAACTCACCGCGACTTCAAGGTTTTCACTCGCCGATCCGGTGACTTGCCGGAGCAAAAGGATTCCGACGCGATTGACTTGCGCAACATTCTGCACCGCGACGGCTCTGTGCTCGCCGCCGTCACGACGCAGCAACTCGCCTCCGAGGACGGTTTCTACCGCGAGTTGGGCGCCAAGCTCGCCGTTGGTATGCCACTCCGCGATATTGCGACGTGCGACTCCATCTTACTCAGCGAAGTCCCCCCGGCTTCGGAAGAAAAGGCTCTCAGATCCATCCGCCGCCTCCAAGAAATTGGCTGTGGCGTCATCGTCCCGGTTGAAGAGCTCAAGAAGAACCCGCTGGAGAACGCGATCGCGCTCGTCTCCGCCGATCAAATCAATGACCCCCTTCCGGCTGGTGCCGCGCGCAAGGCCGTTACGTTGAACGGCTTCGAGTCCGCCGAGCAAATCAAGGCTGTGTGCGCCTCCGACGCCGTCATGGCGCTCATCAAGACTAAGGATGGCGAATCACGCCTCCACTCATCTCGACGCCTCTTCGAAGAGATTGCCAACTGTGGCGGTAAATTGCCCGTCATTCACCACATGTTCATGCCGTCCGGCGATAGGTCCGACGTCGTCATCCAGAGCGGCGCCCAAATTGGTGGCTTGCTCTGCGACGGCCTCGGTGACGGCGTTCTCATTCAGTACACCGGCGCCGCGAAGGACATTTCGTTAGACTTCCTCCGTACGACCTCATTCGGTCTTCTCCAAGGTTCGCGCATGCGTAATACGAAGACGGAGTACGTCTCGTGCCCGTCCTGCGGCCGCACGCTCTTCGATTTGCAAGAAGTCACGGCGCAAATCCAGGAGAAGACGGGTCACTTGCCCGGCGTCGCCATCGCCGTCATGGGTTGCATCGTTAACGGCCCGGGTGAAATGGCGGATGCGGATTTCGGTTATGTTGGCGGTGCTCCTGGCAAGATCGACTTGTACGTCGGTAAGGAAGTTGTCAGGCGCGGTATCGCTTCGGAAGTGGCGTGCGATGAACTCATCGAGCTCATCAAGGAACACGGTCGCTGGAAGGACAAGGAGGTCGAGGAAGTCGCGGCGTAAATCCCGATGTCCTTAGCACGCATGTTTAATATAACGTCGTTTCATTCTTCGAATAATTGGTTAGTTACAACACGCATGGACTTTAGATCTATATATCGTTTATGAATCGTGAGGGCTGCGGTGAGTGAGAAGCGACATCGCTCTGTAAGAGCGCTTGCGTTCTTTATCTTTAGATTTGATCAAGTGCTTGCGCCATGTCCGCCTCAATGTCGGCGTAATCCTCGATACCCGTGGAATAACGAACGAGATTGTCCTTAATTCCGATCTCAGCGCGCACTTCCGGGGCGTAGTCCCAGTAAGAGACGATGGTAGGCTGTTCGATCAACGACTCCACGCCGCCGAGAGAGGGCGCGATGTACGGGATTTTGCAGCTGTCAATGAACTTTGCAGTCTTCCAAAGATCACCCTTGACCTCGAAAGAAACAACCCCACCAAAACCCTTCATGTACTTCTTAGCTACCTCATGGTCGCAATGGCTAGGCAACCCAGGATAGTGCACCTTGTCAATCTTCGGGTGAGCCTCGAGGAACTGAGCGAGCTTCATCGCGCTCTCGTTGTGACGTTCGACCCGAAGGGACAACGTCTTCAGACCGCGAAGAACTAAGTAGGCCGCGTGCGGGTCAATGACCCCTCCGAGAATATTATGGAACTGTCTGCAGGCGGCAACCGGCTCCTTCTTACCGACGATGACCCCGGCGAGGACATCGTTGTGACCGCCCATGAACTTCGAGGCGCTGTGAATCACCAGGTCGGCTCCGTAATCGAGCGCGCGAGAATTGCAAGGGGTGGCGAACGTGCCATCAATGCACACGAGACAGCCAGTCGGCTTACACAAATTCACGATTCGCTCGATGTCGACGCATCGTAGATACGGATTCGTCGGGGACTCAGAGAAGTACAGCGAGCACTTGTTCTCCTTGAGAGCCTTTTCCAAACCGTCGTAGTCGGACGGATCGAGCACGGTGCTCGTGATGCCCATCTTCGGTAAGAAGGTCTGAATGAACTGCCGAGTGCGTCTGTAGCAATCAGTCGTGGTGACTATGTGGCCGCCGGCCGGAACCAGCGCGAGAAGCATGGTCGTCGCCGTGCACATGCCGGACGCGCTCATGAGCGCGTCTTCGCCACCCTCGAGCAAGCGAATCTTTTCCTCGCACGCCAAAGTCGTCGGGTTACCGTATCGACCGTACTCGAAGCTCTTATAACGCCCTTCCTGATACGCGATCAACTCCTCCGTATCCTTGAAGTGGTACGTGGACGTTTGCACGATCGGCGTCGTGAGCGAGTCGGACACCTTAGGTCGACCCGTGCGTTCGCCTGCGTCGCGTCGCGCCGCGCGTCGTCCTCGTCAGTCTCCTCGATCGCGCGTTCCCACGAACATCGATTCACACGCGTTCGACGCACACATCTCACGCACCATTCTGCACGCACTGCGTCGAATCGCCCCACTGCGAGTTCCCGCCTTGTCCCCGCGCCGGCGTCGTCGATCGTCTCGCCCCGCGTCCGCCTCGTCGCCGGTCGGCGATCGGCGTCGTCAATCCTCTCGAGGTCACACGCGCGCTCATCTATCACGACAAAAACGAGGACGGCGCGTCGTCAGTCTGTCGTCCCTCCATCGTCGTCGTCCATCGCTCGTCCCCCGTTCGGCGTCGAGCACCAGGGCTCGGTCGCGCGATCGATCGACGTCGTCCTCGCCGCTCGTCGCCGTGGACGCGCGATCGTTCGCGTCCGCCGTGGACGCGGTCGACGGCGCGATGGCATCGCCCCGCCCTCGCCCGCGCTCGGTCGCGTCCACGCACCTCCGCGCCCGTGACGTCGCGTTGTGCGGGCGAAACCTCGAGGCTTTGGGCGACGCGGGTGTGGGATGACGTGTTTTGATTGGTTTACAAGGATGCGGCGCGCGCGCACGGGCGCGCGGACGCCGCCGCGGGCGAGCGCGCGGACGCGCCGCGGGCGAGGTCTCACGTGCGCACGGATGTGGAGTCGTGGTACGCGTCGTCCTCGGTGACGTCGTCGTCGGAGCACCCGAGCGGACGGTCGGAGGCGCACCCGTAGTCGCACGAACCGTACACGTACGTCGTCTGTTCGCCGTCAAACGCGCGGTTGTAAAAGACGTCTTCACCCTGATCGGTCGTCTTCGTGCACAGTTCTAAACCCTTGAGAGCGGATGGGGTGGCGAAACCGGGACAACGAGCGCCGCCTCGGCTGAGACAGCCGATGTCGCTCACGGTGTTCCGGTCGGTGGCGTCGCCAATCTTGTACAAATAAAAGCCAAACTCCTCCCCTGGGTAGAGCGTGACGTCCGCCTCGTACGTCCCACACCTCGTGTGCCTCATTTCTTGCGCTCTGTCGAAGAGAAAATCGTTCGACATGGTCTTCGTCGCGATTCGCGCGCCGACGACGTCCGTCCACGCGCCCGTGCGAAACGGCACCGAACCCAAATTACCGCACGCCGTGAGCAGGGTCAGGTGCACGCTCCGCGGCGTTCCCGCCTCCGTCTGATCGACATCATCCCTCATGTTATGTACCATCGTCGCGTTCGACACGTACTTGCCCGCCGTGCGCACCATCGCGCCCGACGCGCCGCGCGCGCCATCCGGGCCGACGACGGGATCGCCGATGACGTCGAACCCCGACGTCGACGCCGCCCGTCTCGGCCTGAACGTCCGACCGAGCCCTTCCCTCATTCGCCCGTCGCCGCCATCGCCCGCGTGTTCGCGCCCTCGTCCCCCCTCGACGCCGTCGCCCCCCCTCGACGTCGCAACACTAAACGCCCGCGTCCCGACGCATCCGATGAGGATGAGCGCGCCGAGGACGAACGAGTGCCCGTGCGCGTGTCGCCACGCCCGCGACGTCGACGCGGACGTCTCCCCCGTCCCCCGATCGAGGAGCAGGGGCGCGCGTTCGTCACCGCGCGCCATCGTGACGTCGCGTGCCGTCGCGAACACCCCGTCGTCGTCGTCCGGGGCACCGTGACGGCGTACGAACGTGCGCGAATACGAAGAACCCACATGTCCGGTGGTTTTTATCGTCGTCGACATTCACGCCCGCGCGCGACGCCGTCGACGCCCACACGCGGCCGCGCGCGCGCGCGGGCGACGGGAGGAAAGATGTTCCGCGCGCTCGATCGCGCGCGGGCGTCGATGGGGTCGACGCGCGCGAGCGGTGGGGTCGAGGGACCGAGGAGTCGATCGCGACGGCATCGCTCGGTCGCGCGCGCGGGGGCGACGGCGTCGACGGGGGACGCGACGCGCGCCGAGGGCGAGCGCGGGGGCGTCGACGCGCGCGTGGTCGTCTTGGGAGGGACGGGTCGAGTCGGGAGCGCCACGGCGGCGGCGTTGGCGCGCGCCGGGGAGGGGACGACGGTGACGCTCTGCGGGCGGTCGAGCGACGGGGCGAGCGAGGCGAGATCGAGGCATCCGTCGCTCGCGAACGCGTCGTTCGTCGAGGTGGACGTGTGCGATAAAGCGAGCGTGCGACGAGCGATCGAGGGCGCGGATCTCGTGATCAACACGGCGGGACCGTTTCAGCGCAGGACGAGCGTCGCGGCGCTCGAAGCCGCCATAGAGTGCGGAGTGAAATACCTGGACGTGTGCGACGACGCGTCTTACGGCGCCGAGGCGAAGAAGTTGAGTGAAAATGCCAAAGCCGCGGGCGTGGCCGCGATCACGTGCGCGGGGATCTACCCAGGCGTGTCCAATCTCATGGTTCGCGATATCGTCGAGTCCATGAAGGCTGAGTTTCGCGAGCAGGAAGGAAACGAGAACACTGATCCGGAAGTGGAGTACGTGTTGTACAACTACTTCACCGCGGGATCTGGTGGGGTCGGGACGACCATCTTGGCCACGTCGTATTTGCTCTGTGGGGAAGAGGTGGTGTGTTGGGAGAATGACAAGCGCGTCGTCGAAAAGCCGGCCTCGCAGCGCAAGGTGGTCGATTTCGGTCAGGGTGTCGGGAAGAGAGAGGTTTTCTTGTACAATCTCCCCGAAGTGGCGTCGACGAGGGAATATCTCGGCGCGAGCACGGTGAAGGCGCGATTCGGTACCTCTCCTGGTCTGTGGAACGGAGCCATGGTGGCTATCGCCAATGTCGTCCCAAAGGCGCTGTTGGAAAATCAGGACGCAATGAAGGGCCTGGCCGGGTTCACCGCCCCCATCGTGCGAGCGGTCGACGCGATCGTAGGTGAAAAGACATCCATTCGCGTCGAGGTGAAGCTCAAGGGAGGCAAGCAAGCGGTTGGATTGTACACACACCCGCGCCTGAGTGAGTGCGTTGGCACGTGCACTGCGGCTTTTGCCTTGGCAATGTTGGAAGGTGGGTGTGCGCCCGGGGTATGGTATCCCGAAGAGAACGAAGCCATCGCGGATCGCGGCGCCCTCTTTGAGCGCGCAAAGGAAGGGACTTCACTGTTCTTGTTAAACCAAGCGCCATGGATGGTCGAGTCAAAGGCGATCAACATCGGCATGGGATTGTACTGGACGTAGTCTTTTGTAGTGTTTCGCAAAGTTCAGTTTCGTCAGTGTGTTTTCGCTACAATTATTCTACGAGATTCCTAAGCTGCGACGGGATATTTCTCGAAGGATTTGATCGCGCTGCTCACCACGGTCGCCAGCTGCAGACCTTCGTCAGCGCCTTGCGCCAAAGCCCTGTCCACCTCTCCCATCTTCATGAAAATGTCCCCCTTGATCTCGTCCGAGCAATCGGCTTCCAGCACGATGTCAGACAACTGGTCCATGATTTTGATCCCGGAATAACCATCGCGCAAAATATCCTCCATGTGGGCCTGCGCCTTGTCAAAGTCCCCCGATTTGCACAAGTCAAGGAGCGTCGTCAACTTCACATCCGGGATGTAACCAGCAACCTCGACGATGCCCGCGGCGTCCACCTTGCCCGAAAACAACCGAGCAGCGCTCTGCAAGAGCGTAATCGCCTTGCGCATGTCCCCACCCGAGTGCTTGGAGCACGCAGGGAACACATCGTCGGACAACTCCAGGCTCTCCTGCTCGGCGATGTACTTCAAACGAGTCGTCATCGTCTCCAGGGCGAGCGGTTGGAACCTAAACTTGGCGCACCGACTCGTGATCGGATCGATGATTTTCGTCACGTAGTTGCACAAGAGAAAGAATCGAGTGACCTTGGAGTACGTCTCCATCATTCTTCGCATGGCGGACTGCGCGTCCGTCGTCATGGCATCCGCCTCGTCTAAAATCAAAATCTTATACGGCGGCGACGGATACCCCGGTGCCGGCGCCCCGACAGCGAGCGAAGCGAACGTCTTCACCTTATCCCGCACCACCGAGATCCCTCGCTCGTCCGAGGCGTTCAATTCCTTCACTCGCTGCTTGTACAGCTCGGGTCCGTAGAGTTGCTTTGCGATCGCCAACGCGCACGTCGTCTTCCCCGTGCCCGGCGGTCCGTAGAACAGGCAGTGCGGCATGTTCCCCGTCTCCAGCGCTTGTTCCAGCACCCGCACCACCTGCTCTTGGCTCGCCACGTCGCGCACCGTCTTCGGTCGGTACTTCTCCACCCACGGTTGATGCGCGGTCGAGCGCGCGTCCCGGGCGCCGTGCTCGACCGTCATCGCGCGCCCCGCCGTCGTCTCCGCCCCGCCGTCGTCTCCGTCGCGCGCGTTCGACGACGCGTCGACGACGGACGCCGTCGCGCGCGTCGTCGTGCGACGCCCGTGGTCCCACGCGCGGCGTCCTTCGCGCTCGAGCGATCGGGACGCGCGCGGTCGAACTTCAAACGCGCGCGACCGTCGTCGCGGACGTCGACCGAGGGTTGAGGTCTCAACCCTACCACCACGGGCGTCGAGCGCGGCGACGGCGGTGTCCACGGCGGTGTCCCGTGGGCGCGGGCGAGGACGGGAGAGCGCGCGGGCGAGGGATGGCGCGCTCGGCGCTCGCGCGACGCCCGTGGACGACGGACGCGGGCGACGGGCTGTGGCGGGGACGGGTGGGACGGGTGGGACGAATGCGATGGGCGAGAGCGCCTCGAGCGGGCGTGGACGTGTGGGAAAACGTCGCGCTGCCGCTGAGCGAAGACCGCGCGAGGACGTTCATGGAGACGTACTGGCAGAAGAAACCACTGTTGATGCGACGGGCGATCGCGAACTTCGTCCCGCCGATGGATGCGAACGAGATCGCCGGGTTGGCGTGCGAGGAGGACGCGAGCGCGCGACTCTTCATTCGCGAGGGCGACGCCGAGGCGTCGTGGCGGAAATCGATCGGTCCGTTCGATGAGAGCGAACTCGCATCATTACCCTCCGATGGGACGTGGAGTCTGATCGTGAACGATTTGGATGCGCATGCGGAGCCGTTCGGGGATTTGCTGGAGCTCTTCAGCTGTTTTCCGCGCTGGCGCGTCTCCGACATCCAGGCGAGCGTCTCTCCCAACGGCGGCGGGGTGGGACCGCACTCCGATCACTTTGACGTCTTTCTTCTTCAGGCGGAGGGAGAAAAACATTGGGCGGTCGCGGATAACGAGGAGTACTGGCCCGATAACGACCGAGCGTTTGTGCCGGAGTGCGAAATCAGAGTGCTCAAGGAGTTTGTCGAGGACGATTCGTTTACTTTGGTCCCGGGCGACATGCTTTACTTACCTCCAAAGGTGGCTCACAATGGGGTAGCGGTGAATTCAGCGCCAGGGGTGAGCGTAACGCTGAGCATAGGTTTCTTAGCGCCGACGACAGATGAGCTGATTCTGTCGTACACGCAGCGGGCTTCCGAAAAGTTAAAAGGATCGCGGTGGTCCGATCCTTGGCTCAAGCCCGCGGAGGACGTGGGAGCGATTTCGGCGGATGCAATTTCCTACGCCTCGGACGTCATCAAGCGCACTTATCCAAAGAACGATGCCGAAGTGGCTCGGTGGTTTGGGTGTCACGTGACTGCTCGCACGGGCGAGGACGACGAGGAAGAGCCGAGCGAAGTGAACGTAGAGGAGTTGTTAGGCGAGTGGGACGGTCGAGGTTTACTAGCACGCGAAGATTTGCGCTTCGCTTTCGTCGATACCGTCGCCGATGGTAGCCTTGAAAACGCGCTGTTTTTTGCCAACGGGGCCTGTTGGGACGTGATGAGTCCGGCGGCAACAAGAGTTGCAACAGTCGTCGCGAATAGGGGTGAGCTTTTCGAAGAAGATACATACGCTGATGAGAAAAATTTTGACGACGAAGCTCTCAAACTCGTGCTGACGCTCTTCGAGAAGGGCTATCTATATTTTCCAGATGACGTTGAATGACTGGTTTTAGCGCGTAGACAGCTCGTCGGCAAGTATATGTGTAGTATGTATGTATCGTAGATCATCATTGGTTACAACAAAAAAGACACAGATTGATTCGTATGCAATGTTTGAAGAAAGAACAACAACAATGGCGCGAGAATTATGAACGCGCGCGACCTATTTTTGATGGTCGCAGTGACTTATCGGCGTATGGCACGGGGCGTATTTACATGCCCGCGGCCTTGCGCTCGGCTTCCATCTTCTTGGCGGCCTCGGCGCGGCGAGCTTGGATCTTCTTCTCTTCCTCGGCGTTCTTAGCCTTGAGCTCTTCCGGGGAGAGAAGCTTTTCGTCGGCACCTTCGTAGGAGTTCCAGTTGGACTTGCCGGCGACGGAGTCCTTGAAGCCGGCGCTGCGTGAGCGAACGCGACGGCGATCATGCGATCGCCAGGGTTGAACGTCAGTCTTTGAAATCGCACGAAACGCGAGGGATAATTTTTCCAAGCGCATCTTCACCCTCTGACATCGTCCTCGCCCATCGACCGCGCGGTCGTCGACACTGACGTTTCTCCACGTCATCATCGTTCTCCGACGAGGGGGCCATGTCGTGCGGACGGGCATCGTCTTTCTCGTCGATTCGAGTCGCCGCGAGCGTCGAATGTGACGTACCGAGCGACGACGGAGCGCTTGGAGTTCACCGGGACGGTGACGCGAACGGCGGCGGCGGAGGAGGCGAGAGCGAACATGTCGTGAGAAGTCGAGCGTGTCGATGAGTGTCGGTTGGGGTCACAAAATCCACGCGTGGCGCGCCATCGGAGTCTCTCGGGGACGACTCATGACTCATGACTCACGAATTACCGACACGACGAACGCATCGACGTGGCAAAGTTTGGATAACGTCACGGAAAATTACGTCAGGGGGGGTCGTATTTTTTTTCAGAGAAACCCGATCAAGTAAATCGGGTGTTGACACGCGGCGGTGACTTCGCCCGGACGCGGAGGCGTCGCGCGTCCGCGTCGACGTCGATCGATCACGAGTACGATATGAAACGCGAACAAAACGATTCACAATCGACGACGACGTTGTATCGTCGTAATCAGCTATTTTCCGCGGCGCGAGATTTCTCTATGCCCGCGCCCCAACCGCCGCGAGGCGCGTCGCTGTACGCCGCGGGATCCATCGGATCGAGTGTATCCTCCTCTTTCTTCGATAGCGTGGGCGCTCGGGCTCTCTTCTTTACCACTTGCGGCGCTGGTTCTGGATTATGAGCCGCCACGCGGTGCACCGACGGTCCAATTTCGTTCGTCTTCACACTCGTCGGCTTGGCCACCGAGACCGTTTTCGATTCAACCGTTCGAGCTGGCGGCAGAGGCGCGGCCGCCTTCTCGCGCTTGGTCATGAACTTATTCTCGACGATGTCAAGCGAATTCACACCGGGTGGATACACCTGCAGCACGCGCGAACAGTGCACGCAATAGCCGTGCGACTCGACGAGGTTGCGTCCGAAACCGCCACAACCCGCGCACCGCTTCATCCCCACCGCCGACGCCGCGTCCACCGGTCGCTCCCACGACGTTTTCTGCGTGTGTGGATTGAAGTAATATTCCCGTCCGCTCGTCGGATCGATCGTCGAATGCCATCCCGGCGGTAGTACCGTCGACTTCGTCGGTCGTATCGCCCGCCGCCGCGGCGGCGGCGGCGGCGCTCTCTTCTCCTCCGCCCTCGGTCGCTCCCACTGCGTCTTGTTCAGCGCTTTGTTATAGTAATACACCCTCTTATGCGTCTCGTCCATTTTCTGTTTCCATCCCGTCGGCAGCGTCGCCTCTGCGTCCGACGTCGACGTCTTCCTCGACGTCTCGGCGCGATCGCCCTCGCGCGTCGCCCGTCGCGTCCCATCGCTCGCGCCCGTCGCCGCGCTCGGGACCTCGATCCCGCGCTCGGCCAATCGCGCGCGCAGTGCGTCCGGGATGCTCTTCATGCGCTGCGCGTCTCGCTCTCCGTCTCAAGCGCGTCGCGTCGCGTCCGTCGACCGCGTCCCGCGTCCCGTCGTCCCGCGTCCGCGCCCGAGGACCGAGCGTTACCGACACCGTAACGTTCGCGCTCGAACGACCGCGAAGACGGGACGGGGACGCGGGTGGGACAGAGACGGACGCGACGTGCACGCGAAATCGACGGGAACGATCCGCGACGACGCGGGCGAGGACGTCGCGGGGCGATCGAAGTCCGGGACGACGACGACGACGACGCGGGCGTGGAACGATACCGAACGGTGTGGGTCAGTCATCACAGATTCCGTACCGACGCTCGAACGAGATGACGGCGATGACGGGGGAGAACGAGTTCGAGACGTCGAGAGATTTTCATAGCGTCAAGCTGGAGTACTTCAAGACCAAGGCGCGGGAGGCGCTGGCGCGTGGGAACCATAGAGAGGCGTACGAGACGTACACGAAATGTTTGAAGGAGCTCGCGCCGAAGGACGCGAACGAGCGGGCGAGACTGTTGAGCAATCGCTCGATGGCGTACGCCAAATCGGCAAACTATAAGGCGGCTCTCGAGGATGCGAACGCGGCGATATCGGCTTCACCAAACTTCGCCAAGGCGTGGTGGCGGAAAGCATCCGCGCACGTTGGTTTGAGACAGTTTCCGGATGCGCTCTCGGCGTACAAGGTATCGCTCGAACGTCAAGTCGAAGGGGAAGAGGGCGTCTTCAAAGAGCACGTCAAGTCTATAAATCGTACGATTACGTCATTCACGCGCGAGCAGTTGGGGAATTGGATCCTTGAAGAGTTGACAGAGATGGAGAAGCGCGAGCTCATCGAACCCGCGCACCTCGAAAGGGTCACTTCTCTCGAAATGCTCGAGGGTATGTTTCGACAGATAAAAACCATCAACGAACACAGCAACGCGCCGGGAGATTATTATAGATTTGTCCAGCACTGGAGCGTGTACGGGATGAGCGTACCGATGGCGTACATTCAACGAGCTGGCATGTATCGAAACGCGATGTGTTTCAAGCAAGCGCGCACGGACGCCGCGGCGGCACTCATTTTGTTACAAGACGATCCCTCTATCGCCGTGAAGGAGGAGGAGATGAGTTTCACGTATAAAATGGATGACTTCGCAGCGTACTCTTACGACAAAGTCATCGCGAAAGCTTGGGCATGGTTCGAAATGGGTGGTGCATACGAGGAAGAGGGCGCTGGGGACGTGCGCTCAGCAGCTAAGTGTTTCGGTGCCATCTCGCAGTTGGGTGTCAAATATCCCCAGTTCGCGAACGCGTTTAAGAGTATATGCTCTAGAATGAAGGACATCGACGCTGGAACGGTTCTGAGTGACATTAACGACCAGTTCTGTGTCGCTGAGTATGGTTTGCGCACCACTGTGACCGGCGCGGTCACGTACTTGGTTTCTGTCGCTGTTCAGTTTCGCAGTGGCACACTCGTAGATTTCAGCTCTCGAACCCGGGACTGTTTCCGTGAAAGCGTCGCCGCGGCCGCGACGGTTGGTAAAGACAAAGTACTGATCGAAAATGTGCGTGCTGATGAGCAGCAAGGAATCGCAGTGACATATCGCATCATGACGGGTGAAGATAAATTAAAATCAGAGGTAAGTAATTAATCATTATGGCATCGAACGAATGATATTGACGAAATGCGCGCAGGAATTAGTGATAAGGGCACAATCGCTCGAGGTGAACCTACTCGGAGGGTCGCAGGTTGAGGAGATCATGGGAAAACCATCTCATGTATCGAGTGAGTGAATTAATTAATTAATTAGGAAGGCTCGGAACTAAATGCGTTTTTCTAGGCGAAGTGAAGGAGCTGAGGACCGAAGACTTCGTAGATCACGTCAACAGCCTTCAACGAATAATCTTGTCGACTTTGAAGAGCGGTAAAGAGATCGTTGTCGCCGAGAGGCCACCGAAGGAAATGGAGCTTCCATATCGAACTTATAAATTAGTTTACAACGACGGTGTTCCCGTCGAGAGAATCAATAAATCGGGGTATATGATGTCCCAGGTGCATTACTCGGCTCAAGGAATGCACAAGCGTGAAGTCTGGGCCGAAATGATGGTACGAGCGCACAGCAAAAAATATTAATGTTCCAACAGTCGTAATTAATTTTTCCCTCAGGACAAGTCGTGCAGATGGCACCAGAGTTCGTCTGAGATCGCTGTACAGGCTCTGCGGGTACCGAAGGATGCAAAGAAGCAAGATCTCGACGTCTGCATCACGACATCCACCGTGAGAGTGTCGTGTCGCACGAGTGGAAGAACTTACCTCGAGGTGAATTAAATTAATTATTTCACTCCGTCTGAATTATTTACGAATTATTGCGATTCAGGGAGAGTTATTTCGCCCGATCATACCAGAAGAGTCAGCATGGGTACATCTCGGTAAGTATTGGATTTCACGTAGCGTTTCGGCGGCAATTGACGTTATAAATTTATTCTCTTCCACAGGTGGAGAAGACGACGACGGCTTCGTGTTGTATTTGAAGAAGATGAACTTGGAGCTCTTCAAAGGGAAAGACTCCAAGCCGAGTGACAGCTGGTGGGATCGTCTATTTAATTCTCACGGTGACATTCGTTTCGACGACTACGACAAAGACTTCACGGATCTCCCCGCACCCATTGCAGAGGTGCGTGCCCGTGGAGGAACGAGTCGGCTTGTGAGTGGCACGACTAACCTTGTTGACTTGTAATACCCTCGCAGACGATCGCAAGACGAGAAGCTCTGTCCGACGTGACGTCCAGAATTGAAGAGGGAGAGCACCAAGAGCGAGAGAAGGCGCGGGAACGCGATGATTTGCGCAAACGCAGCAGGCAAGAGCGGCTTGCGCAGCTCCGTGGGGGCAAGTTCTTGAATTGGGTTGATCTCAACAGAAGAAATCCCGAACCGAATCCGTTGGCCAATAATTCGGGTGGGGATTGATGATTGTCACGTTATCTACGCCTCGGGCGCGCTCGGCGACCACATCCAGTGCTTTTCATGAAAATTCACATTTTTATCCAATCGATACGTGGCACGCCTGTAGCCGATGTTATAGTGCGAAGAAACCACCTGCTTGTTGGGAAACCTTCCGTTCCAATTTTACGCTTTTTTAATCGCCCAAAGCCAATTCCAGTACGTTTTGGTTGGATTCGACCCGAACTTCGCACACGGATCCGCCATCAAAGAGATTAACTTCTCAGGCACTGTCCCCAGATCTTGCAGCACATACTTCGGTACTGCATCTGACTGCATAAATGCGTGCTCTCTTATGAACACAAGTGCGGTCGAAAGAATGGATAGGAGCATGCAAACGGTTGAAACTGAGAAAAACATCGACAAGCATAGTAAAGTGCTCTTCAAATCGAATACTTTCACTTCCTCGCCGAAAAGATAGCTACAAAGCATTGTGTTGAAGCCCAAAATAGTGGATTGCCAGACCATACGATAGCCCACCGTCCAGCACCAAGCCTTAATGTAGCATCCCTTGCAGGACGGACTAACCGTACCAAAAAGAAAATTTCCCCGATAGTTTATCAAGGTGTCCAGCTGGATTCGTCCAAGCTTGGGTTTTCGGACGTTTTCACTCGCTTTCATCGCAAGTCTGTGTTCAAGTATAGAGTCACCGATAATTGTGTGCAGCATCGGTGGATCACCCTGCGTGAGAACTACCATCAGGAAAATTCAAATAAGGCCGGACAAGAACTTACGTGATAGTAACCAGCGTACGACACGATTGAGTGGCAGATTGGACATGTACCGTGCGCATCCTCTCCTGTAAATGGACAACATATTTTTGACTTGAATTCCTCTGACGAAGATGTGTCCTCCATTATATCAGGCGTGTTTCGCCATGGTCTGGAGTCAAACAAGACTCGAATTCGGCTGAAACTCTCTGTTTCAAGGATGATGAACCATACCACGCTAAAGAACATCATGAATGACGCAACGAGTAGGGTCCAACTCTCTGCAAAGAACGAGTCCAGTAAGCGAGTGAGTTTGACTCAGAGTTGGTCAACCACGTACCACAAAACTTGTATAGACCAGTGCTCTTCGGCGCCACGACAGTGGCGGCTAAGGCTCCTGTGGCGCTCATCGGGATGACGAATTTCCATCTCAACGTGTTCATGATCCCAAAGGGCTGTATCATCAGTTGCATGACTGTCATGGTGGATAGAGGCAAAGTGTGGTGTCTGTTCGCTTTCGAGACGAGAGCTAAGCAGATCACTTGGATAGCGCTCACCGTGACGTGTAATCAATCGAGTGTACGAGAAAGGTGTGAACGTATGTTTTGAGATGGGTGCTTTTCCTCATCACAATTCAAAGGCCTAAATTTCTACTTCTCCATGTCTTCGACCCACCCCGGGTTCTTCTTCAGGATGACGACTCCTTCCAAAACAGGTGTGAGTGGGATATACTTCTCACTCGCCAGCTCCGCACGATCACCAACTGCGAGAAGAACTGGGGTATTATGAGTCTGGAAACCAGTGATCGTCTTTGGTCGACCGGCTTGTCCAACAACATCGACAGCTTGACCAACTCGCACAGACACCTGGAGCGGGTCGCCTTGTTCATCGACCGTCATCAACATGCGCGGTTGAGCAGCGACAAACAGGTAGTAAAGCATGTAATGATGTTTGCCCAAAATCGTGTGCTTCATGTCAAGTCCTGCGAACGCGGTGATGATCAATCCGGCGAGCGCAACGTTTGAATGAAGCGCCTTGTCTGAATGAGACGTGGAAAGCGTCAACAGACCCTTGCCCATATGCACAAGACCTTGAGCAACGCGCACGAGAAACAGACAAGAGGGCTCCTTGTAATAGTAACTACTCAGCTGTCTCAATTGTGAGGCCAAGCGGGCGTTGTTCGTTCCCGCACCGACGACACCCAACGCAAGGCACGCTGCTTGCGCAACTTCCTCATTGCTATCGTGACTGAGCCTGCCAAGCAAGTCGGTGATGTCAAGCTTCGGATTGGATGCATGAAGTAACGCAAATGCGAGCGGGACGGCCTTTTTAACGGCCGCATCGCCGTACTGAATGAGGTGATCATACGCACGCACCGCCATATCCGATCCAAGCTCTTCTCCCATGGCGACGAGAGCGACGCCCAAAACTGCAACGCTTTGAGGATCCGCAATCCACTCATCGTCCTCTTCGAATTCGGGATGTTCACCGCACTTCGCTAACAAAGACTGCACCTTCAAGACGTTACCACTACCAGCGTAAGCGCACACATCTAAAACCGTTTGCAAGTACTCGCTGATACGCGGCGGGAGAGTTTTCGCCACTTCCAAAGTCGCTTCTACTTCAGCTTGGCGCTGTAAGAAAAGCAAACCCAAGCCCAGGCACAAAAAGTGCATGAAAGTGTTCTCGTGATCCTTTTCAGGTCTCAGCATCAATGTCTGTACGATGGTGGAGACACAGTCCTCATGGCAAGTGCCACAAAAAACGAGACCCAGGGAGAGCGCCGCAAAGGCGACCACTTCGAGTGGGGCAGTGTCATCATGAATCACCTCTGTCAGCAGCTCCGAAACTTCCTCTTTCTGAGTACCAGCGTACGCTAAACCGAGACCCATGATAGCACCAATCCTAACTGATGCGTTTTCCTTCGTGACACTTTCATAGAGCAAGCCGTAAGCGGGATCACATTCATTTCGAACGTTCGTGTTGATGAGACCCACAGCAAGTAAACCGCCTGCCACGATGTACGGGTCTTCGCTGTAAAGGTACGCATCGACTTGCGGCAGACCTCCATCGACATCCCAAAGTAAGATAGAACCAAGGCTTGCCGCCGCTGACGTCTTGCCGTGATCCTTATTCTTGAAAATCCAGCTTACGTTCGAACTGCTGCCATCCGCAGGTTCCGATGATGTCAAAAGCTTGTCCTGACCGAAACCGGCATTCACGAACGCATTCACAAATGTTGACGCAAGATTAGCGCGAGCACTATCAACGGCAGCTCCAGACGGGGCGCGGACATCCATCAGATGCGATTTGTAGATGTCTTCGGGGAGCTTGGGCTCCATGACATCCAAGTCACGCGCCAGCGTCAAGTAGTTCTTTGTCAAGTCCGAGTTGCTCATAATGTTCTGCAATGTGTCCAAATTTTCTTCCGGAACTTCACACGGGCCTTCATCAAGCTTCAGTGGATGTCCATGGCGAGCCAACATGTAACACAGTTGCTTCTTGATGCCTAAGTCCGTGCAGGCATTGAAGGTCTCTTCAATGATGGTCTGCTCACACAATTTGAGAGCCACTCGCATGGCATCGGGCATTTTCCCAACCTTAATGAAAATGGAATGTGCCATTTTAAGCACAGTCGCGTCCTCCGGTTCGGGCAAATAGTTTGCGCAGCTGAACAGGTACAGGCACGTTCTTGCGTAGTTTGTGTCGTTGACGTGATTAAGCAAAACGTCCAACCTCTCCACTTCGAGCAGTAAATCAACCGCTTCCGGTTCGGCGTTGTGTTGCATGTGGAATGGAACAATCTCGTAAACCAAATCCATCAGATCATTCATCGAAGCCCCTTCTCCGTCCTGTTCCATGCGGCGGTGATACTCGGTGCCGATCTCTGCGGCGAGATTGCGTACGTACTCGTGTCCCCAGTTGCCAATATCCTCCTTCGATCCTAGTAATCTGTACTTGAGCGACTCCGGCACCTCTCCCGACACGTTTGCGTTGGTCATGGCCAACAGTGAAACGATATCCGCCAGCAAAAACTTGTTTTCTTTGTCCTTCATCTTTTCGTACACGTCCTTCAAGGTTTGCAGGTGCGGTCTCAAAAACTTCAGCGGTTTTGGCACCGATGTCATCGAGCTATTCGCGCGCGCGCGTGCAAGTCACGACCTTCGGTCAGTCCACGTCCTTTCATACGTCTCGCCGCGTCGTATCCGAGAGAGGGTTTGGGGACCGGGCGCGCGGGAGCGCGATCGGGGGGGACGAGCGCGGTGACTGACGAGAGATTTTTTGCGACACTACAGATCCGTAACGCGTCGCAAAAGGAAATGCGCGACCGCATCAACTCCGTCGGTAACACGAAGAAGATTACCGACGCGATGAAGCTCGTCGCCGCGGCGAAGGTGCGCAAGGCGCAAGACGCCGTCATTGGCGCGCGCCCGTTCTCCGAGCAGCTCGTCAAGGTTTTGTTCGCCATCAACGAAAAGTTGCAAGGCGAAGACGTCGATGTGCCGCTTTGCGAAAAGCGCGCCGTGAAAACCGCGCTCCTCATCGTGTGCACGGGTGACCGCGGTTTGTGCGGGGGGTTCAACAACTTCATCATCCGTAAGACGGAACAACGCTGCAAAGAGCTCCGTGCGCAAGGCGTTGAAGTCAAGCTCATCACTGTCGGTAAGAAGGGTGGTGTGTACTTCAACCGCCGCAAGGATCAGTACAACTTGGTCAAGCGTTTCGACATGGGCCAAGCCCCGTCCACGCAAGACGCGCAAACGATCTCGGATGAAATCTTCGCCGAATTCACCTCCATGGAAGTCGACAAGGTTGAGATGGTTTACTCCCGATTCGTTTCGTTGATCTCCGCGGAACCGACGATCCAAACCATCTTGCCGCTCTCCAAGGAAGGTCAAGTGTGCACCGTCGACGGTGTGTGCGTTGACGCCGATGCCGACGAGATCTTCAAGCTCACCACCGAGGATGGCAAGTTCAAGGTCGAGCGTTCTTCATCCGAGACGGAGATGTCTGAGTTCGAGGGCGTGATGCAGTTCGAGCAAGACCCGAACCAAATTCTCGATGCTCTCATGCCGCTCTACATGAACTCCCAAATCCTCCGTGCCCTCCAAGAGTCTCTCGCTTCCGAGCTCGCGGCGCGCATGAACGCCATGTCCACCGCTTCCGACAACGCCAAGGAACTCAAGAAGAACCTTTCGCTGGTTTACAACCGCGCGCGCCAAGCGAAGATTACCTCGGAAATCATCGAGCTCGTCGCCGGCGCCGCCGCCGCGTAAGTCTCCGCATCAGTTATTCATTTCCTTAGAGGGATTGTTGTCTCGCGACGAGGGGCGTCCGGTTTCACCCAGCCGCCTTTGCGTTCTCGAGCGCACGTAGAAGCGCCGTGCGTCCGAGCCGTTCGATCGAGGAACGGATTAAACCAACCTCCTTGGTAGCCGCTCAGACGTCACACTAGATACAGACGATATTGCAATTTGACACTGCGTCGACTCACCACTCGCCACTCAAGCGCGCACTCCACTCGCTCTAAAATACTTAAATATACGGATCGACAAAGTGTCGCACTGAGAAAAACGAACATCAATCAATCACGCAGTTGGTCCACCACTACGCGTCTCCTGTGCTCACTCGACACTGGCCAAACGTGTAGCGGTTTTCATCAATGAAGTGAAATGTTCGTAACAACAACGCGTCTATGAAGAATCTACTAAGGGTATCCGTACTGTGGTAACGAGCTCGGGGGCCAACATATCGCGCGAGTCGCTCGAAGATTCTCCGCAGAGTCCACGGCGGATTCGAGAAGTTTAACTTCAAAAGTCGCGGGCCATAACTTTCCGGTGACGTGTAACGCATCATTCGCCTCGTCGTAGGCGATCCCGTTCATAACATCACCTCGTCCATTGTTCGGCTGTGATTCTTTCAAGCCTTTTAGATTGATCCATGCGGTGACTACGCCAGTGGAGGGATCGATCCTCGCCAGACAAGGACGCTCAAGGATGTTCGCGTACAGTTCGCCGCCCACCGTCTCCAGCTCGTTCGCGAAGCGTACGGGTCGATCGCCGTCCGTTATGGTCATCGAACGCTTCAGCTCCAATACATCACCGTCTTTTCGCGGAAGCGTGAGGACGTGAAGCTTATCACTTCCGTCCGTGACGTAGAGCTCGCCTCCGAGCTCCGCGGCGCCCCACCCATCGGACAACGGCGTCGTGAACGTCCCCGTTTTTCGTAGCGTCCCCTCCGCGCCGACCTCGTAAGAGAATCCTCGATTACTCTTCCACGAGATGACGTGCACGTCGCTCCCCGAGCGCGCCAATCCCTCCGCGAACACGTCGTCGATTTCCTCCCGCGCCAAGAGCTCTCCGCTCGCCGCCTCCGTCACGCGAACCGTCGATTTCCCTCTCGTCGCTCCCGTGCTCTCGCACAGCATCCCGTCGCCACAAAACGTCAACCCTTGCGTAAACGCATCCGGGTCGTGCGCCGTCGTTCGCACGATGTCGTACCCGAACACCCTCGGTCGACCGCTCGCGCTCCGTCCCGACGCCGCGCCCAGCGCGACGCGCGTCCTCCCCCCCCGTCGCCCCGACGCGTCTCTTCCGACCATCGTCCGCGCGAATGTGATCGCGCACGCGATCACCGCGACGCCCGCGATCGCGCGCGCGATCTCGCGCGACGCCCGTCCGCTCGTTGACGATTCCCCGCTCGAGCGCGACCCATCGCCTTCGTCGCGTTTCGTCCCTCGCATCGCGCCGTTCCCGCGACGCCCGCGCGCGACGTCGCGCGCCATGAGTCTCTCGCGCTCTTCCGATTCCGCCTCGCTCGGCATGCTCGACGCGTCGCGACGTGAGGTGTGGACACGTTCGCGCGTCATCGATCGACGCGCGGTCATGTCCCTCGTTCGCGTCCTCACGGGCCACGTGCGCGTCGCGCTCGACGCGACGAACGCGCCCGAGATCGCGCGCGAGATCGCGCGCGTCGCGGTGACGACGATCGAGCAGAGACACGCGTGGACGGCGGTGATCGCGATCGCGATCGTTTTGCGAGTGCTACTCGTCGAGCGCACGCCGAAGATCGTCGTCGCGCTCACCGAGGAAGAGGCGTCGTGCGAGGGAGATGCGTTGACGTTTGATCCATCGGGCGCGTGGCCGACGAAGACGGTGCCGTGTTACGACCCGGGGACGATGAGACGGCTCGGGCCGGACGTCGAGGCGATGAGCGCGGAGGAGGTTCGCGCGCGGATTCGGAGAGCTTCCGAGGCGCAGAAAGAGTGGGCGAAAAGCAGCTTTGCGACTCGAAGAAAATTACTTCGAGTGATCCAGAGGTTCATTCTGGAGGAGCAGGATTCGATTTGTCGCGTGAGCGCGCGGGACAGCGGGAAGCCGCTCGTGGACGCGGCGTTCGGGGAGGTTCTGGTGACGCTCGAGAAGATTCGGTGGCTGTGTAACGAGGGTGAACAGTGGTTAAAACCCGAATCGCGGTCGAGCGGGGCGATGATGTTTTATAAGAAGGCTCGAGTGGAGTATCATCCGGTTGGCGTCATGGGGGCGATCGTGCCGTGGAACTATCCGTTTCACAACGTCTTCAATCCGTTGGTGGCGAACCTGTTTGCGGGCAACGCGCTAGTGGTCAAGGTGAGCGAATACGCGACATGGAGCTCACAGTATTACGGACGCGTCATCGACGCCGCGCTCGATGCCGTCGGTGCTCCTAGAGACTTGGTGCAAATCATCACCGGGTATGGTGAGGCTGGTAACGCACTCGTCACTGGCGGTTGCCAAAAGGTGGTCTTCGTCGGGTCGACTGGAATCGGACGCAAGGTTATGGAAGCGGCGGCGAAGACGCTCACGCCCGTCGTCTTAGAACTTGGTGGTAAGGATCCGTTCATTGTCTGCGCCGACGCCGATTTGAAGCAGTGCGTTCCGATGGCGCTTCGCGGTGCGTTCCAATCTTGCGGTCAGAACTGCGCGGGCGCGGAGCGATTCTACGTCCACGAAAAGATCCACGATAAATTCTTGGGCAAAGTGGTGGATTCGGCGAAGAAGCTTCGCCAAGGTTGGGCTCTGAGCCCTTCAGTGGACTGCGGCGCAATGTGCATGCCAAAACAGGCGCAGTACGTTCAATCGCTCATCGACGACGCCGTTGCGCGAGGTGCAATCGTGCATGTTGGCGGAAAGATTGAGCTTGGCGCGCAGGGTGGTCAGTTCTACCCGCCGACGGTCATCTCTGGCATCACGCACGACATGCGCATCGCGCGCGAGGAAGTCTTCGGTCCGGTGCTTGCCATCGTCAAGACGAAGAGCGACGAAGAGTCGATCGCTCTCGCCAACGACTGTGATTTCGGTCTCGGCTCGAATGTTTTCACCCGCTCGACCAAACGTGCAGAGTTCTTGGGTAAACAGCTCGAAGCTGGCATGACGTCCATCAACGACTTCTGCTCGACGTACATGGCGCAGTCTCTTCCGTTCGGCGGCGTCAAGGAGTCGGGATTCGACCGCTTCGCTGGTATCGAGGGTCTCCGCGGGTGCTGCGTCCCCAAATCCGTCGTTGTCGACAGATTCCCGCTCCTCATGAAGACGAACATCCCGCCGCCGCTGTGCTATCCAGTGGCGGACAACGCGTTCGCCTTCTGCAAAGCCTTGGCTCGCATGTTCTTCGGTCTCTCCCTCGCCCAGCGCTTTGGCGGTCTTCTCGCCCTCGCCAAGTGCTTCTTACTCCCGAGCAAGACGTACACGAAGTACGATTGATTGTAAAATCGACTCGCTTCGCTTCGCCCCTCACACGCCGGCGCGTCGTCTCACCTAGCCATGTCCCGCAGACCCTTTCCAGGCGCCCCCACGTCCCGCCGAACCGCCCGCGGCGGGATCACGACCACCGTCGTCACCCTCTTCATCGCCGGCGTCGTGTACGGACTCGTGAGAGAGCGCGTGACGCCGGATTACTCGCCCGATCATATTCAACGACCTAGGAACGGACATCTCTTTCCTTCCGCGCACGTCGACGACGGCGGACTCGACGGCGAGGCGTACGTCCGAGAGCGCCTGGCGGAGAAGATCCACGAGCACGAGAAAGAGGAGGGTGAGCGAAGACGAGCGCGCGAGAGGGAGGGAGCGAAGATGACGAAGACGAAGACGAAGACGAAGACGACGGCGACGGAGCGACAGACATCGAGCCATTCGCGGACGTCCGTGAGCGAGAAGAAGAAGGTGATTCCGTCGAACGCAATCGTAAGGAGCGATGTAGCGCAGTGGGATGGGTACGAGGCGGATGAGTGGAGACGAATTCGAGACGCGGAGGCGCCGGATGACGAGTGTCACGAGTTGCCGCTGAGCGATTACTGGGGACCGTCGCCTGTGGGCACAGCGAGTGACGTCGGTGCGGTGAAGAGCGCGCGCGATTGCTGTGAGACATGCAAGAAGACGGCTGGATGTCAGTTTTGGAGGCACGATCCCGTGAAACCGAGCGAGTGCTACACGGGCAAGCTGATGAATGATTATCTGCCGCCGATGTACGGAGAAGAACACAAAAAGTTGACAACGACGGGCGTGTTGTATCCAAAGATACCGAAGTACGACGCCGAGAGCACTGATTTGAAGACATGTCTGCATACCATGATCACGAGTAACGGCGCGGCGTACATGAACTGGCAGACTCGAGTCTTCTACCAGACGTGGAAGAAAGCTGCAAGCGAGAAGGATAGCATCCTGAGGCACTTCACGCGAATATTACATCGAACGACGGATGATGAGCTGATGGGTATGATTCCAACATGGCGCGCCGTTCCAACGCATGCAGAGTGCGACACCTTTTGTGACTACGCCGTGAAGGACCGCGCACGTGCGATTGCGGATTGGATGAAAACGGATGACTCCAAGAGATGCTCGCACATCCTCATGGCGGAGACGGATTATCTGTTTATTAGAAGTCCTCCGCCGAGCGTTCTTCTCTCAAAGGGTTACTCGTACGGCTTTCTTTTCGGATATATCGTGCCGTCTCATCCCACCGCGAAGAACGCGTCAAAGGTCCTTCACGACGAGGAGAAAGACGGACCTTTGCGGGAGGTATATCAGACGGGGAACGCTCCGCAATCTATTCATAGAGACGACTTAGAGCGCGTCGCCCAGGTGTGGGCGGAGAAGGTTGAGCTTGGCGAGACGAGTGACGTGGTGAAGAAAGATTTCGGTTGGGTGCGCGACATGTACGCCTGGTCCTTCGCGGCGGCAGCGGTGCGACCGAAGCTGCATTTCGAGCTACCACCGGTGCCGTTTCAGAAGCTAGTGATTCAACCGCCGGCGGACATCACAATTGGTCAGGCTTCGCTGATGCACTATACGTGGGGTGCCATCGTGAGCGATAAGGATGATAAAAAGCTGTGGTCATTCGACAAACGGGAGTACCAGGGAAGGTGGGACTCGCTGAGGAAAATTGAAACGCCTCCTCCGTGGGAAGCAGAGCGAGGATTCAAGCTCCAAGATGGTAAGGTAATGCAGGAGTCGCAGTATAAGATATTGCAAGAGATGATTGAGATTTTCAACTCAGCCATAGACGTCATCTTGACGAACGACGCGGCGAAAAAGACGAGTTAGAGACTTTTCTAATTGTGCCAGTACCGGTCGTCTTCGGCAGCATGAAGCATTGTAAACTATTACATCAACAAACAAAATCGTCGCCGTAAGTTTAGTAGGATGAACGCTAATAAGTTGTGTTACTATACACTTCACTCCTCGTCGTTATTTCCAAAAACATTAAATTTTTCTTGCTGCGGCTCAGTTGGACGTGGCGATGTTCACTCGCAGAACGCGACCGTCAACATCTTGACCGTTGAGCTGCGCAACAACTTCATCGGCCTCAGTGGTGTTACTCATGGTAACGAATCCAAATCCACGGGAGCGCCCAGTGTCTCTGTCGGTGATCAATCGGCTGTCTTCGACAGAACCGAACTCGCTGCAAAGATCCTGCAAGTCGTATTGGTCCATCCCCCAAGAGAGGTTACCGAAGTACACTCGGCGACCCTCCGCCTGATCAAAATCCCGTCGTTGCCGCGGCATTCTCATCGGTCGTTCACCACGTTCGGCCTGCGCCTGCGCCTTCGAGACTCGAAGCTCCCGTCCGTCGACCTCTCGCCCATTCAGCGCCGCGCTCGCGCGTTCGACGTCCTCTTCGTTGTTCATGCTCACGAACGCGAACCCGCGCGAACGCCCGGTCTCGCGATCCTTCATCACGCTCGCGTCTCGCACGTCAAACTCCGAAAAGAGTTCGGCGAGGGATTCGTCAGTGACGCCCCAGCTCAGGTTCCCCACGTACACGCGGTGCTCATCCTGGCGTCCGCCCGCGCCGGCGCCGTCTTCGTCGCCCGCCTCAGCGACGACGGAGAATCCACGAACGAGTCCTTTTTGCATCAACGCGCTTCTCAAAGGCGCTCTGTGCACGTCGCGCACGTTGCACTTGGCAGAATTCAAGGCGCCGCCGATGACTCGCGGGGCGAGCGCGCTCGAGGCGATCAACGACGCGCCGTGCATCGCGCGAGCGTTCGCGTGGATGTTCGTGCGCGCGGAAGCGAGCGGGAGTTTGGTTTTGATCGCTCGGGAGATCGAGTTGAGCGACGAGCTCGCTCGACGCATCGGCGTGCGGGGAGTGAGGGGCGCTCGCGAACAGGCGCGTAGGTTATCAAAGTATCTGGGCCGAGGCTTCGCGCCTACCTGGAGCGCAGAGCAAGTGAAGTGAAGAGGGCTCCATCGCTGCTCTCGAGGGCGTTGATGGCGAACTAAGTGGCCATGTATAGCGATTGAAAGATATTGTTCACATTACAACGCCCGCGTAAGCGCCGCGGGATGATACTGTGCTACTGAAATGTACAAGCTGCTTGCTAAGTCGCCCGAAGTCGCTCGTATCTCCCAGCGAGCGACGAGTCGGGCGAGCAAAGACGGAGAGATTCTAGGCACCGATGGTTCGGTTCACGGATTTCTTGAGAGCTGCCATGAATCCAGGCGTTGAGCTCTCGTCTTTGCCGCTCGCGTGCTTGTTCACAGCTCTTCGATTCCGTTGCGGCCATCCCGGCGAACGCAAGGAGTTGTCGACATCTAACGCTTCGCGCTCATCCATCTCACATCGTTTCGACGTGCTGGGAGCGTTCTCGAAGTTCACGTCGTTGCTAAAGTGCACTAAGTTTCTCGTTTTACGCTTGATGCTTTCTGGATCCGAAGCAACGTGCTTCGGGGGAGGAGGAACTTTCACTGGGCGAAAGTGACCCGACAACCGTGCAGCCTTGGCCGCTCGATCGTTCGCTTTCTCAGCCGCATCGTCGACGATTTCAGGAACGGAAGCCATTCTGGGTAGTCGGATTTTCTGTGCGTTGCGCGTATTTCGACGATTATGGCTCTGCAAACCATTCGCTCCCGACACAGTGTTCCTCGCGTTCGGAGACGCGAATCCGATAGCATCGTCCTCTTCGTCGCTACCTTCCAGAGGCTCCCCACCTCGGCCGACAGGCGACGCGAAGAACAAACGAACAGGGGCAACACCACTCGGCGAGACCTGTAAACTGCGAGCGACGCGGGCTGGGGCAACCTGTGGCGCCACGTCAGTTGCTTCCGCTCCGTGCGCCGGAGCGACAGCTGTCGATGGCTCCACTTCGGCCCGCACACTCGCATTCTTCGCCTCGGTGTCGGTCAAAACGTCCGCATTGTCGCGCTGCAGCGCAGGTTTTGCCTCAGAATTGCTGCGGGTCGTGCGCCGCGTGGATGCGGCCTGTGCGGATGCAAAAATTGAATTCAGGAACTGCGTCGTAGGCGTCGGCTCCCCCGTCGCCACAACTTTCCGCGTCGAGCGCGTAAAAACCTTTGATTCCGTCTTCTTTCTGAAATCGGCTGGCGTTTTCCCAAACGTCATGGTACCGAGGGAATCGAGACCCAAAAGCGACGGGAGACTTCCTGAGGAGGTGATGTTCGGAAGCAAGGCTGGAGTGAATCTGAAGGCGCCACCCATGCCCGTCGTCGGAGGCGGCATAGCCATGGCATCCTGCGCGGCGGTTCTCGCAGCGCCGGGAGTGCACACATTCGGTAGATCCGACGTGTTGAGCGCGTCGTTCATGATTTCCGGAGCACCGAGATATTCAGGAGTGCCGAAGATACCAGCAAACGCAGGCACAGCACGCTGCTCATCCGGAGGTGTTCCGAGCGGCGAACCCATGATGAAGTTGAACGGTAGGTCTTGATCTTGGGATTCGGGCGCGGGCATGCCCATCGCCTCTTGCATTGATGGATCAAACCCAAATCCAAGTGCCTCGTAAGGGACGGGCACAGTGTTGCGCTTAGACTTTGTGGCACCGGACATCTTAGCGCGCTTTGATTGCGCTGGCACAGGCATCGCCGTTCGCTTGCCCGCCGCACCCTGCCTGACTGTGTTGGTATTGTTTTGCAGAGGTTTTCGGGTAGTCTGCTGGGAGGCATCCTCGGAGCGTCGATCGCGCGCCTTATCCAGACTCGGTTTACCAGGCGGCGGTGGGCACATCGCCTTGAAGTGCTCGCGCAACTCTTCCTCGTTCTTCATCGCGTTTTGCTCCCAACCAGTCCATGACTCGCTCAGCCCACAACGCACACGCATCGCTGCAGCGCCCTTGGGCACGTCGTTGTTGGCCAGTACGCGAATCGGACCAGATACGCCGCTTCCCAAAAGCTGTTGCGAATCGCGCTCGAAGACGCCGAACAACAAACGAAACGTCTTGCACTTGTTCGGGCCAAGCGTACACACGTGGTTGCTTGCTTCATCGATCGAGATGAAGAGGTTACGCGTATCCTTCCACTTGTCCTCCGCCTGCGGTTTCGCGACGGGTGCCGAGTCTTGCTGAGCCGCGCTCTTTTGCGTTCGGCCTTGCTTCCCAAACCTCTGAATCGCGCTCAAAATCGGGCCCTCGCAACCCTTAGCACACGTTTGTCGCATCACGGGCACCCACGTGTACCCTCGACCGTCACTCAGGCCCTTCTTCCCGTTCGCATCTCGCTCGCGCTGCGGCTCCGAGTACACCAAGTACACGACTGCGCGCGCGACGACGCCATTATACAGTTTAAGCTCGTACTCGAGGGCGGAGTCCCTGAACTGCACCGGAACATCTGCTTTGAACGCCGTCTCCGTGGCCTCGAACACCCTGACCCCGGGATTATCAGCCTCGGCATCCCCGCGCGCGCGCTCCAAATTTTTTCCCAGCCGTTCAAACGACAGCTCGACTTGGTTGTAGCTTCGCTTCTTCTTGCCGAGCTTGTACGCCCTGCGAATGCGCGCGAAAACGCGTCGATGAAACTATCGTCAGTCTTTCCGCGCACTTCACACATCCCTAAACGTCTCGCGCGCGTCGATACAGTCCAAAGCGTCCATAGCTGTCTGCACGCACCGAACCTCGTGCTTCGTCGCGTCGTCCTCTCCGCGCTCGCTCTCCGCGCGCTCATCCCCGCCGACGGCGTCCAGCGTCGATATCGGCACGCAAAGAAATGTATGCTCGACGTCCACGCCGTTCGACCGCGCCTGCATCGCGGACGACGCGCGCGGGGCGCGCGCGGGCATCGTTCGCTCGAATCCGCCGTCAACGATTGAATTCCCGTCCTCGTCGACGATTGTATCCTCGTCGCGCCGCCGACGCGCGCGGTGCGACGCCTCGAAAACGACTCGAAATATCGATCAAAACGCGTTCGATCGAACGTCGCCCTCCCTCGGCGCGCGCGGGATCGCCGTGCGCGCGTGTCGACGCGACGAACGCGCGCGAGAGTGCCGTTCGCCCCGACCGCGGCCGCGGCTGTCTCTCGGGCGTTCGAATTTTCACCGCGTCCGCGATGTGTCTTTTTCACGTCCACGCGTGCGTACTCTGGGTGTTTTTGGACGATGTATGCGTCCTCTGCGCATCGCCCGAGCGCGCGCGCGCGACATCGCCGCGCCGTCGTCGCGCGGCTCGCCCGTTCGCGCGACGTGCGCGACGCGCGCGCGAGGACGACGCCGGCGGCGGCGGATGACGCCGAAGACGCGAAATATCCTCACCGCGCTCTGCGCGCTGATCTCGTGCGGGATCTTCGCGAACGGCGTGACGGGGTACGACGACCCCGGGGCGCGCGCGCGCGGTGGGGGGCGACGCGTCGCGCACGCGTGGTGGCGACCGACCGGGGCGTGAGGGCGATGTCGCCCACCGCTCGCGCGGCGGTGACCGCGGCGTCGTCGACGACGGCGTCGTTGGAGGCGGTCTCGGACGACGTCCTGCGGGAGATCTTGATTCTCGCGGTGAGGAACGGAAAGGAGGGTGGTCGGGGGGCGAGCGTCGCCGCGGCGTTGACGTGCGTCTCGCGTTCGTTTCGACGCATCGTCGAGGGCTCGTACGAAGAGTTTTACGAACGCGTCGATCTCAGTCATGGGTTTTGTGCGCCCACGGATGCGAGAATTCGAGCGTGGGCGAAGAGAGGGGTGTTCAAGGGCACGAAGGAGTTGAACTTGGCCGGCTGTCATAAGCTCACCGACGCGACGCTGAAGACGATCGGAACATCGTGCGAAGCGCTCGAATGTCTCACGCTGAGCGGAGGTTCATTTACGAAAGACGCTTTCGGGATGTTATGTGGAAGTGCTTTAAGCGAGCCGCCAGCGCTACCTAAGTTAAGGTCGTTCACCTTTGACATCACGACGCCGAAGATGACTCCGAAGCAAGCGATGGGCGAAATATCACGGTTCATTCATGAATACCGTGACACGTTGGAGGAGATACGCATAGGACGAGAAGCACCGTACTCACCCGCCGAGCGACGAGCATTTTCGCAAGGCGCGGGTAGTTTTTTTGAGCGCGTAACCGAATGCACTCAGCTGAGAAAACTTGACTTGACCAACTGCGGCGAAGACGTACGATTTCCGCTCTTCGACTTACAGCGGAGTTGCCCGTTGTTGGAAGAACTAAAGCTCAACGGGTTCGGTGGTGACGCGGGCTGGCACGTATCCGGACGCATGGAGGAAGATTTCGACGAAACGTGCTTTCAGTCCTTGCGCGTCCTTGAAGTCGCGGTTTCAATGGAGACGACGAGCATTGGACACAGATACGGTAACAGCAACGTCAACGACGAGACGCTTCTGTTGTTCCTGTACGGCTCCATTGAGACGATCGAGACGCTCGATATCACGGGGTGCACGCAACTTGGAGACTGGAGAAACGTCGTCTGGGACCGCCTTCCACTTGCGCTGAGAACGTTCAAGTGTGCACGAACGCGGCTTTCATCCGACGATGCCGCCGTCTCCCATGTCCTCTCTCAGTTATGTCCATCGCTCGAAGTACTCGAGCTCGGATGCGTCGGCGCGAACGCCACGAGCGTCACCGACGCCGCGTTCACCGAAATCCTCCACCTCGACGGTCCGACGTTACCCTTGCGCGTTTTACGCGCTCCTGGCTCGGCGCTCACAGCGGAGACGCTTCGGGCGATCGTCGCCCCCGAATCGAGGTTCAAAAACCTCCATGCGATCGATCTCGCCGCATGTCGGTCACTCCCTCGAGAGATTCGACGAATCTCCCTGGACACGTTTCCGCTCGAAAACATCCGAGCCGTTCGCGCCTTCCTCGGCTCGCAGTCCTCGGAACCCGACGACATCGTCGTTCGTGACGACGCCCCGACGCGCGCTCGAAAACGTCGACGATAATCTCGCGCGTCTCTCGAGGTAGAAAACCGCTTCACCGACCCTCGTCCACGAAAATATCACCATCGAAAGCCCTATCCAGAGATCTGACTCAGATTTTTAGAGATCTCCACCACACTTTGAGTCACGAATGGTGAAATACCCCCTCTACACGAAATCGCTTTTTCTGCGGCGCAAAAGCCGCTTTTTCCCGGTGCAGCGCGTCTCGTCGTCACTGGGCGCCTCCGTCGGCGTCGCGGTCGGCGACGCCTCGCGCGCGGCGACGCGCGGGCGCTCGAATCGGCACACTTTGTGGTTTTCACAGCCTCGTCGTCGCGAATTCGCGTTCGCGCGTCGACGTCGGGAGAAAACTTCGAATTGCGCGGGTAACCGCCATGCCGCGAACGGGCGCGGCGCGAGGACAACCCGCGCCCGAGCGTCGCGCGCGCGCGTCGAGCGGGCGATCGAGCTCGGGGAACGGGAGCGATAAATCTTCCGATTCCGATTTGCTCACCAGGGGGTCGAAGGAGGCGAAGGAGCGACGAAGAACGGGCGGACAGAGGGCGAGGCAGGGTGCGCGGAAGGACAGTGGTTCTGGGTCTGCGGGATCGGGATCGCGGAGCGATGGGAGCGCGGAGGGTCGGAGAGACCGCGAAGGTCGAGTGACGATCGATTCACAGCGAATGAAGCGTCGCAGGAATGATCGAAGGGGGACCGAAAGTACGAAGCGAGCGACGCCGCCGGATGGAAGTCCTAAGAACGTGAGCGACGATGACGCGAACGATGGCGGACGACTGTCGCCAAGCGAGGCAGACGAGACTGTGACTGGGGATTTCGCTGTGCGGTGTCTCGAAAATGCAATGAGTGAGGGATTACAGCCGTGTAAGATCTTTGGACGGCGAAAGCGAGACCGAAAGACGGAGTACATCGTGCGATGGGAGGGAAAGGCGCACATCGCCAACACGTGGGTGCGAGGCGAGCAGTTACGGAGCACTCATCCCGAGCTCGTGGCGGATTTTGACGCCGAGTACGCGGACAGAAACGATGTTGTCTTGGTAAAACGCGACTGGTTGATTCCTCAACGCGTCGTAAACGTAACCGGGATACCGCCGTCGACGCAACTCCTCGTGAAGTGGTGGGGTTTACCCTACGTCGACTGCACGTGGGAGAAGCTCGACGGGCACAGCCTCTTACCCGACTTGCTTGAGCGTTACATTCAGTTCGATCACGAGAACTTGGGACGTTCGTATACAGCTCCGACGAAGACGGCACACATCGAACCGTACGAGCCGTGTCGCATCATGCAGTCTGTCACGAAGTGGATGTTGGCAACGTGGCTCGAGAACGAAGGCGTTTGCTTTGTAGATAACTCTCCTCAGAGTAGACACGTGGAGGTGGCGGCGGCCTTCGTGAGCGAGCGGAAATGGAAGCACACCAAATCGGCAACGACTCTAATCATTGTTGGAGAGCACGATCTCAATCACTGGTGCCGACAGTTTGCTCGCTATGCACCGGGCGTCAACGTCGTCGAATATGGTGGATCCGCGACGTGCCGAGCAACAGTCCAGCAACATGAGTGGTCTTTTGGCGGACTCGTTTCGGGCGACGAGACACTCCCACAGCCGCGGTTCAACGTACTCCTCACGACGTATTCCACCGCCATGCTCGACATCGTTCTCCTGCGACAAATCGTATGGGACTCAGTAATCTTGTATGACGGCTCACCGATGCTCAGCGCAGAGGCGAGCTCGCTCATGGCTCGACTCGGCACGCTGAAGTCGCCCCATCGCGCGCTCATGTTCAAGTCTGCGAATTTCAGTGAACTTCACATCACGCTGAACATCCTAGATTTTCTGAAAAGATCGCCGGAATCGATGAGAAATCTTGAGTCGAGACTACTCAACATCTCGCGCGAGGAGGCATGCATGCAAACTGCCGCTCTTCTCGCCGTCGTGACCATGGACTATCAATTCTGCGAAGAAGCATTAAAGAATCAGGAGTCTTTGAACGGGGAGAACGTGTGCATGGGCACGCTTCACACTGCTCGACTTCTTGAGCTCTCGGAGATAGTCTTGGCAAGCAAAACCGCAAAGAACAACGAGGCGGATTCGACACCCGTTAAAGATAAGGACCGAGTATCGGTCTTCCCGGAGTCTTTCGATTTCTCATCACAGAGGTACCTAGGGTTCCTACATCAGCTCCAAGCCCTGCACAATCTATATCGCTCGCCGGTCGAATCTTAAATTTGTTCCGAGCGACAATTTTGCATGTTGAGGCGGCTGCTCATCGCTGCGCTCGCTCATTTATTTCTATTTTTGTGGCCGTGGCGCCACGTCAGGCAACGGAACCTAGCATTCCCTACCTGCACAAAACGTCACGTATCACGTTCGGGCGCTTCCGATTCATAGCCGCAAATTCTTCACTAGAACCACATTCGCCGAATTTTTTTTCAATAGCACCGAAACAGAGAGAACCAAAACCTCTTCTTCACTTCACGCTCGATCGCTTCGAACCATGCGCGCCGCTCGAGCTCAAGCGACGACGATGATGGTGGCGTCGTCGGCAACTCGATCGCAATACACGTCGCGTCGCGGCGTCGCCCATCGCCCACGCGCGCTCGCGCTCCGACCGAGCCCGGACGTCATCGCACCGTCGACGTCATCATCTTCCGACGACCCAGCGTGCACGGTCGTCGTCTTCGCCCCGGTCGACGAGGATTCGTTCATGCATTATCCTCCGGAACTCGTCGAGCGCGGACGATTCGAACGACGCGCGCCGAGCTTCGGAGAGGTGTTCGAACAAATGGGTCGCCGGGTCGGTTGGAGCGACGCAGACGGGAAAACGCTTGGATTGGAGGTCGTGTCGACGACGGCGAGCGAGGCTGAGATGATCGATAAGGCGAAGAAAGCGGACGTAGTGATCGCGATCGGGGTGCAGGACGAGGAGACGGCGTCGAGGGTTCGTCGTGCGGCGGCGACATGCGCGACGATGTGCGGGCTCGATTCGCCGCCGCTCGAGGCGGACGAGAGAATTTGCTTTAACGCGACGAGCGATTTGCGAAAGATACTGGCGAGGTTGACGCCGTGGAGTCAGGCGGCGAAGGATGTGCGTCTAATGGATCAGGCGAAGGAGCTGTATGAGCGAAAGAATCACTTGGACACGCTTGTGATGATTTTGCTCCTCGTGGACGCGAGCGGCTTTCGCGTGCCCGCAATGGATATCAATCAGGACATAACTCTCGGAAACGTCTGGTGCATCGCGTCAAACTGCAACAAGCAGCTCTTAGCTTGTTACAAAAATCCGCAGTGCAAGAAGTCTTTGGACTGCGTCGATGCATGCGGATTAACGGACCAGGTGTGCACTTACACGTGCATCAGGTCGTACCAGAATGACGAGTTCGAAAAACTCGCTCGTTGCATGCTCCACAAGCATAATTGTTTAGGTAACGATGCCAGGAGGCCGCAGTTACCGCAGGTTTTGCCTATGCAGACGTGGAGAGGCGAGCCGATGTCGCACGATGCAGCGGAGCGCATCATGCAAGGTTGGCTGGGACTCCCCGATGAAAAGGGTGAGCTGAGGAAGTTTAGTTGGTTGGCGGTGTCTGGTGAGAACCCCGCATACGACTTTTTTCCGTGCCAGTTCCAGATTTGGTACCGTGGCAAGGGCAGAAACGTGTTCTGGTACAACCCGGTGTTCAAAGTGAACACGCTCGACGGACGAACGGTGTGGCGAAGGTCTGACTATCGCTGCCGAAGAGCCGACTCGCCCGGGACGTTCATATTCTCCTTTATGGATAATGGCGTGACGAGTGAGGAGTACTGGCGCATCGTCGATGCCGCAGATGACCTTTCGTGGGCCCTGTACTACTATGCCGGCGCCGCCAAGTCAGCTGGTCAAAGTTACATAGGCGCCGTCTTAGCGACTCCCGACGGCAAGTGGCCATCCGACGCCGAGATGGCTCGCGTCGAGGACTCTCTCTGGCGCGGCTGCGGCATTAAAATTTGGGAGATGTGCCAAGTCGATAATTCTACCGCGTTCGACGGCGACGCACCTTTAGACCCCTTGCACGAACCGTATCTCATCGCGGACTAGGGGTGTATTACATTTGACGAACCTCGCGACAGCATACTCGCGCACGCCGAGATCGATCGCACGAGTCACGCCCCCATTGCATAGAAGGGTGTCCGTGGCCCCGTCCAGTGTCGCTCGACGCGATCGCACGAGTCCTCGGGCGCGTGAACGTCCCCGCGGCTCGACGCAGCCGGCTCGATGGGAGTCTGTTCCTCTCGCGCTGTCACCGCTCAGCGCGTCGGCGCGATGCTCCAAGAGAACCTAAGACTCGATCCAAAGAGTGAGCGAGATTTGATCCGGGCATACAGGCTGTTCAAGCGGACGGACACGAACGGGGATGGTAAAATTCAGAAGTCTGAATTCGCGAAGGCGTTTCGTCTGGACACGGACGTCTTCTTCGATCGATTGTTCGCACTGATTGACACCGATAACAGTGGCTATGTGGATTTCAGGGAGTTTGTGATCGTTTTAGCGGCTTTTCAGCTATCGAACGCGAGTGGGCGGGTTCGATTTGCGTTTCGGTTGATGGACCTGGACGACAGCGGCGCGGTGGACAAGGAGGAGTTTCGTGCGATGATTCAGGCCAGCGTGGGGATGTTTAGGACGCGGACGAAGGAGGGGCGAAAGCGTGCGGGAAAAAACGATTGGCGGGACAAGGCGCCGAAGGACATTTACGCGGCGTATAAGGATTTATTCGCAAAGCTTGATCGGTCGCCGGGCAAGGCTATCGGATATAACGACTTTGCGGACATGTGTGTCAAGTATCCGAAGTTATTTACGCCCGCAAATTACATTTGGAACACGCTTCGGCGATACGCGGTGCCAGCGGCGGAGCTCTGTAAGGTGATTGCGCGCGGTGGTCATCGAGCATTCTTTTACAATTCAATGCTGGAGCATGGGTGGCCAGGTGTAAAGTTCTCCGCGCCGCCGCTGGCGTTGGCTGACCGGAAGGTGTACATGCGCTCACTGAGTAATCTATTCAAACGCAAGGGCTCGGTAGTAGACAACGAAGACGCGCGAATGACTAACGATCGAGGAGGCGCCGCATCGAGGTCGTACGAACAAGATCACGACGCCGGACGTCGCTCGCGCAGTAGGCACTCGAACGCGGAGATGGGCTCACCCACGAAACATCGCGACGTGCATTACGGATCACAAGAAAACGAGTGTCGAGACGACCGTAGGTACGAGGCACGGCGTAGTGTACGAGGGTACCATCCAGAAGACCACGTTGAGCGTCGGCACAGTTTGGGTGTTCCTCGTACGGTTCGAGGAGCTGGATCGAACGACCCTGGACCAAGAGGTAGCTACTCCGCCCCCTATATACACAATCCTCCGCGACACGTGCCTCCGCAGAAGCCCAAGTTTGTGCGCCAATTTTCTTGGGGAAACGACGACCCCAACAGCGAGCTTGGGAGGCGAGAGCTCCTGGCGTCAAACTCTATTGAAAAAGCGTACAGAGAGGAGTACCCGGCCGAAGAGGAGCAAGAGTCCTGGTTGGACGACGACATGAGAGAATCCACGTCGAACCTTAAAGACAGAACGTTCGACAAGCAGGACTCGATCGATGAAATCTGGGAGGCTCTCCAGGCGTGTCCGAGCGCCAAGGCGGCGCAATACTACACCCCCGACGACTACGTCCCCGACGAGTACTACAAGCGCCTCGACGACGGCGTGTACTACAAAAAGAATTATGCCGCTAATACCGCCAGTGGGATTCGACCGCCCGTGTACCAACACGAGAGACAATGAGTCTCGATGTATAGACAGTGTGTCAACATTTGTAAAACGCGTTGCTCGTACCACACATTCCGGCACCTTTCGCCTCGCGACGCGTCTCCACGGGCGGTTCTATAATCACTAACGCTCTCATCGCGACGCTACGAACGTCTCGAACGCGTCGCAGCGGCCCGTGATCGTGGAGAGAAAACGATTCGCGATGCCGAGCTACTCACTCTGGGTCGAACCCGATTTCGTGCACTACGCTAGCGCGGTCGCCTTCATCGGGCGCACGGCGAAGCGGCACGCTTCCGCGCCGTTCTTCACTCCGCACGTCACTTTGGTCGGTGGCGTGGAGTTCGAGGGCGACGACCATGCGCTCGAGTGGTTCTGCGATCACGTGGAGGAGTTCGCCGGTGTGACACGAGCCATTGAGACGACGCAGTTAACTGAGTCTCGCGTCGTCGCCGAGTTATATCCGAAGAGTGTGGAGTGCGGGGAGAAAAGACACCAGTGCGTGTACGTCAAGATGGAAAAGACGGCGTCTTTGTTGCAGGGATTCAGGAAGGCTTGGTCGATTTTTGGTAAGGAAGTGACGGACGCCGACACAACGGCGTTCATGCCACACATGTCTCTGGCTTACGGCGTTGAAGACGCAGGAGCGCGGGAGGCGATCGCGGATGCGGCGCGCAAAGAACTGATTCGGTGGTTTGATGGCTCGGAGGCGCCGCACGCGAAGATGTCCATGCATTGTCTTTCGCTGTGGGCGACGGACACGGACGATGATTCGTGCGATTCCTGGCGGCGCATCTCTTGGGTCGAATTTGGGGGCGATGTGGACGATTCGGTTCATCCAACCGTAGAATAGCGTCATTAGCTTCATTCTGGTAAAGAATTACAACATTTCAGCGCCCGCTTGCGTTCACGAGTACGCGCCCAAGCGAGTCATGGCCTGCTTCAGTGCCGACTGATCCTTCACTGGGAGACTTCCGGAAGCGACATCTGTCACTTGCACCAAGTTCGCCAAGTCCACCGGCGTGGGATCGTATCCCAATGCTGCGAGAGACCATACGCACTTAACGAGCGATTTAGGTGAGAGGTTCTGCTTGGTCGTGTTCTGGGCGAGTACATCCAGCTGGGCGGCGGTGAGTTCCAACCCGAGTAAAGCAGAGCCCCACAATCCAAGCACAGCCGTTGCGGGCTGCAGCTTTGCACCCTCAGCCGCGTGAAGAATCAACTCGATGAGCGCCCTCGCATGTTCGATCGGAGGCGACCAGCGAATTCTACCGTAGGCGCACAAAAGCTTGGCGGCTTGTCCAGGAACCAAATCTTGGCTGCCGATGAACCGCTCGACGTACTCCTCAACCACTTCTTCTCCCGGATTCCAGCGAAGCACTCCCCAGGCGTGCATGATGATGATCAAGTTTTCATCGTCCAACTCATTCGCGCGCCCTTTCGCCATCTTTGCGAGGCCGACAAGCGTGGAATCTTGTGGCTTGTAGTTCACCTTGGCCAGAGTCCAAAACACCTTAGCGACAAGCTCGGCGTCGATGTCGCGCTTAGTCGCCACCGCGGCGCACAGCGCTTCATATGCCTCTGCGCCGAGCGTCGTTTTTCCCTCACCGACACCACCGAGGGAGCCAAGAGCCCAAAACATGGAGTCGATCGAGCCGATGTTCATCTTTCGAGCGCAACGTGGCACTTCCTTATCGATCGCGTTGATGAAAGCCGGTGATGGCTGGTGATTGAGCCTCGCGCACGCGTACATGCACATGGGCACATTCACGTGACTGTTCGCTCCACCCAAATTTTGCGATGCGAGTTGAATGAGCAGTGCGTCGATGACATCACCCTTGAGCTTACGACTTTCCATGCGTGCGAACGCCCACAGGACGTTACATGTAGCCGTATCGTCGAAAGCACGCAAATTCCTCGTGATGAAAGTCGTTGCCTCGCCAAGAAACTCCGCGCTCGGAACGTGATCAAGGTGCGCGAGACCGAGCATCATACCCGCGAACTCATCCGTTCTAAATTTATCCATCTGCCGCATCGTCGCCTCACACAGCGCCTCGAGCGTTGATTTTGGCGGCTTGTAGCGCAAGCGCCCAAAGGCATACGCCGCGTTACTCAACGACTGCGGCTTCACGCTCGCCCCGTGCTTCAAAACCTCGCGTTCGAGCCTCGATGCGAGCGCATTTAACGTATCCTGACTCGGTGTGTACCCAATTTTCGCGAAACTCCACGCGACATTCGCCAATCCGAACGCGTCGAACTCATTCATCCGGTCGCCCACCGTGGACGCGAGCGCCTTGAAACGCTCGTCCCTCGTCACCGCCTCCACGCGATCAAAATCCCTCGCATCCAACCTCGATGACGGCGATGAAAATTTCGCCACTCTGTGCAGCGCCGTCGCCGCGTGCACGGCGTCGAAGACCTCCAGATCCCTCTCGACCACTCGCAACGCGTCCTCCGCGCTCGACGCATTCGCGAGCTCCCTCTGAATCTCCCCTCCGCGTCCCCCACCGCCTCCCGAGCCTCTCGCCGCGGTGCGGACGCGCTGTCGTTCCTTACCGACCGTTCGTCGACTCGCTCGACCGCGCGCGCGGGCGTCACCGCGCGCGGGCGTCACCGCCGCCGCCGCCGCCGCCGCCGCCGCCGAATTCATCCTTCTTCGTTACCTCTCTCGCGCGACGCCCTCGATCGTCCGAGCGACGCGCGCGCGACGCCCTCAGAGTCACGTCTCTCGTTTCGCGCCGGGTTCGCGCGCTCGCTCGCGCGCGGCGCGAGGTGAAGTGACGACGATGCCGGCCGCGTCGGGGCGAATCG